CCTATTTTAGTCAGCTCCTGCGTAGGACACGGAAAGGTGCAGGACATTCCAAGGCCGAGTAAATAGGTCGTGACACACAACCATAGGGAGTGACGACAAAGCTGACTGATACTTCTCCAAACAGGATATTCCTCTTTGCCTTCACTGTGATTCCACAGTAGGACAAACACTCAATAACAGTTTCCTACGAATGACGGTTTGAAGAATGACTAAGTGTAGAATATGCATGCATATTTTTCTACAATTTTGCGGCATCATACCAGAGTCTTAACCTTAGACTAATATATAGTCTTTCGATTGAACATATTTTACAGAAAAAAAACAGTTGTTAAATTCTATTAAAATATAATTAAAAGGAATCTAGAGATTTTCTTCATTTTCAGATACGGCAGTAATCTAGACTTGCCAAACATTATAGACTTGCATGGGCTGTATTGGGTATATTTGTTTCAGGGTCTGTATGAAGACTATGTTAACCTGTTAACAGTCTCGTAGTGAAAACAGAGGAGTGTTTCATTCTGTACATGTATCAACAAGGACGGAAATGGTGTAGTGGTGCAGCATAACAGTGTTCATTTCCTTGAATTTTGAGAAGTAATTATTCAAAATTAACATATTTAACAAGAGGAGAAGGATATTATTTGAAAACTGAGATTGCTCGAGACCCTAACAACAACATCCAAACCACCGTCTACAGGACACCTACCCTGCATTTGGCGTCATCCAATTATCTGTATGCTACTTGTTATCTATTACTTGTTGTTGTCAATGTTAATCTGCTGATTATCACAATATGTCATGCATATATACCTCTCATCACTTATTGGTTGTAGTCACTCCAGCTTGATAACTGTGTAAGAATCTACATCGAAACTGTAAGTGATTGTGTGTGAAAGAGTGAGGACCCGCCTTGTGTGTGACTGAACGAGTATGTGTGTGTGTGTGTGTGTGTGAGAGAGAGAGAGAGAGAGCGAGAGAGAGAGAGAGAGAGAGAGAGAGAGAGAGAGAGAGAGAGAGAGAGAGAGAGAGAGAGAGAGTGTCTATAGCTGGACTGGAATACAAGATGACATGCATGGCAATCGTGTGGTTCTGTTCACAGACAATTAGCGTCTGTCACCATTCTAGTTGTGTGCATGAGACGCATCCTATTGCTGTCGCGCGGCCTCCCTGGGAAGGCGGGATGTTCTCCTTAGAACTATGGTGCGAGGACACCAACATCTGACGTATATGAGAGAGACATCCGTCGAGTCACCAAGGAGGAAATACTGCGACCGACATTCATCTTGGCGATGGTACGAATACCCCTCTTGTCACGTCCTCACCCAGACTGTCATGTCCGATTCCTCGAGTAGAAAATGTAGTTTTATGAATCAGTTTACAAGATTTATCTCCCTTGTCCTCCAAAACATTTAAATTTTGAAGCCGCTCATATCATACTCATTTCACACCCTTACGTTTGATCCATGTCGTCAAATTTCACTCTGCCAAAAACACTTTGCAGAGAGCGGGGAGAGGATATAGACCACTTCCGAGGGGTGTCGCTAATCTGCCGTTCGAATGAAACGGTTTAGTTCCCGACTAAATAGCTCACACAATCAGAAACATTTTTGAAAAACATTTATTCACAAGAAATGTGATTTCGACAAATCTGCTGAAAAAAGGGAATAGAGTGATGCTGATTGTGCAGGTTCAAGATCAGATCGGCATGCGCCTCTCTTCATGCTGAAATAGTGTGTATAGCAGTATTCTAATGAAGAAACATGTCATTGACATGATAATGCGCTAGCTTTTTACACAAGGTATATAATTGTATATAATTTTTTCAGTCCAAAATTAACCACAGTAAACTAATTTTATTAAAAAACGCGCGCCTCATAAATATGTCCTTTTTATTAACTGAATTGAAATTGAAATCATCCTACACTGCTTGACCCCCGTCAAGATCCGGGTTAGAACTGGTCTTCAGCAACTCATTCTTGTTGCGAGAGGCGACAACATGTAACAGGATCAGGTGGTCAGGTTCACCGACCTGCCTGATGCATGTCATCATGTCCCAATTGCGTAGTCTGTCGATTATTTATAGACCGCCAACATATATCTGGAATATTGTTGAGTGCGGCTTCGAACAACAAACACTATATTTGACTGGAGACGACGATCGGCAACTTATTTGGTTCCAGTGTATGGCAATATGTGTGCACGTATCCTTAATACGAAGATCTGCAATGTGTGTATGTGCTCTTTCTGGGCGTCTTCACCACCTCTAAAGCATAATCAATATGTACACAACTGGATCGTTTACATATGACCAGGTGTAACAATTGTAAACGTATATTGACATATTGTGAGACCCGGGGTAGAATAGGTCGTCAGCAACCCATGCTTGCTGTAAAAACGACTATGCTTCTCGTAAGAGGCGACTTACGTGATCGGGTCGTCAGGCACACTGACATTGTGGATGCATGTCATCGATCCCAGTAGCGTGGATCGATGCTCACGATGTCTGTCACTGGATTGCCTGGTCCAGACTCGATTATTTACAGACCGCCAACATGTACGAGTAGCTGGAATATTGTTGAGTGCGGTGTTAAACAACAAACAACATATTAAAATTGTGACCACAAACTGCATCCCTCCTTTTCCATGAGCACCCCCCACACTCAGCAATATTCTAGCTATGTGATGGCGGTCTGTATATAATCGAGTCTGGACCAAACAATCCAGTGATTGACATCATGAGCATCGATCTACACAACCGGGATACGATGACATGCATCATCCAAGTCAGCGAGCCTGACCACCGGATCCCGTTAGTCGCCTCTTACGACAAGCGATGTCGCCTTTTACGGCAAGCATGGGTTGCTGAAGACCTATTCTATCACAGAAACTTCAGGGGACCTCTGGCCAATGCCCAGTGACAGTGACCCAGATAACTGGCAATGCATGTCCATGCTCATTTACATACAACAAACGCACAACTTATAAATCTATGTTTATTTATAGTCATATAAAATAGTATATAAATGAAACTTATGATTGATATTTATAAAATGATCATTATCCCAATACAGTGGATGATAATGAATATATACAATGTATGATAAAAAGATTTCAATTACTGCTTTAGTATCAACCAACAGGCCATAGTGTCCAATACCTTCTGTCCCTACACCCAATGAGATTATACACTTCCCATTATGTGAAGGGCTAAGTTCTTCATACAGTGCTTTATTCACTGTTCTACCATCCTCCTTTATCCAGTGCAGTTTATCTCCATTCTATTATGATCATAACAGAATGTAGAAACACTGGATAAAAGTGACCTGCTTCTGATGTGTGGTCAGTGACTACAGCCAGGGATGGGTTGTCTCCCTTTCCCATAATTATCAGTTGTAAAATGGTCACAATAAGATATGATTACATGAACATAACAGCACAGTTGTACATGCATCAATTGCTATAAAATCTTGAATAATTTTTTTTGTAATAATGAAAATGAAGGTTTTTATGTTACCTGTTGACAAAATAATGAACCTTTCCTTGCTAAGTGTTATGTTTGTTTGTTTGTGTAACGCAGCACTCAGCAATATTCCAGCTACATGAAGACAGTCTGTAAATAATCGAGTCTGGACCAGACAATCCAGTGATTGATATCATGAGCATCAATCCACATAATTGGGATATGATGCCATGCAACAACCAGGTCAGCGAGCCTGACCAACTGATCCCATGTTTTGCCACTTAGGATGAGCAAAGTCGCCTTTAATGGCAATTGCTAATAGTAAATCTATCCTTAATGAAGACAGGACATATTTAGTTTCATGTGGCCCTCAGCATCAGATACTGAGAGGACCCATTCTTCTCATCCCAATACAGGGATCTACTAGCAATACCGTATTTAGTGTAATTAGCACCATGAACAATTTGTTGGGAAACTTTGCAAATGCATATAATATGAAAGTAAACTGCATGGTCAACATATTGTATCCTTCTGTCCCAAATGCTAATGCTCCTACATGGAATGTCAATGATGTTGTGATCATCTTTCAAATCTCAATGTATAGGTTCGTCTTTGTAGCCGTAGTGTCACACGAATCACATTTGGAAATGGGCCGAAATGCCCTAAATGAAAGTATTTTACTTCGGCTAAGTACAAGGACATTCTAACCAGATGGTTAGGCGAAACACAAAATCAAAAGGTGTTTTCCAAAACTATCTACTAATGCTATGCATGATGGAACTATATAATATATGGCTGGAATGTACAGGGGACAAGTCTTAAGAGGAATATACCAATTATACATAAGAATCATCTTCACTATGTACAGGAAATAACTTTTATCAAAATTTGAAATTCCATTATGGTAAGATTGGCATTCTTAAACATCTTGGTTACAAAATTTCTTTCAGATCAAAAGAACAAATAGAATTGCCCCATATAAATGAAAACAACATTGTCTGTGACAGGTATTCTAATGTAGATAAGAAGTGTTTTAGCGTACTATGTAGTTAGCATGGCAGTAACCATGGTAACATAAACTCTTCTATGTTTCTTGAAAATTATTTATTGTTTGTTTTGTTTTCCTACATCTTCCCAAGGCAAGTGAGTTAACTGACTATAAAAGTCCAGTTTCCACCCTTGCCGAACAAGGCTGGAATTCCTGGGCTCGATTGTAGCGCAACCAGTGGCTATTACGAGTTATGTCCTGTCTATGCCTCTCCTATTGACCAATCAGATTCAACCTCTCGTATCACTTGCATTTGCTTCAAACAAAACGGTGGCGCCCAGTCAAGACGATATGATCGATAATCAAGATCTATATTGTGATAAAATGAGTTTTACATCGCAAAGTGCATCAAATCACATGAGCACCTTGATTAAAAACATGAAAAGATTTAGAAAATATCTGTTGACAACGAGTTAGCGGTGCACATGCTTTGCAAATCCTGCAGTCGACCGACATCTGCATGACACTTTACGAACCGGATTTCGATACAAGTGCGCGATTTTGATTGGACTATGCATAGACTTGTTAGTCCAGCCAAAATGTAACTCCATAATACCAGCCTAGTTCGGCAAGGGTGGAAACTGGACTTATATAGTCAGTTAACTCGCTTGCCTCGGGAAGATGGTTTTCCTATTGCTCTAAGCAGATATTGAGGCACAGGCAGCCTTATAGGCTGGTTCCTGATTGGTCTATTTTCTCAGGTGCGGACATGTTGGGAAGTTGGTCAGTATCTGTACTTAAAGTATTCGTTGAGGACAACGGCCAGTATTAGAATCAACAGCACAAACATGGACACAATCCCTGCAGCTGCAACACCCTTGGCATACGACCCATACTTTGATGCCTTCACGTAGTCCAGGCGACTGAAGTAGATTTTCGACTGTTCTGAAAGTAGAAGGATGAAGACATAAAATAACTGCCATGTTATACATGTTATACATACCTAGTAGGAGTCTTTTATACCATCTGTAGCCATGGTATTATGTCTCAGGCCTACAATCAGCTCTGTAACCATGGTATTATGTCTCAGGCCTACAATCAGCTCTGTAGCCATGGTATTATGTCTCAGGTCAACAATCAGCTCTGTAGCCATGGTATTATGTCTCAGGTCTACACTCAGCTCTGTAGCCATGGTATTAAGCCTTGGCCTGCAATCAGCTCTGTTGCCATGGGATTATGCCTCGGCCTACAATCAGCTCTTTAGCCATGGTATAAAGCCTTGGCCTGCAATCAGCTCTGTTGCCATGGAATTATGCCTTGGCCTGCAATCAGCTCTGTAGCCATGGTATTAGACCTCGGTCTACACTCAGCTCTGTTGCCATGGTATTATGCCTTGGCCTACAATCAGCTCTGTAGCCATGGTATAACGCCTCGGCCTACAATCAGCTGTTTATAATGATATAATGAAGTAGCCTACAATCAGCTCTGTCGCCATGGTATGATGTCTTTGCCTGCAATCAGCGTGGTAGCCACAGTATCTAGCCTTGCCTGATGCTCCACCACGCATGTCCTGTAGCTTACCTGCAAGGAGGATGGCGAAGAGCCCGAACAAGGGGTTGATGAAGAGAGAGCAGAACGCGAAGCCCCAGTGGTCAGCAGGCTTCTTGTCTGGGTTGGGTTGCTTGGTGACGATGGGCAGCATGTAGGAGATTTGGGAAGGGGCATAACTGGTGTAGGTGGAGTACAGACTCTTCCTGCTACCAGACACGTAGGAGTAGCTGGAGGGCCCGTAGCTGGCCATGCTGTGTTGTGATGGGTAGCGGTTCATCTCCATCTCGCTGCCCGCTTCCGACCAGCTGTCGCCACGGGAATTGAGGTACCCGGCCGGGTACCCATGCGACATGATGATGATTCAAACAGTATCTATTACAACAGGAATGAAACATATATGACAAAATTATTTATCTTTACACATGTTAACTGAAGATAACTATGGGACATAAAAAAACTATCTGTATATCACATGGCACACTTTTCACCATTGTAATTGACCCGTTAAGATTCTGGGGTAGAATAGGTCTTCAGCAACCCATACTTGCCGTAAAAGGCGACTATGCTTGTCGTAAAAGGCAACTAATGGGATCGGGCGGTCAGGCTCGCTGACTTGGTTGATACATGTCATCGATCTCAATTGCGTGGATCGATGCTCATGATATTAATCACTGGATTGTCTGGTCCAGACTCTATTATTTACAGACCGCCGTCATATAGCTGGAATATTGCTGAGTGCAGCGTTAAACAACAAAACAACCAACCATTGTAATTAATAGTGCTGTAATGTTGCGGAGCACTGCGATACCATGTACCACTATAAGTATAAGACAAACAGATACATACACATATGTTATTTGGTATGAAAATATATAAAAATTCTGAACATATGTGTTCTGAAGTTGTTGTTACCCAATTGACTTAACTTTACTTCAGTATAAACATATATAGAGGTTATCACGCGAGTGTGTTTGGGGATATTTACCACCCCCAAACACACAAGCGTGATAACCTCTTTATCATATAATGTCATTCTTTAATTCTGTAATTCAAAATTGCTTTCCCTCTCTCACAAACATTACCGAAACATTGCGAGTTTTCCTGGAATGCGCGCATTAATATTTATTATGTCAGAGGGTAAGTGATGTGTCAGTCGGACAGTGACAGTAGCCAATATAGTTCCAACTGAAATCTATTTCTTATTCAGTGGCAAAGCAACATAAACGCAAAGCAGCAATTGTTTTTAATTGCCTTTCGCGTCAATCCATCGGTCTGTCCGCTAGAGTAACAGCCCTTTGTCAAAGGGAAGCTACTCTAACCCTAGCCTATGAGACGTCACGGCCACGGTCAGACGTTGTTGACAGTCGGTCTGTCCTGTCATAATGTTAAGAAGTGTAGTCAGATGTACACACAGCGACAAAACGAAACAAGGTAACAATTCAAATATATTTCGGCTAAATCCAACTATTTTTTTGTGTGGAGAAGGTTTCAAGCCGCAGAGATCTACAAGCACATTTATGGCTACTGATCCCGCTTGGCTAGGCCTCGTGCCCTCGCAAAATTGTTTTTGAAATTGATATCTCCAAAGTTGCCAAAACTTATAAAATGCCTTATCTACGTCACAGTTAGACACTGTTTTTTAGTATATTAGACTGTGCTTTTGATAATGATAGCAATTATCCCTGTAGTTTATCCAGTTTCAGATGGTTAATTCTGACTCGATTGCCGAATGACGAGGGCAACGACATGATTGTTTATGAACAGTGAAAATAGTCCCTACTTGACCTTTGATATTTGCATCTCTATCCGCATATGACCCCAACGGATATTGTTTTTATCCGTTGGCTTTATCCTGCCGAGAAACCTACCCATTATATGATAAATATTTATACATGTATGTGGTGGTTTATCTCTACAATGGAATATGGCTGCTTCAGATGGCAAATGTGCGTGTCTGCTTGTTATAGCCCAGACTAATGCTGATTATGCAGATAGCTGGGATACCATGGCCCGGTTTGACAAGGCTACCCCACTCTGACACAATGTACTGACTCCGAGCCGACCAGTCCTTGCCCCTTTTCTGATGCTGAATGCAGGGTCACAAGTACCATCTTTCAAAAAAAATTGGTACGAGACCGTATTCAAGTTTGACACTGTTGTCACTAATGACATCGTCTTAACCTACACTGAAAATTAGCACATGATCAAATTGCTTGGTCTGCCTTTGAGCACTTGTATGTAACGGATTGAAACTCTGATTACATCAAAGAAAGAAGTTTCCGGTTAATGCAAGAAGATGCATATAATACAAACCAGTGTTAGGGTCAATGCTCTCAAGGTGCCCATTGTCATTCAAAATCAGTACATGTTTTTTTCTTAATACATGGGTAAGATTCCGCCATTCAGACCCCCCCCCCCCCCCCCCCCTACTCCCCAAAAAAAGAGAAAAAGATATATAGTTAGAATATATATAAATAACTTTTGGAGGGGGATAACGGTGGATGTCTTTATAATTCTTGATGACTACTGTACCATTTAACAAAGGTATGTTGCTGCTATTAGACCTATCAAAATTTGGGACTTCCGGTGTTTTATTAAACCAACATTGACTCACGAACGTAAAGCTCATGGATCAATCGTCTTGGTATTTTCGTAACACCGGCAAATGTCCCTAATTGCGGGTATTGTCGATACAAATAACATATTTTGAGAATCTTTCAGCCTAAAGTAATAACTGACGATCACAAACAGAGACATTTCCGGTATTCTATTTCGCCAACACAGAAATACTGCACAGGTGCTTGTTTATATATCAACCAGCATGCATCTATAATACGGCGCGTTTACACAGAAATACATCGTTATATTTATATTTAACAGTAGTTTTATACCTGTGTAAAAGACCAAAATGCAGATTCGATATCCAAATACCGGAGATAATTTACCTGTAATATACAGGTAGAAGCGGAAATTGGTTTTGAAGAAGCAAGTATAGTAATATGTGTCGTACGACATATCCAACAGTTACTTCAGAAGCGTATTCAATTATGTACAACTTTGATTCATATCCAATAAAATTAAATTTTATAACCTCAGTTGCTAAATATAACATATCCGCTGCTTGTAATGATATATTTGTATTAATTAACAGTAATAATCAATTTCATTTAAAAGCATTGTCAAATATCTTAAAGAGAGTAGTACACACCTTTGGCGCATGCGCAGAAAGGGCATACCTTGTAGGTGAGTAACGAGCCATGACATTCCGCACTAGACTTGCCCGGGCTCTACAACGACGCAATAAAGTCGTGTGACACAGACGAACAAATCGAACGTCACAGGTTGCAGCAGCATGTGTTGCATTATTTACATGTTGATTACTAGTAAGACTATAATAGGACAAGTGTGTGTTGTTTGTTAGATACAGGCACTGCAGGTCAGCCGGAGTATTTTGTCATAATGGTGATGACTTGCACCAACATATACTGTCACAGTGAATAAACCATACAGGGTCAGCTATTCCCCGACATGCACTTGGAGGCAACGTGTGTGTTCTGGCGTCAATTTTCACATTATCAAACAGATCAGGTATACTTGTTCAAATGATGACACGCGCACACAAATTCGCGTGGTCGGTCACCTTCGGGTAGAGGAAAAACCATTTGAATGTTAAAACCACGGACAATCTAAGACTGCCGACAGTTTTTCTTCCAGAAGCCTACGTACATCTAAATAGTTATTCAGGTTTTGATCTATTTCAATATGCATATTTATGCTTACTATCAACGGACATGAGTTCCGGGGGTTGCAGTTTCCGCCCGTGTCGAACAAGGCTAGAATTTCCAGACTCGATCGTACCACCACCAGTGACTATTACGAGTTATGTCCCTCCTATTGACCAATCAGAATCAATCTCTCACATCACTTGCATTTGCTTCAAATACAATGGACCCGTGAAGTTCCGGGGTAGAATAACAACCCATGCTTGCCGTAAAAGGCGACTATGCGTGTTGTAAAAGGCGACTAACGGGATCGGGTGGTCAGGCTCGCTGACTTTGATTGATGCATGTCATCGATCCCAATTGCGTGGATAGATGCTCATGATATTAATCACTGGATTGTCTTGTCCAGACTCGATTATTTACAGACCGCCGTCATATAGCTGGACTATAGCTGAGTGCGGCGTAAAACAACAAAACAACCAATCAAACACAATGGCGGCGCCCAGTCAAGACGATCTGATCTATAATCAAGATCTAAATTGTAATAAAACGGGTCTTACCCCGTGAAGTGCATCAAATCACTTGAGCATCTTGATTATAAATATGAAAAGATTTGCAAGATATCTGTCGACGCTTAGTTGATGGTACAATTGCTTAGCAAATCCTGCAGTCGACCGAAATCTGCACGTTGAAATCCATGTTTTTTAACGAAGCGGATGTCTAGTTCGTTACACGATTTTAAATGGACTTATGCATAGACGCGTTAGTCCAGCCAAAATGTAATTCCGGAATTCCAATCTCATTAAAATCAGACCTTAGCTCTCGCTACCGCTAAACAAAGATGTGAGGACATCCCGTTACAGGTCACGTCAGAACGACCTTTAGGGAACGTTGACCGACCAATGAAATGACTAACAATAGCCTATCAGAAATCATCTTCCCGAGGCAAGAGAGTTAACTGACTTTAAAAGTCAGTGGAAACTGGACTTTTATAATAGTCGGTTAACTCACTTGCCTCGGGAAGATGATCAGAAATCAGCTTTTTCGAGCTTTAAGGCGACATCCTTTCCAGACGTTTTAAAAAAAATAAAGATTCAAAACGTGGAAACTGTTCTAAAGAAAATTCTGGAGTGTCTAAAAGATGGTCGAGGTTGTATACCAGTACTTATCACTGGCTATGAAAAGTGTCTTCCGTTTTAAATGTTTATCCCATTGAAGCAAGAGGCAGACGATGATTTTGACGGAAACAGTCGAACAGACCGTCGCTATATAGACCCGTTCGGAACACCCCGTGTTAACCCCTGCTCTGTCAGCATAATGCCTATGCCAACGCCGTTTAAATAATAACAGGAACCTCAATGTAGTGTCAGTCAAGTAGTATATATCTACCTCAAGTGGCTTAAAACTGCAAAACATGATTTTCCTAACATCATATTATTACGGGATTTCTACACCTTAACGGACAGGGCTCCAGGGCCCACTTGCACAAAGCGATCTTAGCGCTAAGATGATCGTAACTCCTGTACTTTAACATAGGCTTACGATAGTCTTAGCGCTAAGATCGCTTTGTGCAGCGAGTATTTACTCAGACGTTGTTCACACTGATGGTATAGAGATGACATTGGATATTCACTATATTTCTGTTTTCACTCACTGGTCCCAGTCTATTGAGTAGTGTATGTGTGATACCTAACTTCGATCAGAAAATAAAGATCTGTAAAGAATACAATACGTAAACTGAAGAGGCTACATCGTTTGTTGTTTAACGCCTCACTCAGCAATATTCGAGACATATGACGACGGTTTGATGTTTTCCGAGTCTGGACCAGACAACCCAGTTATTGACATCATGAGCATCGATCCTAGCAACTGGGGTAAGATGACATGCATCAACCAAGTCAGCCAGCATGACCATCCTATCGTTAGTCGCGTTATACAAGCATGGGTTGCTGAAAACAAAACCGGATCTTCACGGGTCTACATTGGGTAATTGTACCCAGTGTTGTTATATAACTTGTTATTTTAAGAAAAAAGAAATCATGCGGTGTGGTTGCCAAGTGGTTACACCGTTTGCTCGTCACGCCAAAGACCCGGGCTCGATTCCCCCCGTGTTCGATATGTGAAGCCCATTTCCGGTATACCCCGCCACGATATTGCCGGAATATTGCTAAAAGCGGCGTAAAACAGACTCACTCACTCTAATTGGGGAGCGGACATTTCGGTTATTGGACCTTTCGAACGGGTGTTTCATTATGGGTGTTAACGAGACCACAAGCTGCAATCGCAACGTACATGTACGATGAATTTGAATACTAAATATATACTGGAAACCGCAGATTCTGTCATGTTCAACTGCCTCTCGTGTCCACTCGTGTCAAAGCTGTAAGACCAAACTCTTTGATTATGCTGTAAATGTGTTTTTGTCATAAGTGACATACACTGCTGGGCAAAAGAAAGCATACATCCATGTTTGATGGTTGCTAAAATGAAACAAACAAGAAGTGATTATAAGTGTTGATCACAGTTGTTTTGGACCGTAAGAATGCATTGTTTCGGCGACTGTTTTCAGCCTAATAACGTCTTGTTTTCATGATCTGATTTTCAATGTCATGGCGTGCCAGCCTGACGTGGCGAAATCCAGGAGCAATGGTAAGGCACTGACACACCAAGGATTCAGAGAACGACTAGCGGATCATGGTTCGGATAAGGGGCGCAACTCTACAGGAAGTTGCCTCGCCGACGACAACTTGGTCGTCCCAGCAACAGTGATAAACCGTGTCCCCAAGGAGGAAGCTATTGGCTACTGGTGATAAGATGTATGGTTATAACTCTCGCTTCTTGAGATTAAACAAAAATGTCCCACGCCATGACTTAAGGAAAACCATCGCCTCTACGCATGTACATTGCGTCTTCAGAGTCATTCGTGACCAACTCGTGTTATTCCGGGACAAGCCGAATAGCGACTCGTGCCCCTCGCACATAGCATTCTTCGAAAGGGGACGAGTCTTCTTGCAGGTTACGGAAAGGGGCGAGTGGTGACGAATGCTACAGAGTATCACACGGCGGAGGGCACAGGGAACGAGGCAATATGGCGGTGTGCATAACAGACAGACTGTTTTATTCCGCACAAAATATATTCAAAAGCATGCTCATGCATGTGCCTTTTGTATCATATTTACAATTCTTTATATTTACATGATATTGGACATTTCTGATAATGCCAATGCTCTTATTCTGCATGACCGAGGAATAATTATTGATTACAAAAGTCTGAACAGCAAGTCTGAAATTGCAACATCTTAATCTGGAATAGGATGTACTCAAATGTTGAGGAAGGTCATCTTTGCTTAAAACCTTTTCAATATTTAGAAGGGATTCAAACTTATCATAGTAAACACACTTTTCCATGTACAGAAACTTGCCATGACTAAAGGAGATTATCATGTAATCTGTGCTTAGAATGTGCAGTGATGGCTGCTTCGAACACGATGTAACGTTGTTTTGGTAACCTATTGCCTTACAATAGTCTTACAATACTTAATTGCCATTGTCATATATACAAACTGTAAATGCACTCTTCCACATTCTATGAACTGTGGACATCGGAAGGGTCGTCCTGTTTTATTCTGCTCACAAGCTTCGCCCAGAAAGCCGCATCCCCTGTGTAGGGCAAGCATGGGTACGCTTCTAGGAAAACCGCCACGTCTGGCGGGAGGGCATCCTCATCCAGCACCTCCATGGCAACGGGGATAACAACACTCTGCCGCGTTGCCATCCCGTGCATGACCGCCATATTGAATTCCAGTTCCCGATCCCAGCACTTGAAGAAGTCCGAGGTGATGAGCGCCAATGTCCTCCTGGAACCCAACACGGCTTGCTCAATGATGTCCCGGGTGTTCCTCCCAGACAGAAAGTCAATCTCACTTATAAGACAGGAAATATGATTCTCCTTAAGTTTATCGAGTAGTTCTTCTTGTACAAATTGGCGCCAAGTCATGTCGTCCTCATCATAGGAAACAAAGACATCACGCAGTCTGTTGGGTGGTGCTGCGTAGTCTGCGGGGTAGAAGGGGTTGACGCGGCGCCTGCCGGTGTAGTAGAGATAACGCAGCTTCCAGCGTTTGTAGTAAACAACACTGACCATCCCTAGGACCAGGAGAACCACGATGAATACGCTCAGCACTATTGTGAAGGTAGTCTGACCATTGCATTTAAACCAGAGAGATCTTGCGATGTCCTGGAACTGCCCGTATGGAATTTGTGAACTGTTCGTAATAAAACACAGATTATTTCTGACGGATCTGATGGTGACCTTGGTCTGTAGACTCCACGTCACGAACTCCAGGTTGTCACAGTTGCATGCGAGTGACGGGTTGTCTGATATGTCAATGGTGATGTTGGTAGAGGTGGCGATGTCATCCAAATCCTGAAGCATATTTTTATCCAGACTAACAAGTTCATTTCCCGACAAATCCAGGTATTTCAGTTTCGTCATGCGTCCAATTCTGGCCCCTAAACTCCTCAATGAATTTTCGTCCAACTTCAGCTGTTCCAGGTTCACTAAATTATGGAACACAATTTCCGGTAACTGGCGTATCCGGTTTTTACCAAGGGTAAGGATTTGTAGGTTTGTTTGTGATGAGAATATCTCTCCTTGTCTGTCCAATGCCAGCGACCACCCCAGATTGTTGTCATGGAGATACAGGTGAGTCAGATTGGCCATGTCCTTGAAGAAGGCGGGGCTGACATCACTGCACTGATTGGCCGACAGGTCAAGTCTCTCCAGATCATGAAGACCATACCACGGACCTCCCCAGCAATAAAGTATATCAGTTGACAAGTTGAGCGATCGAAGGGAATTGCTGGATGTGAATGTGAAATTTGGTAATGAGAGTCCTAATCTTATGACGTCTGCTCTCAAGGTATGGAGAGTGGGTGGCAATGGTATGATGTCGATGTGAATACCATAGTCGTATGATGTATCATGGTCACAAGGACCCTTTGAATCTCCAGACATGTTGAAGTATTCTATGACTCTGTTTGCATTGTGTCTGGTCGGTCTGTTATTTTCCGGAGTGATAGTTCTCGTGTGTATAATGCTACCGTCACAATATTGGTAAGTCTGCGTTGATCGCATGGGAATGGATGACACAATGTATCTCTCCGCCCGTGAATTGATCATTTGATGTCCAATATCTAGGAACTCTAGGTTTGGTAAGAGGACAACTCCGAGAAGAAATTTGGCGTCCCATAATTTATTGCTCTTGATCGACAGATACTTGATTGTTCGTGGTAGGTTATATATTGCTAATTTGTCTACACATGTGACATAGTTGTGGTCAAGAGTAAGTGAGGTGATCTTTGTCTTGCGAAGATGCTGGAAATATTGACCAAATAAGGTCATGGCCTCATCTCTGTTGATTGTGGTCAACAGAAGGACCTGTAAGGACGTGTTGATAAAACTCTCTGAAGCAATCATTAAACTTCGAAAACGAAAATGACTGTTATCAGTCAAGTCCAACACTTCTAACATTGGCAATGCGTTGAATGCCAATGGATGAATGTTTAATATACCACACTGAGAAATGTTCAATTTCAGTGGATGATGAGTGTTGAAATTACGAAACAGGTTTTCACTGATATTATTCAGGCTGCAATAGCCATTAAACCCGCTGAAATCAAGTTCCTGTAGATTCTCGAGTGCTTGAAAAGCCTCCCCAAATTGGAGGGTAAATATCGAGTCTGAACGGAAGACCTGTAGCTCCACGAGACCCGTCACGTCCGGGTAGCCTGTACTCAGTGCCATGGTGTCACCATCAATATTGTTCTGAATATCTAGTACCTGCAGTTTCTTTAACTCCGAGAAGACGCCGATTGGATACGATTCGTTGTTGAGGTGCAAGTGGTTGCTTGCCATGTTCAAACCCTCCAATGACACAAGTCCATGCAGTGCACCCCTTTCAAGGCGAGTGAGCGAATTGAAGGAAAGGTCAAGGTCACGTAGGCGCGGTAACTCCAGGAAGGTGTTGTTCTCTATGATACTGATGTTGTTGTGTTTGAGATCCAGATGCAGTGTTGTTGACGGGATGCCATGTGGCACCGAGGTCAGGTTCTTGTGCGAACAGTCAACAGTTACCTCCCCTTTGACATCGCCTTTACATGTACACGGCCAGGGGCATGACCTTGCACCGTGCCAGTGAACTGCCAATACCATCAACACTGTAAACGTATTTCCGTCCATGGCGGATTTGCCGATCACTGTAGTGGGTTCCTAAGATATTGAAGATATTTTACAATTGGTACATTCGGGACTTTTTGAAGACTCTTTGCACTGTTTTTGAAACCTTTACTGTCGCCTCTGAAAATAGAAAGTTCAGTCTTTAACATACACTCATTCCCAAAAGGTAGAAAATGGAAAAGAAGATGGCCTTTAACATCGCTTTCAGCAATTCTACGAGAGTACACCGGAAATGGGCTTCACATTATACTAACAACAACAACAACAACAACAACAACAACAACAATAATAATAATGCCATTTATATTGCGCTATATTTTCACATCACAGAGCGAGCGGCAGACTCAAAGTGCTGTTACCACGGACAATGGATCAGTGTGAATTGATTTTTATTCTCAGCTCACTGGAGTGTGTACAACCCACGCTGCCTGTGAGGCGTTACACGGTTACAAGTCACATGACTATCTCACCCAGTTCCTATTCACCGCTGGGTTGACAGAGGCATCCAACCCCCAACTGAGAGAGGAGTTTGATATTTTGGACCCCTCCCTTTTAGAAATGCTGGATAAGCCCTTGCGTACTACCACAGGAAGACCTAAATTGACGGACTACTTTAACCATCAAGCTACCCCACCGCCCATGAAAATGTTAAAAATTGTCGTCTGCATGTCCAATCTGAGCTGTACACCGTGTCATGTGAGGGTGGGGGTTGAGCGCGGCCTGAAACCTGCGCTCCAGTACCTGTTTGTTCACACGGTCCCCAAGGCAACGTCACACCGCCGTGTCACAGTCAGTCAACAGCTGTTTTAAGCGTTGAATGCAATGACAAACAATCAATTGCTATCTCTCCCAAATGTACACCATCTACAATTTCACTGTAAGTGACGAGAATTATCTTTAAGGGAAAAGGACAGTTGAACGTCTTAATAATATATTCCATCCTAGTGTGTTTTCTATTTGAGAAAACAAAATGTGGCGTTTATTAACCCGCTCGGTTTGAATCCAGGATTTGGTACGGATACACCCGTGAGAAGAAATAACCACTGACATATATAAAACCTTGCATCCAGTGTGTGTGTGTGTGTGTGTGTGTGTGTGTGTGTGTGTGTGTGTGTGCATGTGCATACCTGATCGTCTGCTGACGCCGTCTATTTCCCGCCTGGCGTCACATACGAAGCGCGGGGAGGCTGGCCACGGTGTTCCAGGGACGAGATGGTATATGCTCGTCCAAGCGTCTCATGCTGACAGACACAGTCTATATTTAGTGTGTGTACGCGATAACTCGAGCTTTTGCGTACCCTTGATAAACGGTTCGCTTTAATAGAATGTACCACAAAAGGCGTTAACCACATCCGCGTCTTTTCACTTGTGATAAACACTCACATTGCCGACTACGTTGTTACATGACGCAGAAACTGTTCTTGGTTTTCGTGTGATATGGACTGCACAATATCGGTTGACCTGCGTGATGTGATGAACCCCGTGCTGCCTGCGTGGGTGACTGGTGGTGCTTACGTTGACACTGCTGGGGTGTCCGGCGATACATCTGTTGGTGCAATGACGCGAAACGACAAGGAAGTTGAACGGATTGTTTCCAGGTGTTACCATCTCATGCAGTTTGTTCCTCCACAATACAGATGCAACAGTGACGTCACTTATATTAATCACGTGATGCAATCCGTACACAGTTGGGTTTTCGTCCGCCTCGTGAGGTCCAGTCCCGGAATATATTCCTGTCCGTTGGAGAAGCTGTTTTTGTGTGACCCTCTGAGGACTTTCAGTTTCGCCAGAAAACACTTTGTATGGGCCATTATGTTACATAGTGTCTGTGAATGAGTGATTCACACTGTAACAATTGCAACTTCTACTGTGCCGATTTTATTCGGATCAGAAAATATTGACCTTTAAATGACCACTGAACGTTTTAACATACTTTTTGATATTTCGAATTCATAGCGATGTTTTTAAAAAGTCACCTTCGTTTGAGAGTGTATTGGTGACTGTTTATTGGCGACACCGTTTACTGAGCGAGTGAGTTGGGTCTTACGCCGCTTTAAGCAATATTCCAGCTTCACACATTGTATCCTACCATGGTGGGGAATCGAACACGGGCCTTTGGCGTGACGAGCGAACTCGCTAACCATAAGGCTACCCCTACGCCGTCCCCGTTCGCTGTAGGGCACTTGCCGGAACTCAAATATCGTATCCACGAGGACATCTCTATGTTTTGACAGATTACGTATATTATATATAATCATACATTCTGATTCTGATCAACAGTATGCCAAAAATTGTCTGCAAATTGTGGATTGATATTCAATCAATACGCTGTGACTGTTTAGTTTGTCATGAGTGAATAACAAACGAGCTACGAAGAATTCCGGATTTTCTATCCGTGTGAATAAACGGTGCAAATCGAGTCCTTGGCGAGGGACTTACGGAATTCACTCACGGGGGTGATATAAGTCCGTATTTTCGAGGTTCTAGGTTATTCTATGTTATTCATTGACATTTTAAAAGGGAAAATGTGTGAAATGTCAACCCTCAAGATAAAGTTCCTAGAAGGCAGTCTTTTGTTCAAATGACGTCATGTAATCATTGGGACGTCGTGAACAATAGGCGACGTTATATATTATTCTCAACAATGAAGTATGTGACGTGAAATCAATTCAACTGACCATTCAGCAATAATTTTTTAATTTGACGTTTACACGATATACGGCTTTTCCATTGGACGAGAGGTCGGTCACATGACCGCGAAGTTGACGTTCATAAGTGTATGAACGACATAATTTGACGTTCATACGTTTTTCACGAGACCGTGTTCTTGAAATGACGTAAACACTGACGGACTACTTCCACATTCCTGGGCAAACCCTGGGAATTCCCTACCACGAAAACATACATTTTATTTCTGATCATTTAGAACCTTTTACCTTGGTCTCAGCATTTCAGTGTACATTGAGAAACGTAAGAGAGCTTGACTGCATGATTGTTCACGAATTTCCTCGCTACGGCCCATCCTTATGAACAAACGAAAAAATGCACATCCAAACTATCGTCAGTATCGACTCGATCTGTGTCTAGGCTGACAGTGACCATCTCCAGCAATCTACGAATTTACCTTGGTGTCTGTTTGACGCATCTTTAATCACCTTTCAATAATCGGTCAGTTGATCAATTATGACTAACACATGTAACCGCCACAGGTTCATTAACAACTTCGGAAATCCTCCCGTTACGTTTATCGTGTCGGCCATTTTGACGTCTTGTACTTGATGTAATTTATGTATTACGACGCGCTGTCATTGTGACTGACTTACTGAGGTAGTTCATTACAGACCTTGCTCATCTAATGGGGATATTATATGAACACATGTGTTGCGTAAGATGTTTCTGAAGAGCAAGTTCTACATCCATACGCTCATGTCACCTCTCTTTTGGGGGATCTATTTTATTCCGCGATATAGCTGGTTGTTGTTTGGCTGTCAGTGTAAACATGAAGTCACACGTACTAAATAGAATTGTGTTTAGATCTTGGCCTACGTCCTTTGAGGAAAGAAATTGTGATAAAAAATTATAAGAATTGACTTTCACTTTGTGTGAGTTCATTGGAGTATGAACCTGCATAGAGTGAGGGCCAAACTGTATGAACGTCGGAGCTTTCGTTGTGTTCATGGAAATTCCTGCATTCTGATCAGCTGAATTGGTCACGTGTTATTGCATTCATGTCCCAATAAATGTAAAAAATTAAGCCACGCCCACCGCGGCGCACTACTTTTATTACTGCGGAATGTCGGGGAATCCCAATATAACAGTCGAGGGAATTCCCTTTCTGCTCACGTGTATCGCATCATTTAGCGCCTTTTAATGCATATTCATTGTCCAAACTACCCATTTGAAACCGAAGGCCGAGAATGAATGAAACAGCAAACGTGCAGGCACGCTCGCCTGTTTTTTCCCCGCTCGCCTCGGTTCAACTTTCATGTCTTCGGGTTTCATTTCTAACTAGCATTTCTCCAACTGTGTTTTACCGTAATCAGGGAAGTAATGTATGAACCACGCAGAAAATGACCATGTTATTTGAAACAGCCGCCTTCTCTTGGACATATTTCTTCCGGTTCGTGACAGTCTGACTGTTGCAGTTCTTTTCGCCTCTTGCCTTAATTGACAGGTCCAATGAACATTGTTTTAATCCCACTCTCCGTTGATTGGCCACTGACTGTGTAGGCGTGTCAAGTTATGTGCATAAATTAAAAGGATCACCTGATTCATGTCACGCCACTGTATGTATTCCTACACCTGGAATGTTTATCAATGTCGTCATTTTTGTCTGTTTTGATATATGCAACTGTTTTGGGTTAAACTATGTAGATAAAACATGTTTTACGTTGTCGAATCACAGGAGTCCGTATCTAAAAATAGACGCCCTCATGCATATTCATGACCATCTCCACACGCGAGCTCGCGTGTGGAGATGGTCATGAATATGCATGAGGGCGTCTATTTTTAGATACGGACTCCTGTGGTCGAATTTAATTATAAGCATTGACTGTATATTTGTTTCGGTTCATTGAGGTAAGAATCGAAAAACCGATGTGCAAACTTTTGTAAGAATCTGCTACGCGGATTCATACAGTTTCCGTATCGGTTTTTCGATTCATACCTCAATGAACCGAAAACAATACACAGTCAATCCTAAATTGGAAATCGCTAAAATGTGCCAATATCGTAAAGTTATTACACACGATCATTCTACTCTAAGGGAATATTATGCATTTATCACCCGAACTGGCTTCCAAGGATATCGCCATAATACAATTGCAGCACAATGGTTTACAGACCACTGGCGATTACGTCACAATCAAATGATATCTCTGCCACTGAATCTGGTTAGCTGCACTTTTACAATGAAGACACTGGTTATGACCGAATACAAACTGAAAAAGATTTGGATTTTAGATAATAAATGTAATCTCAGCATCTTGTCTTTTGACATAAAAATATACTTGCGGGAAGATTAATGCAAGTATTGATGTACGTCCAGATGTAGTCCAATGTTGCTGCCACGTCATCGAACTGTACGGTTGAGGCTGAAGTTACACGATTGGAGTAAAGTTCCCGCTGCTGCTCAACAAAGATCTGAGGACATTCAATTACGGGTCACGTCAGAACGACCTTTCGCGAACTTTGAAATGACTAACCACTGAAATGACTAGCATGAAGTCGACATCAGCCAATTAGAAAGCAGCTTTCTCGCGCTTTACGACACTCGATTCAAACTGGCGACATCCATTTCAGACTCAATGAACCGAAAACAATACACAGTCAATCCTAAATTGGAAATCGCTAAAATGTGCCAATATCGTAAAGTTATTACACACGATCATTCTACTCTAAGGGAATATTATGCATTTATCACCCGAACTGGCTTCCAAGGATATCGCCATAATACAATTGCAGCACAATGGTTTACAGACCACTGGCGATTACGTCACAATCAAATGATATCTCTGCCACTGAATCTGGTTAGCTGCACTTTTACAATGAAGACACTGGTTATGACCGAATACAAACTGAAAAAGATTTGGATTTTAGATAATAAATATAATCTCAGCATCTTGTCTTTTGACATAAAAATATACTTGCGGGAAGATTAATGCAAGTATTGATGTACGTCCAGATGTAGTCCAATGTTGCTGCCACGTCATCGAACTGTACGGTTGAGGCTGAAGTTACACGATTGGAGTAAAGTTCCCGCTGCTGCTCAACAAAGATCTGAGGACATTCAATTACGGGTCACGTCAGAACGACCTTTCGCGAACTTTGAAATGACTAACCACTGAAATGACTAGCATGAAGTCGACATCAGCCAATTAGAAAGCAGCTTTCTCGCGCTTTACGACACTCGATTCAAACTGGCGACATCCATTTCAGACTACGCTTGATAAATATGTTGACACAGTTCTCCATTAAAATTTTGAAAACCGAACAAACGAACATTCCAAAATGTCTAATATATGGTTGAGATTGTATGGCACTGCTATCCACGTACTGTGCAACGCCTCCTCCGTTCAAATGTTTATCCCACGGAGCGAGAGATAGACGATACTTTTGACAGAATCAGTCGTACGGGCCGTAACTGACGTTCGGCATACGCCATGTTAACGTTTTCGATGTTGCATGATTAGAAAACACATTCCGACTGTCATTTTCATAATCTGGTAGGCGACGCTTTGATTGGTCGGATGAAAGATACTTCTGACGTGACCCGTAATGGGATGTCCTCAGATCTTTGTTTAGAGACAACCAGAACAGATCTGATTTTAATGAGATTGAGGATTGGAGGTTAGTCCTCTTCACGGATGAGTCCAGATTTCATGTTGACATCAGTGATGGCCGTCAGCGTGTTTATTGACGTGGGATGGAATGTTAAGACGTTATGTGTGTTGTTCAACCTTCTGGATTTGGTGGTGGGTTTCCTAATGGCATTGGAAGACATCACTGCACGCCACATGACCCATCAAAATAATAGTGGTCATCGATGGCAAATTAACAGGTGTGCGGTAACGTGACAAAGTTATCCACCCTCCCATTCTTTCAGATCCATGGACGTCACATCACTTTCCAACAGGTCAAGCAGGCCCCCTCGTTGCACATGTGGTCACAGACTTCACCGGACAACAGAACATCCTCACACTCACATGCCCTGCTCTATCGCCAGATCTTCCACCTGTCGAACATTTGAAATGAAACATATGCAGACTTCCAAACCAAACGGTGATGTTGGTCCAGCTGTGAGAGGCCTTGGTTGATCTCAGAAGCCTTCTAAAGCATATTGTGTCATCAATGCACAGTTGTGAGAATTATGTCACTACTGATGGTGGTCATGGGTTGAATGCACCAACTGACCCCATGCCACTTCCAGTTGCAAAATCATTTTTTGTTTGAGTGTTAATGTGCAGAATGCTGCTTGTTATTGTTACTCGACTGAATGCTGTGGAACTGTATTGAATGCTGCGTCGCTGTGCTAAGCACCATGTTATGAACCCAATGCTGTGTTGTTGGTCCCAAAGCGCTTGTGCCATGGGGATTCAGGGACAAAACAGGTCTCCAGTATACCAAGTTTGATGATGACAACACACACACATTCCGGCCATTCCGGAAAGATATTATTTTGCAAATTCACAACAGGACACAAGCAAAGGATAAAACTAGTATAATCTTATGAAAAGTCATCACTTACAAAATGATTTTTCGTTAATGGTTAAAAAGGAGGGCAAGCCACCATTACTTCCTTCAAGGTCAAAGCTTATTAACACCAACACAATGTCACAGCAGACTTTCTATAGTAATGAGTGAATGAGTAGGGACTGGCACTGCTTGTTGCCAGCTGGAAGCTGTATTACAGCCCAGAACAGTACAGTAATCATGAGCTTTGGCTATTGTTCCCATGGCCATGTGTTAAATAAATACCAAGTCATCAGAAAGCTAGGCAAGCACACAGCCTGTTGGGCTACCCAGCCCTGCTATAACAGCTGAAAAACAACCTGCATGTTGGACATAACAGCTGATATACAACCTGCATGTTGGACATAACAGCTGGTGATCAACCTGTATGTTGGACATAACAGCTTGTATACAACCTGTATGTGGGTCATAACAGCTGATGATCAACCTGCATGTGGGTCATAAGCTGATGATCAACCTGCATGTGGGTCATAACAGCTGATGATCAACCTGCATGTGGGTCATAACATCTGATGATCAACCTGTATGTTTGACATAACAGCTGATGATCAACCTGTATGTTGGACATAATAGCTGGTATACAATCTGCATATTGGACATAACAGCTGGTATACAACTTGTATGTGGGCGTTAACAGCTGATGATCAACCTGTATGTGGGTCATAACACCTGATGATCAACCTGTATGTTTGACATAACAGCTGATGATCAACCTGTATGTTGGACATAATAGCTGGTATGCAATCTGCATATTGGACATAACAGCTGGTATACAACCTGTCTGTGGGTCATAACAGCTTATGATCAACCTGTATGTGGGTTATATCAGCTTATGATCAACCTGCATGTGGGTCATAACAGCTGGTATACAACCTGCATGTGGGTCATAACAGCTGGTATACAACCTGAATGTGGGTCATAACAGCTTATAATCAACCTGCATGTGGGTCATAACAGCTGATGATCAATATGTATGTAGGTCATAACAGCTGATGATCATCTTGTATGTGGGTCATAACAGCTGGTATACAATCTGCATATTGGACATAACAGCTGGTATACAACCTGTATGTGGGTCATATCAGCTTATGATCAACCTGTATGTGGGTTATATCAGCTTATGATCAACCTGTATGTGGGTTATATCAGCTTATGATCAACCTGCATGTGGGTCATAACAGCTGGTATACAACCTGCATGTGGGTCATAACAGCTGGTATACAATGTGTCTGTGGGTCATAACAGCTTATGATCAACCTGTATGTGGGTTATATCAGCTTATGATCAACCTGCATGTGGGTCATAACAGCTGGTATACAATCTGCATATTGGACATAACAGCTGGTATACAACCTGTATGTGGGTCATATCAGCTTATGATCAACCTGTATGTGTGACATAACAGCTGATGATCAGCTGTATGCTATTTCACAACTGGCAAGGACCAACAAGCAATCAATAATTCACAGGACTCGTATTTTCAGTTAAACCGTTCTATAACATATACGACATGTATGAATATGAAATGGTCTACAACACTTCAAAGATGGAGGAATTGTACAACAATGTTAACATGAAGAATGTGTATTTACAGACAGCCGAGGAATGGTTAATAAAATCATGATACACAGGAAACATCCCCACTAAACTTCCACGTTCCCCCGATGGTCTTACAGGGCCAGCTTACTTCCAGCCCAGGGAACGCTGTGTTGGTTAGCAGGCTCACTCTAAAATGTCAGCTCAACAAAAACATGCTACTATAGTTGTACAACAAGCATGTGTTTCAAGGAGTTCTCGAGTTGTATAACAACCACATTTTCCTTGGGGAGAAACTGTCAAGTTGCAAGAGGAAACTTGCTTCCTCAACTCAGGTTTCAACTTGGCCAGAACACGGAAGATGTTCTCAAAAAATAGACAACACAGATGAATAAAAACTGCTCAAAAAGCTAAAACTAAAGTGAAACAAAATACAAGGAACAAACTTTAATGAGTTGCTTAAGAAACACAAGCTGTGATACCCATAACCTCTGAGAGCAGCTTCAGCCACGATGTCCCTGTCCGGACAATACTGCTATTGTGTGAGACAGCTTGTGTTCATCATAAGGGTGAGTGGTTAATGGCCAACATGAAGCACTTCCTGTGTGAAGTACATCCTGTGTGTTTGAATAAATATCTTAAATAGAGGAAGGATGAAGGTTAAATGAATGTTCAGGCAATATGTGACAGATTCAGTAGACAGCCAAGAGAGGAAACAAATACTGCATTAGGTTTGTCATGCACACGAGACCCGCACATACCTCAAGCACTATCACCAGGAGGGTCCCACTCACATGCTCCAGCACATACCTCAGATGTCTACAGTTGACATAGCAACAGTAGACATACCAAAAGTTGACATACCAACAGTAGAGTGAGTGAGTGAGATGTGTTTAACGCCGCTTTTAACAATATTCCAGTTATATCGCGGCGTGTCAGCTTAATGTGGGAGGAAAGCCCAAAGTGATGCAGGTCTCAGACATTTACCACTTCGGTGAAACCCACGAGCAAGGGTATGGTGCTGACAAACCTAGAAACATAATCGGGACGAACTGGGATTCAAACCCACAATCATAGGTTTCTGGCGTGCCCAAGGGACGCAACTCTGAACAGCGAATTGCGACGTCTTAGCCGACAGGGACACCCGTGGTCCCACCAACAGTAGACATAGCAACAGTTGACATAGCAACAGTAGACATACCAAAAGTTGACATAGCAACAGTAGACATAGCAACAGTTGACATAGCAACAGTAGACATACCAAAAGTTGACATACCAACAGTTGACATACCAACAGTAGACATAGCAACAGTTGACATAGCAACAGTAGACATACCAAAAGTTGACATAGCAGCAGTTGACATAGCAACAGTAGACTAACCAACAGTTGACATACCAACAGTTGACATATCTACAGTAGACATACTAACAGCTGACATACCAACAGTAGACATACCAACAGTTGACATACCAACAGTAGACATAGCAACAGCAGACACACCAACAGTCGAAATACCAACAGTAGACATACCAACAGTTGACATACCAACAGTAGACATACCAACAGTTGACATACCTACAGTAGACATACCAACAATTGACACACCAACAGTAGACATACTAACAGCTGACACACCAACAGTAGACATACTAACAGCTGACATACCAACAGTAGACATACAAACAGTTGACATAGCAACAGTAGACATACCAACGGTTGACATAGCAACAGCAGACACACCAACAGTTGACATAACAACAGTTGACATACCAACAGTTTACATACCTACAGTTGACACACCCAGAGTAGACATACCAGCAGTTGACATACCTACAGTAGACATACCAACAGTTGACATACCAACAGTAGACATACCAACAGTTGACATACCTACAGTAGACATACCAACAATTGACACACCAACAGTAGACATACTAACAGCTGACACACCAACAGTAGACATACTAACAGCTGACATACCAACAGTAGACATACAAACAGTTGACATAGCAACAGTAGACATACCAACGGTTGACATAGCAACAGCAGACACACCAACAGTTGACATAACAACAGTTGACATACCAACAGTTTACATACCTACAGTTGACACACCCAGAGTAGACATACCAGCAGTTGACATACCTACAGTAGACATACCAACAGTTGACATACCAACAGTAGACATACCAACAGTTGACATACCTACAGTAGACATACCAACAATTGACACACCAACAGTAGACATACTAACAGCTGACATACCAACAGTAGACATACAAACAGTTGACATAGCAACAGTAGACATACCAACGGTTGACATAGCAACAGCAGACACACCAACAGTTGACATAACAACAGTTGACATACCAACAGTTTACATACCTACAGTTGACACACCCAGAGTAGACATACCAGCAGTTGACATACCTACAGTTGACATATCTACAGTTGACATAACAACAGTAGACATACCAACAGTTGACATACCAACAGTTGACATACCAAGATTAGACATACCAACAGTTGACATACCAACAGTTGACATACCCAGAGTAGACATACCAACAGTAGACATACCAACAGTTGACATATCTACAGTTGACATACCAACAGTAGACATACCAACAGTTGACATACCAAGATTAGACATACCAACAGTTGACATACCAACAGTTGACATACCAACAGTTGACATACCAACAGTTGACATACCAACAGTTGATCACTAGGAGTACACAAAGAATCAATGTGGGACATCAACTTGTGCTGTGCTGCCACAACTTGGTGTCCACCACAGTTCTGTTTGTGTATCTGTCAGTTGGTCACAGTATTGTGATATAACTTGATGGGATGTAAACAACAGACTAAGTACCTATCTTGGACATCATAACCATCTTGATGAAATACTTTGGTATCGCCTTGTTAATGTACCAGGTTGGGCTTCATTTGTTGATATACACTACATAAAAAGGTTGAGGACCACCTGATTCTATCATATGACTAAAGTTAATCTGTTATGGCATGACAGATTAACTATCATAATATGACAGAACCAAGTGGTCCTTAACTTTTTTATAGCAATATACAAAAAGCACTTAATGTAAATGATATGTTCCAAAAAACACTCTGGGCTTCTTACCAATACATTCTCCTGTAAAATATGTAGCGTCTTCACTTCTTTTCTGGGGTCTACCTCATAAAATAAGTCACTCGGCATAAAACATTTTAGTTGACTTGACATTAATCCCATTTGATATATTCGCAAAATAGTGTTTAATCACTTGAGGATGTACTTCGTGAGCGTCTTCGGCTACGTCGACGTGAACTACCACTGCTGCTCCTACTACTGCTGCTTCTCCGCCTACGTGACCTTGACCTACTTCGAGACCGACCTCTGCTGTCACTACGTCTGAAATGAAATAGAGAACATATTGTGAGGAGAGAAACTTTCAATCCTAGGGACGTGTTCTGGCGAAAACAGAAGCAGCAGTTCCTTCCCCAGCGTTTCAAGGCCATACCACAGACCACCAGTCTCCCCTACTACAACACAACCTCCTCCCAGACATAACGTATCAGGTCTGTAACCAGCCAAATAACACACTGAAATGGCCTAGGCAGATCCAGAGGGGGTGTCCAGGGGGCCCGAACTTTTGAAAACCAAATGTAGTATGTTCTAAGGAGCAAAATGATCTGAGAGAGGATTTTGTTATTTTGGAGTGAGTGAGTATGGTTTTACGCCGCTTTTAGCAATATTCCAGCAATATCACGGCGGGGGACACCAGAAATGGGTTTCACACATTGTACCCATGTCGGGAATCGAACCCGGGTTTTTGTCATGACGAGCGAACGCTTTAACCACTAGGCTACCCGACCGCCCCTTGCTATTTTGGAATCCTACTTTCTACAAATGCTCGATCTGCCCTTAAATCAGCATTAGAAACTAACAGTTTTAGACCACTAGTCCTTATAATGATAACATATAGCAAAACCTGTAAAAATAGCAAATTGCTACTAGTCCTTATGATACCTATTGGGCAGTTTGGCAAGGACAATAGGACTAGCACCAATTTGTAATGCTGTTGAATGGTTTGAAAAAATTACTTGCTGAATCACAGGAGCTCATATTTGAAAGTCCCTTGCCTCCAGCTATTTTATGTGTAATACTTATTGTGGTGAAATGACATTCTAGTTTAATAATGCACCACAACCTTTTGTCAGAAAGTCCCCTGCCTCCAGTTACCTGAATAAAAATGTCATAAGCATTTCTCCTCTAATGACCTTGACCCTCAATTACCTTCTAGAACATTTGCAGTTACACATGCATGCTAGCTCTTTACAATGCACTTTACAATGACCTTGAAATCCAATGAAGGTCACATAAAACCTTACCACCCTTAAGTTGACATGTACCAATTTTCATATGCTTAAAGTAAGACTTCTTGAATATCCTGAACAAAAACCAAACTTTTTTGAGAGAATGACGTTTGTATTCTAACCATATAAAACATCCATTGGTGGAATCTGACTGAACAAGTGAAAAGTCACCAGCTACTCATTGGGAATAGGGGACCTTAAATACCAGCAGGAAACAGCAAATACATCACATAAATATCACCTCCACCTTGACCAAACAACAGATCGGCTTTTCCTACCCCGATCTAGGGTGGTGATGCATAAAAATCTACAGAAACTGCTTCACAAATTATCTGGTAGGCAAACTATTCTTTAGGTGATGACTTTGACCCATGATACCAATCAGGAGTGTTTTGGGATATGGTGATACACTTGTGATACATGTGATGTATTCAAGATAACGCCTTGTGGCTACCGCTTAACAAAGATCTGAGGACATCCCATTAACGGTCACGTCAGACCGACCTTGCGCAAACTTTGACCGACGAATGGAATGACCAATCAGAAGGCAGCTTTCTCGTGCTTTACGGCACAAAATTCAAATTGGCGACTACGCTTCCAAACATATTTTGACAAATTCTCGATTACAAATTTGAAAGCTGAACAAAAAAAACATTCTGGAATGGCTAATCGATGGTCTAGATTGTAAGGATTCAGTCGTTAAACCTGTTACTATCGTTCGGGATACCCCATGTTAAAGTTTTCGAGATTGCATGATTAGAAATCACATTCCGACTGTCACTTTCATAATCTGGTAAGCGATGCACTGTTTGGTTGGATGAAAGGTCGTTCTGATGTGACCCTTAATGGGATGTCTTCAGATCTTTGTTTAGCGGTAGCGAGAACTAAGCACTGATTTTAATGAGATTGGCCTTGGCGATTCATAAGGCTGTTATCTTTCATTGAATGGCATCAGTGAGACCGACAAGCATGTTCTACTGTTCTCCCTGAAACTCTAGCGCTTGTTTTGCTCAATGGCATATTGATCATGTCTCCCGATTTTTTACCTTAAACACCTACATTAATTCTGTAACCAACATTCTTGGAGACCAATTCACTAAGACAGATGGCCTAATAACCATTAGAAACCCCAGGCCACAAGCAACAGGAGAATCAATGACAGTATACACATCCTGACCTTCTACGTCTTCCTGGGCTGGTCCGTCTTCTGTAACCATCTGATGAACGACTTCTGAAACAAACATTATACTCAACTACAGGATTAAGTTGACTGCATTTTATTAAACTGATATTCAATGCACCTTAAGGGTGTCATTGGCTGAGTTAACTTGTTAGCTTGTTACAAACACGCCAAAAATACAATCTTTTAATGAAACATGACAACAGAACTTTTGGTGGCAACCAAATGTGACTCCATTAGAAATTAACGAAATTATTAAATATATGCAAATATCTATCCTTGATTACAACCTACTGACCATGCTAACAACCTGACAAGGACAATGTGATCATGCTTTAACATGAACTACTTGGTCCCAAGTCGAAAGCATTAAAATAGGAGGCAGGTAATGTCTGGGAGTACCTTGACTTTGACCTTGATCTCCTCACAGGTCTTGGTGATCTTGATCTTCTGTTGGGCCTTGGTGACCTTGACCTTCTAGGTGATCTAGATCTTCTTGGAGGTGTTCTTCTTCGCCTTGGTGATCGCGATCTTCTTGATGACCACCTAGGTGATCTTGACCTTGATCTACGAGGAGGTGATCGTCTCCTTGGAGATCTGGATCGTCTCGGTGACCTTGACCTTCTTAATCTTGGTGAGCGTGATCTTCTTGGTGGCGACCATCTCCTAAGTGATCTTGACCTCCTTCTAGGTGATCGTGACTTTCTCCTTTGTGTTGATTTTGATCTAGATCTGGAACGAGATCTACGTGGAGATCTACGAGGTGATCTTCGAGGTGATCTACGAGGAGATCTACGTGGAGATCTACGTGGAGATCTACGTGGAGATCTACGTGGTCTAGGAGGAGACTGACGTCTTGGTGATGGACGAGATGGTGATCTTCTCCGAGGAGAAAGATCTCTTCTAACAGGTCGAGCTGGTTTGTCTCCATTCCGGCTGAGTGACCGACCAGCGGACCCCTTGCGGGGAGGAGTAGACTTTCCGGAACTGGAAGATGATGATCTACGCCGCCTAGCAGGAGAGGTGGAAGAACTAGAACTCTTCCGAGGATCACGACCTTTCTCTGCTTGTGAAGTACTCCTTTCCAGAATTTTGGGTGCCAGTTTCACTATTCTTTGGTCTAAGGAAGATCTTTTCTGATCTTCATTAGGTTGTTTTTGTGGACTGCGTGACCTTGAGCTGCTACTATTGGTCTTCCGTCTTTTCTTTTCCTGGTCGCTGTCCAGGGGAATTGACCTCTCTCTGCTTCTAACACTGACACTTCTTCCCCTGTCAGCTTCTTTCTCCTTCCCTCGAAGAGCCGTTCTGTCATCACCTGTGACTTGCCGACCCTCTTGTCTGCAAGATTTCATAAGAACGTGTGGGTTAAAGGTAAAATGACTGCTTTGAACGGCATATAATACTTTGGATTTGATACCTAAAACTTTAAAACAAAGATGTCCCACCTTAAAATCAAAAATTTGTCTCCAATCTACCACGACAATTTACAATACAGTCTGTTTGGTGATCTTCTATGTATGACGTGGCATTGGCTGAATCTGTTGTCTTTAGTAGGTTGCCAATTAGGTTCCATTTTCATAAGTAAATGACCGTCAAAGTGACCTTCTCATTTGACACAACCATGACGTATGACAGACATTTATTATTATTATTAATATTAATATTATTATAATTAATTGTTTATTGTCATTTGAGTGAAAATGCTTTGATTTCCTATGAAGTAAAATGAATTTCCTGAATTCTTAAGTTTTTAATGTCACCTCCAGAGACCTTGTACAAATGAAACCCAAAGTTGCTACAATCAAGGCTCACCTAAGAGATCATGTGTATTACTTTTTGTCAAAATTCAATCATAAATGTACAAATCCTTTTCAGACCTAGCTCACACTGAGTGACCTTCACCTTCAATCTCTTCCACTCATGAGTCACAAAAATTCCCTGGGGTTCCTAGGAGGTGAGGTGAAGTGTAATGGGAACGTCACGTCCAAGATTATTGCACTTATATAGCGATGTGCATGCACATGTGTGTGTATGTGTGGCTGCTTGTACTAGGTTGGACTGATGCCGATTTATAGTGCTAGCCCACTGAGATACCATGCCGCTTTTTAACATGAATACCCCACTGAGACACAGTATACTGACTCCGAGCCGCCAAACTCCTGGCAGGGTAACAAGAAGTACCATCTTTTAACGTCTTTTGGTATGATGCAGCAAGGGATCGAACCCCGGAACTTCTGCTCTCAGGGTGGACGCTCTACCACTAGACCACGGAGGCGGTTGCTCGTACGAGGAATACCAGTAGAAAGTCTCTGCTACAAGCATGCAGTTAGAAAGACCAATTCAAATTTGAGTGAAGACATTTACAAGGGTATGCTTATTGACAAACCCAAGAAGATCCGGAGTAGAACAGGTCTTCAGCATCCCATGCCTGCCTTAAAAGGCGACTATACTTAAGAGGTGACTAATGTGATTGGGTGGTGAGGCTCGTCGACTTGGTTGAAGCATGTCATCGTATCCCAATTGTGTAGACCGATGCTCCTTATATCAATCACTGGATTGTCTGGTCAAGACTTGATTATTTACAGATCACTGTCATATAGTTGGAAATATTGCTGAGTTTGGTTTTAAACAACAAAAAACAAATTTATTGACAAAAGAGGGTCAGTGTTGACTGGTGACAAGGCTCTGGATGCCAAAGGAATATATATACCCCCCCTCTCTTCACTTTTAAGTTGAATAAAAGTCAAAACAAATCATGCACACAGTTTAAATTCTGGGGAAAATTCTTTGTCCATTGGCACTTTAGAGAAAGCAAATTTACTCAAAACAAAAATGACCTATGCCAGTTAGTTACATTTGAAAAATATTGCTGTCTAGTCACAGCACTATTTTAGGTATTTATTATGATCTAAATATCAGATATTTACTTGGAGAATTGAAAAACACCAATGTTCTCTCTGAAGTGTCACCAATTACTCTAAAATCATTAGCATAGTTTAGAAAATAGGCGAACATTAAAGTGAATTTTCTGCCCTATTGTCTGCCAGATATGAGATGTCTGTTGTGTTACATATATTTCACACTCAGCTGAAATACAATTATCCCTTAATCAATAAACAGTGATGTGGAATACATAGAAGTTTGTTTTCAGCGTATGTCTAAGTTGGTATTTCTCTATCCAAAATGTCTTATTGTTGATATATATATGTGATGTTTAATAATGCGAGCAAATAACACTTGCATTTTTCCCATTTAATTCAGGCTTGCATTAATTTCAAGATTTACAGTAATTCAGGTTTGAGAACAGAAAACAATTGCTGTTATGAAAACTGTTCTTGTTTGAAAATGTAAATGAAGCAAACTCAGACTTTACACTGTTTAGCATTTTCTGCTATTTTGAGAGAATCATTTGTCTATTTGTTATTGAGAATATACATGGGACGATTACCACAGCAAGAATAAGGGAATTATATATATCAAACAGAAATTGTCACTGTTTCCATTCCACGCGATGCTATGAATCAATTAATTCACTTTGGATATTTATTAATGTTCATAATTATTATATCAAAGTGCATGATTTTATTATAAATTTACGAAAACTTTGATAATATCCTGTTTGTTTGAACATCATTTTGATAAGAAATTGCCAAATTTAGTGTTGTATACCCAATATGTAAATGTCAGTGCAAATTCATTGTTGTCATTTAGTATATACAGGTTAAAGAATATGGCAGACATTTCATTTTATCATGTTACTAAATCTAAATGATACTCGTCAACAAAACAAATGAAAACGTATTGTCGTCATTGATATCAATTCTCCCCAGGACAGGTGAGTTACAATGACCTACTGGTAGTCATAGCAGGGTTATGCCCCCTTTTATTTATGCAAAGGCATGCCTCTCGTCATGGTGACAACTAGATTTTCATCATTTATAACAAAGTCTTTTTCACATCGAATATGTAACATTATACATAACTTTACAAATCCATGTGATATTATGTCATTAAAAAAATAAGGCAGTAATTTCTTCGCTTCCTGTTTACATGAAGCTGTTGAATAAAACTAATTGCCTCAAGGTACATTTATCAGTGAACAGCTAAAAGAGGCAAAATTTTATGTTTCTTCCTGCATGCCAAAATTTGACAACACTTATCACTGTCTGTTTTTCAAAGCAATCTTACATCTCCAAATAGTTTTACATCCCCAGACTGGACTCTTAATATTCCACATCTCTCTGTAACTTCATAGTTAGAGGTAGGCCCAGTGCCTCACAGAGGCAATTATCATACAATTCTCACTTTTCAGAATTAATAAAAAGTGTCAAAAGTGTGTCAGAAAAATAACCTGCCAGGAATAAGCAAATCTAGTATCAATTCTTCCATTCTCACATTGTGAACATTTTCAACAAGATATTGATAAATGTTCGTGGTCATAAAGACATCCTCAGTACCACTGCAGTTGGTGGCATCAGATGTACTCATCAGTTCCGAGCAGATGAAAACTGGTGCCGATACAGGCAGACATTCTGGCAGCTCTCCATCCACCACCGGTCAGGTCAGGTGAGTCGAAAGTAACATCTTGGGCATACGTACCTGGCTAGCTCTGATGTTGCCACGGCAACTTGTCCTATGGGGGGCAGCGGCGGTGTGCGTATGCGAGGCCCTGTTCCCCCAGATTCCGGGCCACTGTTTGCTCTGAACACCTGCAAACAGGAGACAAATTCACACCTGCAAACAGGAGACAAATTCACACCTGCAAACAGGAGACAAATTCACACACTGGAATCTCACTGGATTCAAACTATGTGTCTTTTACTGTCAGAAATACAGACAGTGATGTCAAGTCCAGATGTTTCTCTCATCATATCAAACTGCCACTACAAGTGATGATTTTCACATCCTCTACATCTCCAGGGCTAGCATTTCGGTCAACTTAGACTAACGCCTAGTTCCATTCTGGCAGTAAATCTCAAGGCGAATCCTGGATTTATCCTTGATCATAGGTTTCTGGCATGCTTAAGGGATGCAGATCTTAGACAACAAATAGTGGCTCCTTAGATGGGTTTTACAATGTTGGGAGACACAATGGAGACACAGATGGTGACACAGATGGTGACAATACAATCTTCCCTTAGAACCCAGCATGGGATCTCCATGGGAGTTCTGATCTAAACTACGTTAGAACATCTCTCATTTCACACTCACAATGGGGGCATGAGCACCAAGTCGTCTATTTGCTGTGCAGAGTTGTGTCCCTTGGGTCTGCCAGAAACCTATGATTGCGGGTTCAAATCCCGATTCGCCCCGATTATGTTTCTAAGTTTGTCAGCACCATATCTGTGCTCATGGGTTTCACCAAAGTGGTAAATGTCCGAGACCAGCATCAGTTCTGGCTTTCCTCCCACCTTAAGCTGACACACCGCAATATAACTGGAATAATGTTAAAAGCGGTGTTAAACCCAACTCACTCACTAACACTCACCATCCGTGTGGAGCGGAACTCTTCCTCTCTCTCTCCATCATCTGGATCAGGCGGGGGCTGCCACGTGATCCGCTCCTACACAGCAGATATCACAGAACGTTAAGAAGGCTTCAACCACCCACAGAAGAATGGGTGCCAGCATGCACACATTGTAAAATGACGTTACGTAAAAGTACACGCGTGCATGGTATTGGACTTGACAATGTATTACATCATGACGGGACTCATGTCTTATGGTATAAGACGCAGACACCAAACAGGCTCTGAAAAAATCATGAACTGAATATGTAACTTTTTTGTGAAAAGTGACTTCATGAGTGACGTCATGAGTGATTTCTTGAATGAGTGAGAGTAATTTCTTGAGTGAGTGAGTGAGAGTGATTTCTTGAGTGAGTGAGAGTGATTTTTTGAGTGAGTGAGAGTGATTTCTTGAGTGAGTGAGTGAGAGTGATTTCTTGAATGAGTGAGAGTAATTTCTTGAGTGAGTGAGTGAGAGTGATTTCTTGAGTGAGTGAGAGTGATTTTTTGAGTGAGTGAGAGTGATTTCTTGAGTGATTTCTTGAGTAGGTTAGTGAGTGAGTGAGTGAGTGAGTGAGTGAGTGAGTGAGTGAGTGAGTTATCATAGTCTTACATCACTGAGGCCTGTATATAATTGAGGGTGGATAAATCTGTTGTACAAGCATCAGCAATGATCCCTGCTGTCTGCCAAGACAGTAATTAACATTTTCGTCTGTTTTTAACCAGTGGGGAAATATTCGGCTGAGGAATCCAAACTGGGTCTGACAAGAAGTAATATGTGAATGTTGGAAGCCATACCTCTGCCTTCTTTTTCTCTTTCTTTTGGGCTTCATCTGATTGTGAATCTGACTCAGAATCGGAGTTACTTGCTGACCTTGAGGACTTGCTGGAGGAAGAACTAGATGACCTTGACCTTTTTAGTGGAGGTTGTGTTTCGGGAGGCTTGACAGGATTTGCCGCCACTGGGTGCTCCGACCCTCCCTCAAGGTCATACTGGATCCTGCTGACCAGTCTCCGATCTGGTGCATTGTGGGGGATGCTGATTGGGATATCAGCTGGTGGATGTGGTTCTCCAGGAAGTGGGATTTCAGGATACAGTGAGGTTGGTTCAGGTCTAAGAAACAGATCATAACAGAAAAATTACCATCTGCACACATCCAGGCGATGTCTTTTCTTTTATACGACCTCCACTCGTCTGCAGACCAAAGTTTTGTATGTTAGTGACAATTTACAGCTTGCAGTTGATGAATAACACATTCTGACACCAACCCAACAGTCCATGCTGGTCTAAGACTGTAATGTTGGTTTGTTTTAGGACCATGATTTACTGCAGCCCTCAGCATGAAAAAATAGATGCAACAACAGAACTGTGATATGTATTGTTTGATAAACAAGGTGAGGAGAGGTAAAATAGGGTTTAACATCGTATTCAAGATTGTTGCACTTATATAGCGACGTAAATGCACGTGTATATGTCTTCATCTACTAGTCCAGACTAATGCCGATTTTTAATGCTAGCCAACTGAGATACTATGCCGCAGTTTAACATGAATACTCCACTCAGACACAGTTTACTGACTCGACCTGACCAGTCATTGTTTTAGCCCCTCAATGCCGAGCACCAGGCAGGGTAACAACAAGTAACATCTTTTGGTATGACAAAGCCAATTCATCCGGTCTCCGGGCAGACGCTCTATCGACTAGACCACGGAAGCGGTCTTGACAAATAAGGTTTTCTACAAACAGAGACTGACTGATACTGATTTGCAACAAATTGCTGAAATCACTCATTAATCTGTCTTGTTAATCCGACACAGTGATCAGCACACTCCGTGGTCATCTGCCTGCGAGTGTTTTGATGTGAGACGAATCGTCGAGTATCTGCTTATTCTCACTTGATAAACTTGCTTAACAATAAACAATTACTGCTAGAAATAAACAAAACGCATGCCTAGATTAACTCAATCTCATTAAAATCAGATACAAATTCTCGCTACCGCTGAGGACATCCCATTACAGGTCACGTCAGAACGTCAGTTTTGTGTTAAACTTTAGAGGTTGCATGATTAGAAAACATATTCCGCTAACAATGTAACACAACAATATGAATATTTCCTTTTTCCGTTTTTCACTGCAACATTTTTAAATCATTATCTATCATGTAGTTTCCAATTTTCGATGAAAAACGTTGATACTACCTAATTTCGTTTATCCAACATACTTGTTATACCGACAATCATATGCACCCAACAATGTGGGATTAACGGGACTTGACTGTATATGACAGTGTTCTAAACATGATTGAGTCTTGACCAGACAATCCAGTGATTATATTGTGAACACAATTCATTAGTTGGGGTATGATGGCATGCTCGAAGTCACCTGATCATCTGATCCATTTGGTCACCTCTTACGACCAGAATAAATAGCTGTGGACCAATTCTAACCTGGAATCCCCAAGGGTACCGATCATATGATTCCACAATCACTAAATAACATCCACCATCAAACAGTGAAAATATATGTTGTTTTCATGGATACACTATAGTAAATCAAGCCTTGTGTCCATGAACAAAGCACGCCGACACATGATGTGCTGTGGCCTCGGGTATCTTGTTAGTCTGTTCACAGGATACAACAGATCTGGACTGTGGCTACAGCAGCCATCAACATTCACGCAGGGGCTCACATACCTTCTGGTTTCAACAACAGAGTTAGCTTCCTTTGGTAGGAGTGACTTCTGGCCAGGCTTCCAGTGCGTTGGTGGTGGACTGACAGACGTCGGGTGAAGAGACCTAAGGGAGGTAACCACCATCTACTATTGACACAGGCATGATATGGCAAGCGTAAAGCAGGCCTCTAAAAACAGACCTCATTTGTTGCTTTTTTCTACTTCAGTAACACTGGAGACCCAAATGTCACATGTAGTCACTGTCTGGCTCGATTACAAAATAAATAGAATGATAAACAAGAAAAGTTGAATGAATATTATTTCAAAATGCATAAATATAATTTGTAAATGGATTTAACAAGTACTTGTGATTACTACAAAGATTTTCAGATGTCGATGACACGACCAAATTTTCCATCCATGAGATATGTCAGGGATTTATCTCAGATTCTAAGATAAGTGTTCCTGGGAAAAAATATAAACATTTGTTCAAAATATTGATTTTTTCACTTTGTTTATTAAAGCCTCTTTCCTTTTATAGGTTCTTTTATCAATGAAACATATATCCCCTCTAAAAAGCAATAACATTAGTTTCACTGTATTAGCACATACTTAGAAATGGTTACAGACACTTGCAGCTGGCTTTGAGTCGAATATGGCCTCTAAGTAGTTCAGATATGATCCTGCTTGTGCCACGGTTTAACCATATCTCAAAACGTTTACTGGACCCAAGGAAATTCACATTTCATCTTTCAGTAGCCTATGATAAATATTCATTGGCCCCATGACAACAAACTCCTATCACTCCAACCAACCATGTGTTTGTTCAGCAGGCAGTACCTGAACAACTGGGTTCTGTCTAGACTTATTGCCACTTCAATGGAAGGCTCTGCTTATATCAAGATCCTTAACATTTACTACAGATTATTGCCCTTAATTACACATTAAAATACCGGGTAGATGTTCTTTAAAGAATCAATCACTTCCTTCAATCTATACCAATGATTGGATTCTTTTTTATCTGTCTGTATTATTGTATTAGTATGATACATTACTGGTAAATGCACAAATCTGAACACCATCAGGCATAGAGAATAAACATAGACAGCTGGACTACATCAGACTTAACAATTACCTGTGAAACTGCTTCAGTTCCAATTGGCGCTTCTCTCGAGCCTTCCTTTCTGCTGAACTTGACCTTCGTCGCTCTCGTGACCTTTCTCGTGATCTGCGTGGTCGGTCAGAATCCGAGTCAGAAGAATCTGATGTGCGTCTGCTCTGTTGTTGAGATCTCAACTCTGCTGCTTTCCTCTGCCGTTCTTGTCGTGATCTCTCGGTGCCAGAGTCTGAGGACGACCTATCTCGTTTTGATGGTCTTCGTGCCCGCTCTTGATCTGCTGGAGATTTTCTGTGAGTCCCGTTTCTTTTGTTGTCATCGTCTGACTCTGAGGAAGATGATCTCCTTGCACGAGCTTGATTGTCTCTTGATCGTATGTTTGGATTTGATCGAGATGTTTGCGTATTTTGCCCTCTTCTGTCAGGAACACCATGCCGGCTGTTTTCCCGCCTTGACCGTGTCCCTGGTCTTTCTTCAGAACTACTGGGGTCTCTCCTCTTTCGGGGATCCCTTGTGTCAGATCGCCCCGAGTCATTCCTTGACCGTCTGCTGGTGCTCTCTCTCTGTTCCCGGGATGACTCTCTTGCAGCAGGGGGATTGGCACGTCTGGCTCTTCCTCCATCATTGTCATCAGAATCCTTGGAAGACGACCTTGCCCTACGTCGACCTCGTTGTTCTACAAAAACACGTCGTTCATTCACCTGGCGATTTGGTTCCTCCCTATCATTCTGTCTGCTTCCATGTTTTAAGAATCGTTCATCTCTAGGTGGAGGTCGATCAGCCTGTCTATTGGCTGTTCTCTCATCTCTCCGCTCCAGTGACTCATTTCTTCTTTCCGTCTGCCTATGTCCAACCTGAGTTCCTCTCACGAATTCCTCTCTTCGATCCCTCGACCTATCTCCAGTGGTCTGCCTTCTTTCAGATCTCTCTGACTTGTCCTGGCGTGACCTCTCGGTGCCGTTGTGCCCTCCGTCTGAACCCGTCGCCGCTGCCGCCGCTGCACTCTCGTCTTCACTGTCAGCAGAAGACTCCACCTCGGGGGAAGCCCCTGGCGACTTCCCACGTTCTTTCTTTTTCTTGTGTTTCCCATGTTTCTTATGCTTCTTGTGGTGTCTGGAAATAACCCCTTTGTCATTACAAAGATTTTGTATTGGCTGTACGTTGATGGAAATCAAGCTGGTAAGTTCTAAAAGACGTTATATCAGCGGTTAGACAGATAAAATAACTTTTTACAATCTGGCAGGTTTGGCTGCCCATTTATATTTTTAATCCCTTCTTGTCATAAGTAAGAAATGTGAGGTATTGCAAGAGTACTGCACTAAAACTTTTAACGTCTTAGGGTATGATGCATCTTGGGATCGAACTCCCAACCTTCCGCTCTCTGGGCAAACGCTCTACCACTAGACCACGGAGGCTGTCTCTTAAGTAACAAAAATCTACTTGATGTTTAAATGAAATACATTTGTTACATATTTAAAAGACTTCTCACTTCTTCTCCTTCTTGTGCTTCTTCTTGTCATGTTTCCCAGACTGTTCCCTGAAACACCACATATTGTCTTTTTATCCCTCCATGTCAGAATGAAGAGATCTGATTGGATCCCATGATCTTGATAAAGTACTTTATCTCACCTTACATTAAAATACTAGCTTCTGATTAGTTAAAGAGTAGGGCTATCATTTTCCTGCAGCCCGCTCATGTAGTCGGCTGACAAATCCATTGTAACCCACCTTAGGTACCATACATGCTTATCTTTCATAAGTATTGTTTAGCTGTAATGAACCAATGTTTATCCCATTATAAAGGGAAGTAACTTGGTTCGATTGCGTCATTCGATAGCTGTCAAAATGGCTGTATCAAAGCATTTTACTCAGGGAAACTTCAGCCTGTACTGTATGAACGAATGTTGGTAAGATAAATTTGTTGTCAACCAATCCTTCGGGGCATATGGTGTGATATTCCCGCATGACGGCTCAGGGTACATCGGCTCACACACAAGATACATCACACCATGTACCCCTCGAGTTTGGTTGACAACTTATAATGTATCCCTGGGAGGGAAATAAATTTCTGAGCTACAGAACAAATCCCTTATACCCTGCTCGGAAACAAAAAACAGCCCGCTCTTTCCGCGTCACTGAAAGTCATGTGACATAGCACGACTTAACCTCAGCTCAATCGAACAGCTGTTTTCTATCAACTGAGAATTCCCAATTGCGTGGATCGATGCTCATGATATTAATCACTGGATTGTCTGGTCCAGACTTGATTATTTACAGACCGCCTTCATATAGCTGGAATATTGCTGAGCGTGGCGTTAAACAACCAAACAACCAACCAACCAGCCAACCAACCAACCAACCGTGAATTTGTTTTAATTCCCTACTAAAACATGTCGATAACATGTTGGTAAGATAAATTTGTTGTAGCAGTATCAAGAGGGGTGCATATATTTTATGAATCCCTCGCTAAGTTCTACCAGTATAAAACCTAACGCCAGATGCATAAAACCACATGTATCCTTTGTGATACTGCTAGAACTAATATTGTACCATTTGAAGTTCTACTGTCTTCCTGACTGAGGGCCTTGAAATGTGTGGTGTCTTACATACAAACACTCAAGTGAAGATGACCCCTGCCACTCACCTGTTACTTGGGGCAGGCTGGAGTTGTCCCCCTTCCTGCTGCTGGGGCCTCTGACCTTGACGCGACTGATTCAGCCTGTCACCTTTGACCCAGCGTTTCTCCGCTTCCTTCTCAGCCTCACTGAGCGGCTTCAGTCGATTTAGCTCTCTCTTCCAGTGGGGTGGTGTCTCACTCCGTGATCGACTACGGGATCGATATCTCTGACAAACAGAAACATCTCATTCAATTTGGGGAACACCAGAAATGGCTTCACCCATTGTACCCAGGAAAGCATCCACCACTAGTCCCTGGGTGGGTGGGTGGGTGAGTGAGTGAGTGAGTGAGTGAGTGAGTGAGTGAGTGGGTGGGTGGGGTGAGTGAGTGAGTGAGTGAGTGAGTGAGTGAGTGAGTGAGTGAGTGAGTGAGTGGGGTGAGTGAGTGAGTGAGTGAGAGTGATATCAAGGCATGTCAGCATTTTGTGGGAGGATTGCCCGCAGTGATGCGGGTCTCAAACGCTTACCACTTCGGTGAAACCTACCAAACTGATAAACCTAGAAACATAATTGGGGCGAACCGGTTTCTGACATGCCCAAGGGACCTCGTGCCCAGCTTTTTAAGGTTCTCTATTTGCTTTCATAACAATCAGGAACAGTCTATGAACTCCAGCTCTCCACACAGGTTTTCACATCACAGCCCTACAACATCTGAGCATACTCCTCGCTTTGTGAAAGTGGGCCTTGAAGCACAGACTTCCATCAGCAAACACTTAAAGAAGTTCAACAAAGAGAAGCAGGACCTACCACGCTGCCCCGCCCCTTGATCTTCCTCCCTGTCCGGGAGTAGTTCACCTGCCCACCTCGATACGGAATCCGCTCTGGAGGAGCACGTCGGCCATAGCCAGGGGGAGAACGCTCTTTACTGATAACAGAACTTGAATTTGTAAAGATTATGGACAATAATTCTGTTATCTCATCAATCTCATTAAAATCAGACCTCAGTTCTCGCTACCGCTAAACAAAGATCTGAAGACATCCCATTAGGGGTCACATCAGAACGACCTTTCATCCGACCAATCAGTGCGTCGCTTACTAGATTATGAAAGAGACAGTCAGAACGTGATTGCTAATCATGCAATCTCGAAAACTTTAACATGGGGTATTCCGAACGATAGTTACGGGTTTAATGAATGAATCCTTACAATCTAGACCATCTATTAGCCATTCCAGAATGTTTTTTGTTCAGGTTTCAAACTTGTAATCGAGAATTTGTCAAAATATGTTTGGAAGCGTAGTCGCCAATTTGATTTTTGTGCCGCAAAGCACGAGAAAGCTGCCTTCTGATTGGTCATTCCATTTATCTGTCAAAGTTCGTGCAAGGTCGGTCTGACATGACCCGTAATGGGATGTCCTCAGATCTTTGTTTAGCGGTAGCGAGAACTAAGATCTGATTTTAATGAGATTGGTTATCTCATTTGATATTACATTTTGGATGCATGTGTCAAAATGTTGTTTTACGCTATGGTTGGTAATTAAAAATATCACTGTGTCTTGAAAAGTAATTGAATAGATGATTTTCTTTTTAATAAATCTTTGACATTTAGTCTATCTAATGGAGAGACAGACAGTTACCAAGTTAGTTTACATTGTTTTTACAGTATTCGAAAACACAGTGAGACACACATCATATTACAGGAGCGCTGAGATTCAAAGACAACTCTACTGTTGTCATTGCCCTCATAAACATTCTATTTCAAACCTCTGTTTTTCTTCCTCCTCTTCTTTTTGCTGGCCTCGGAAGAGGAACTTTTGAAAAGGGATGTCTGGGATTTCATCAGATCTGATTTCTGCAAACACTGTGGGCACTTTGTCCTTCTCCTCTGTCTCCTCCCTGAAACAGCCACACCTGGATAAACATCCACACCTGGATAAACAGCCACACCTGGATAAACAACCACACCTTGATAAACAGACACACCTTGATAAACAGCCACACCTGGTTAAACACCCATGCCTTGATAAACAGCCACACCTTGATAAACAACCACACCTGGATAAACAGACATACCTTGACAAATAGACACACCTGGATGAACAACCACACCTTGATAAACAGCCACACCTTGATAACAGCCACACCTGGATAAACACCCATGCCTTGATAAACAGCCACACCTGGATAAACAGCCACACCTTGATAAACAGACACACCTAGATAACCAGACACACCTTGACAAATAGACACACCTTGATAAACAGCCACACTTGGATAAACAGCCACACTTGGATAAACACCCATGCCTTGATAAACAGCCACACCTGGATAAACAGCCACACCTTGATAACCAGACACACCTTGACAAATAGACACACCTTGATAAACAGCCACACCTGGATAAACACCCATGCCTTGATAAACAGCCACACCTGGATAAACAGCCACACCTTGATAACCAGACACACCTTGACAAATAGACACACCTTGATAAACAGCCACACCTGGATAAACACCCATGCCTTGATAAACAGCCACACCTGGATAAACAGCCACACCTTGATAAACAACCACACCTGGATAAACAGACACACCTTGACAAATAGACACACCTTGATAAACAGCCACACCTGGATAAACACCCATGCCTTGATAAACAGCCACACCTGGATAAACAGCCACACCTTGATAAACAACCACACCTTGATAAACAGACACACCTTGACAAATAGACACACCTGGATAAACAACCACACCTTGATAAACAGCCACACCTGGATAAACAGCCACACCTGGATAAACATACTGAAAATAAGATCACAATAACAGTAACCTGCAGGGGTCCTTTAACACTGAAACAAATCTTACACTGGTTCCTTCTTCTCTTTGCTCTCCTTCTTTCGTTTCTTTTCTTGCTTTTTCTTCTTTTTCTTCCTTTTCTCCTCCTCGCTGCTGGAGGACTCGGAGGAGCTGGAGGAAGAGTCTGCTGAGCTTGATTCACCGGACTCTGACGTTGGCTTTTTCTTTTTTGCTGCATAAATAAAAAAGACATTAATCCAAGTTCACCTGTAGATGTATGGAAGAATTCAACACTTACCCTAAAATCAGAACCATGAGAACTTTAATACATGACAATGTGTATCAATATTCAGTGATCATTCAATTTGACAAATATGAAAACCCTTCACGCACATTTATGACACAAGTTGGAGTCATTTTAGAAAATGGAGGGTCATTTTCAAAAGGGGTGCCACCAACTACTTGGTGATCATTACTCTCAGCTTGGCTTGTCAGAGTGCTTGTTCTGTGATTGAATTTGATTTTTTTATTGCAAGTTCAAATGTCATAAAAATAATTTCATATTTCGGTCCAAAAGCAGCCAAAAATTAAACGCAAATCATGTCTATGTTACATTGTGACAGCATCGCTGTAATCGACTCACTCTTTCACTTGCTATTTGGAAACAGATGATCGAACTCCTGAATGGAACAGTCTGCCTGCAACTGTAGCATCACAAAGTCTGACATCTATTTCCATACTTTGTTTCAGTTAAAAACTCAATTAGATTTTTAGACAGTATGTTGGTGATTTTCCAACATGCAGACAGAAAGCTTTGCCAATGTTGGTATAAGCCAATCTTAAGAATGTATATAACTGACAAGAGTGAATCAAACAGCCTGCGTCAGATACTCCAACATAGCTCCTTAAATACTTCATTCCCTGTGCTATAACATGAGAGTGCAATGAAGGTGTCACACACTGTGACTGAGCTTGCTTCGTAACATTGTTCACTGAATACATCCGTATAACCACCAGCAAAAGAAGCACGTTGATGAATTTTAATGTCGTAAAATAATGCATGTTGAGGTATGAGATTCCTTCCTACAGGAAACCATGCGCCATGGGCTGCAGGTGGGGGATCATACTGGTGTCATTATTGAAAAAGAAATGTCAAAGCCGTAATGCTACACTCAAGAATGAACGCTGAACAATTATCAATCTAGTTCAAAATAAGCAAAATAACAAAAATTAATATGAAGAAATTGTGCATTTAGAAAAGTTTAACCTTAGCCACCAGTCCAAAGCCTGAGTCTAATTAAATTCTGTTTGGTCGAGTGAGATCAAGTAATTATAGCACATAGAAAAACAGAGCCAAGTTTGGGTTACTGGTGTCAAGAATTTTAGGCACAGACTGGTAATCATAATCATCACAATAGTTGCCATAGAGACCACCAATCAGTCACTTAGATTAAGTTTCAGAACAGACTTCGAATTTTCCAGTGAGTGAACAGTTAGTTTTCTAAAACTCCTGTATTTCAGCAAATTGCAGAACGTTTGACGACATGAACACCCTGCCTATCTATTTTCCCGAGTTACAGTACACGAGTCACGATCTGAAATAGAACTTACATTTGACTTTGAGCTGACGGACGAGCTCCCCACAGTTTGTGATGATCACCTCGCTCTGAGGGCGGCATTTGGCGTCAGTGGGCTGGTTCTCCACCTGCCTGACAACCTCCTGGCCACTGATGACGTGGCCAAACACCACATGGACCCTGCAGGACACCACAAGATGGACGTTCAGAGTTTGTGAGACCTTTAATTATTAATTTCATGGATTCTTTCTGCTGAAGTCAGAAGTCAGAGGAGGAAAAAAAAGATTCCATCCTGAACCAAAGTACCTTTAAATGTTTCAAGTAATTAAGTTACAAAATGTCACTTTTTCTTGGAATACAAAGGGAGTTAACCACTACAAAGTCGGTTAAGCACACTGGGCATAACTTTAGATATATTGTGCTTGAAGTCTGTTATCTCAAAATATGAAAGTCAAATTAAATAATATGTTAGTGTTGATGATATTTATTAAAAACTGAGTGATTAAAAAATGCATCTAAACAGAAATGAATGAGTCGTGGCTGCGAATTGTTTTTTCAATATGGCTGCCATTGTGGCAGTTTCAGCTCTCAGCAAGTGCAAAGGACAAATAAGGGTAAAAAATATGACAATTTCAGAATTAATGCAATGTTTTTATACTAACCTGAGGCTACAAAGTGTTTAGCTTCCTACCTACAAACAGACAGTACTGGAACAGAGACAGTTGAAACAGAACATAGCCCGTGCCTCAATAGGCCATTGGATAAAATACCACCAGAAAACATCAAAATCTAAAGAAAATCTAAGGTAAGATGACTGTTCCAAATAACATGTCTGTCGTAAGGCTGACAGAGAAGAATACGATTGAGTACATCCCAAGGCAGGTACCTCGTGGGTATCGGGGCACAGGCTATAGTCTTAACTGTCTCTCTGTTCCAGTACTGTCTGTTTGTAAAAGGTAGGGAAGCTAAAGCACTATGTAGCATCAGGTAGGGTAAAATTAAACTTAAAATATTGTAGAAAACGGAACAAACATGGAACATACATACAAAGGAACATCACACCTGGAACACAAATGACTGAGAAATGGCCATATACAGCTTTTTCAAGATGGCTGCTGTGACGGCCATACTGAAATCAGATCTCTACAACTTGAAAAAATTCAAGTCAGTGTCATCATTGATGGGAACTAGCATGTGAAGTTTCAGATTCAAAGATGTTTTCGAATGACTCAATATCAATTGGCATTTCCAATATGAACACCGGCAGACATATTTCGTTTTCGATCAAGATGCCTGGAATACACTTACCACATATCATGCATAAGGCGACAATCTCATGCAACAAGTTTCAGGTCTCTGGACCTTTAAGTTTTGAAAAAGATTCGTCAATTTTTTGTGTTTTAAATCAAAGATGGCTTCCTGGCAGTCATATTGAAATGAAAAGTTTGACACTAGCATCCACACAAAACTTTAGCTGAATCAATCCTGCAATTTCCGAGAAGCTGAAAATTTAAAAGGTTTAAGGACAAAACAGACGACTTGTAACAAGGCTCACTTGCCTTTCATCACATTTCAATATCGTGTATATTACTTCAGTTAAGTCATGAGTGACAACCACTCCTGGCATTTCATAATGAACTTTGTTCTCAGAGAATGAACAAAAATGGGTTTTTCAGATTAAAAACGATGTTTTATTGGTCTGTTTTCAGTCGTACAATTGGGTATCTCATACCTCTAGTCGCACGTTAAAAGGAAGCTAGAAGCTGGAATGTAAACAATAAACTTGTTTCCGTCCGGTTGCGCACGCACCTCCCGATGACATGCCACAAATCTCGAAGAATAAGCCATCAAGCAGGACTGGACTGGATTACCTCCTAGTGGGGATGGCTGGGTGGGAACGTACGACTGAAAACAGACCAATAAAACATCGTTTTTAATCTGAAAAACCCATGTTTTAGTCTGTTTTCAGTCGTACAATTGGGTAGAATTCGACGGAACACTGGAAGGAGGGTCTGGAAAGTAATCCGGAAGTGACCTCTTGCACGTCGAATGTACCAAGTTCCTCACCCCCGTAGTGACAATAGAACATTCGACCAGATGCACGGACAAGACAAATTGTTTATCACGAACGCACAACATGGTTAATGCTCATCGACACACAACTAATTATCGATGCGACAGGACAACTGCACGCGTCAGTTGAACGGCGATCGAAGTGGTCGACGTATAGTTTAGTTACAGAGCAACTCGCAGTATACAAGGTAACTAAACAGCATCTTTAATGCTCTTCGACCCACAAGTAAGTATCGATGCGACAAGGCAACTGCACACGACAGTTGAATTGCAATCGAAGTGTGGACGGCATATAATTTAGTTTCAGAACGACTCGTCGTATCCAAGGTAACTAAAACTGCATGTTTAATGCTCTTCGACCCACAAGTAAGTATCGATGCGACAGGACAACTGCACACGTCAGTTGAGGTGCGATTGAAACATGGTCGGCTTATAATGTAGTTACAGAACGACTCGTCGTAGGCAAGGTAACTAAAACAGCATGTTTAATGCTCTTCGACACACTACTAATTATCGATGCGACAGGACAACTGCACGCGTCAGTTGAACGGCGATCGAAGTGGTCGACGTATAGTTTAGTTACAGAGCAACTCGCAGTATACAAGGTAACTAAACAGCATCTTTAATGCTCTTCGACCCACAAGTAAGTATCGATGCGACAAGGCAACTGCACACGACAGTTGAATTGCAATCGAAGTGTGGACGGCATATAATTTAGTTTCAGAACGACTCGTCGTATCCAAGGTAACTAAAACTGCATGTTTAATGCTCTTCGACCCACAAGTAAGTATCGATGCGACAGGACAACTGCACACGTCAGTTGAGGTGCGATCAAAACGTGGTCGGCTTATAATGTAGTTACAGAACGACTCGTCGTAGGCAAGGTAACTAAAACAGTATGTTTAAGGCTCTTCGACACACAACAAATTATCGATGCGACATGACAACTGCACACGTCAGATGAATTGCGATCGAAGTGTGGTCGGCGCATAATTTAGTTACAGAGCAACTCGCAGTATACAAGGTAACTAAAACAGCATGTTTAATGCTCTTCGACCCACAAGTAACTATCGAAGCGACAGGACAACTGCACACGACAGTTGAATTGCGATCGAAGTGTGGACGGTATATAAAGTGGTTCAGAACGACTCGTCGTATCCAAGGTAACGAAAAATAGCATGGTTAATGCTCTTCGACACACAACAAATTATCGATGCGACATAACAACTGCACACGACAGATGAAATGCGATCGAAGTGTGGTCGGCGCATAATTTAGTTACAGAGCAACTCGCAGTATACAAGGTAACTAAAAAATACGAGCAGTACTTCTAGTCGGAGACAATGTCGAAGGCGACCTGATCGAGAGGCTAGTAAGTCTAACTAGACAGGTAGCGCAGAACGATATCGAGGTCCCAGGCCGGCAGGCGGAATTAATGTGACTCATCTTCAACCATGAAGGCACGTAGAATTTTCTGCAATTCCGGTATTTTAGTGAGCCTGTTGCCCGTAGGAGACGGCTCGTCTAGGTAGAAGGCGACCCTGGTCGCCTGCCGACGGAGCCATTCTACGACCGTCTTCATGATCCGTGTGATGAAGTCTTCCCCCTACCGATAGCTCGTCTAAAGGTAGTAGGCTCCGACGACGGTGACGGCGGGGAAAAGGGACCTCATTACCTCCCCCGCTGGCTCGCTGTCGACAGCATAGCAAGCGGTTGTAGCTGGAGACGAACAGCAGTGTCCATGGAACCCCAATGCCTGTCTACTACAAGAATCTTGGAGGGCGCTGGTTTCTTGAAGAGTAGCCCCCAATCCAAGTCCCTACTCATGGGTGACGAAAACGGCATGCCATAGATCGGGTAACGCGATCGAACAGGTGGTTTGCTGAAACTCTGCCCCGGCAGAGCAGAGGCAAGTTCTGGTCCATATCGTGAACCATGGCTCTGAAGACATTGGGAGGAGAAGACTGAAGAGACTGCGGCGTATCTCCAACCTTTAAACCAGCACACGTCGGTTTGTCATCATCTTTTGATAACTCAGGCAGAAAAGTGAGATAGCCAAGCCATAGCCAGGCTGTCGTCACAATCCATCGTCGACGTCGATTGTGTAGATGTAGATGAAGGTACTGGTGTATTGGTCGATGGTCCATGGACCTCTGACGTAGTCGAATCCTTCTTGGTCGACGCCCTGGAGGTGAGTACCGCCGTCGTGATCTGGGCTATCAAAGCTGGGGCGATATGAAAGTGAGACGAGGGTGTCGATCGGTCATTATCTCTACGACGCTGTCGTCACAATCCATCGTCGACATCGATTGTGTAGGCGTAGGTGAAGGAACCGGTGTACAGGACGATTGTCCATGGACCTCCGACGTAGACGAACCCTTCCCGGTCGACGCCGTCAAGGCGAGTACCGCCGCCGTCATCTGGCCTATCAAAGCCGGGTCGATATGAAAGTGAGACGAGGGTCACGATCGATCATTATCTCTACGACGCTGTCGTCACAATCCATCGTCGACGTCGATTGTGTAGGCGTAGATGAAGGAACCGGTGTACAGGACGATGGTCCATGGACCTCCGACGTAGACGAACCCTTCTCGGTCGACGCCATCAAGGCGAGTACCGCCGCCGTCATCTGGCCTATCAAAGCCGGGTCGATATGAAAGTGAGACGAGGGTCACGATCGATCATTATCTCTACGACGCTGATCTCCCAAAAACTCCCTTCGAAGGCGTCGCACGTCCCCGTGGGGGCGAGGGCTACGATCTCTAACTGTAGAAGTACTACGATCCCCATCGTAGTTATCGTCCGAATCGAACTCCCGACGACCTCGAAGGCGACGAACGTCCTCGTGTCGTTTACTGTCACTCGACGAGGCCCTCGACCTGTCAACCCGTGAACGGGAACGACTTCTAGAGAGGGATCTGTGTTCACTGTCGACCCGCACGACGTTCCTATCGTTGTTGGTAGGACGAGAGACGGACCGACTGGGGACCGTAGTCCCCTCGTGGTCCTCGTCACCACCCGGTCCCGTCGTAACGGGGGTGGCTGAGTGACGCTCTCGATCAACCGATTGACGAAGATCAGTCGTGCGGGTAGTATCATCAGCAGGCGAACGGTCCCGTGTCTTGTCAAAAAACATAAGTTGACTGAGGCGGGTCTTTTTCAACTGATTTCTTGGGTGTGGCCGACGCGCCACCCCCAGGGCCAGATGTAGGGGGTGCAGAGTCCAAGGATCCACCCGATGACCTCCTCTGCCTGTAGCGCTGGTCAGTAGCCCGCTTCGCCAACGCACGAAGATACAAGTTAAAGTTGATAGAAGACAAATGCTCACATTCTTAACAACGTTTATTCCACGAACACGTTGAAAGCCCGTCCTTATTTATGCAGGAAGGACAATACTTGTGAGGATCTACTTTAGACAGTTGTCCTTGACACGAGGCACAAATGCCCGACATGTTGCAACGTGTATAATCAAGTGAAACACGTGTTGAACCCAAACAATGGATTACCAATGATTACATTCCAGGAGTCTACAGGTAAGACATAGTATTATTACTGTATTAGAACAACAACTGTAGACACACGATACGGACTAGTAGAATACAAACTAGCAGTCTATCGCGAAAGTCCTTCTCGAGCGACCAGCTCAGAGGCGCGCTGAGAGATTTGTGGCATGTCATCGGGAGGTGCGTGCGCAACCGGACGGAAACAAGTTTATTGTTTACATTCCAGCTTCTAGCTTCCTTTTAACGTGCGACTAGAGGTATGAGATACCCAATTGTACGACTGAAAACAGACTAAAACATGAGTATTATATGTAAGGGATGATGGATATGCACTGCACAAGGGTGTGTGAGTAAGTGAGTTGGGTTTAACGTTGCTTTGATGCTTTGAACAGTATTCCAGTTATATCATGTCGGAGGAAAGCCAGAAGTCAAGCAGATCTTAGACGTTTACCACTTGGGTGAAACCCATGAGCACAGGTATCGTGCTCAAAAACCTAGAAATATAATCGGGGCGAGCTGGGATTCAAACCCACTATGACAGGTTTTGGCATGCCAAAAGGATGTAACGCTGGTGTTTCACACAATCAGTTGGGGTGTGACGTGCAATCTTTTAGGGCATGACACACAATCAGTTGGGGTGTGACGTGCAATCTTTTAGGGCATGACACACAATCAGTTGGGGTGTGACGTGCAATATTTTAGGGTATGACACACAATCAGTTGGGGTGTGATGTGCAATCTTTTAGGATATGACACACAATCAGTTGGGTTATGACACACAATCAGTTGGGGTATGATGTGCAATCTGTTGGGGTATGACACACAATCAGTTGGGTATGACACACAATCAGTTGGGATAAGACGTGCAATCAGTTGTGATACAACTTGTTCTCAGCCAGGTGCCACACTGCAACCACCTAATCCCCCTTGTAGTCGACTACTCTGACAAGAAGGTCAAGACAAGGAGACTTACCCATCGAGGTGAGGTGTACATTTTGTTGTTCTGAAGCAGATAGAAACATAACATAATTAACTTTATATCTAAAGACAGAATCTCAACAGAATCCTTACTTGATTTCTTCAAACTGAAAGCACATGTTCTTAGTATAAATAATGGATGACTGATGTTAAGTAAAGATATTGGTGCTCCATAAGTCAAGGAATAATGCATGAAAACTAGATCACATTGACAAAATAAACACTCTTCTATTGAAAATGACCTGAACATTAAGATCTACTTGCAGAAAGTGCTCTAAGTGCAATGTTGATCTTAAGTCCAATTTTCCAACATCAACTTACAATAACAGCTCTAAGATCGCTTCGTGCAAGTGGGGCTAGGTTTATACATCATGAGACAAGTTGAATAATAAAAAAGTGTTCATCAAGTATTATGAAATGCTAAATGTTTTGGCATCATCTAATCATTAATTCCAAATATCATTAATACCATTCATGCAACAGCTAAAACGAAGCTGCTTATCACTGTATCCGAGACTCAACAACCATGTGACTAAGAGCATGTGCTTCAGAGGCCTAATGGAATCTTTACCCAAACTTGCTTCAACAATAAAATCATCTTAATTATCTTTTAACAACATCACTACAAATTCAGCAGGATCATTTCAATCTGTACAACTGTGCTAACATTCATCCCTAACATCCATAGTGTGTCCGTACAGCATGACAGTTAGGACATGAATCTCGTTAAGGTATTCCGTGAGGCCAGTACTGACAGGTAATACTGTTCTGTGTCGTGTTAACCGTTACCTGGTAGTTCACGGCTTGATGCAGTTGACTCTGTGCACAATGCAAAATGTGACAAATATATTTGTTTAATATCATGACAAACATAACAAATTATACAATTCAAACCAAAATGTCCATTACACATGTATCTAAATGTCAACATTATTCAAGAAACTCTTAATATAACTTGTTGTACCACTTCTGACGAAACAAAACTATGTTAAGAAGGCCACACATTTTTTTAACTTGTTTCATGGATCCTTGGTGAATTTAGTGTGAATTTAGTTGAAATGAAAAACAAATAAAATTCTGAATTTGCACACAGTTTAATCACCCCTATAAGCTAATATCATATTGCACCAAAAATATTTTCTAAACAAGAACTCACTATTAATAATATTGCATCAATGTTCATTAAACAAAAAACTTTTGTGTAGAAATGTTAAAAAGGTTAAAATGTAATACAAATTGAAATGGTTTTTTTGTGTTTTTTAATTCATCTTCCAACAGATATTTTCCCATAAAAGATCTATAAATCAAGAATTAAAAAATGTGTGTTGCCGAACAGATAAATAATCCGGCCAGAAACCATTTACTCTTCCATCTCAAACTTTAATTTGTTTCATTGGCAAAGCTCCATGACAATTTCTGCAAGGTGTTTCTTAATTTCATCCCATTATTCAAACATTTTGTTATATTATTTACCAAATACAAATAAAAGTAATGTCCAAATAATGATCTTTGATTCTGGAAAATGTTCCATAAGACACCACAGATAGGTCAGATGTTAATTGTACAGTAAGTTTATAAGTACAGTGAAGTTAGCACAGCACATTCCAAAACACTTGTATACTTGATGAAAAGATTACCTTCACAACAAATTTCTTTGTTCAAAGTTATTTCCAAATGACATTTGAGAAAATCAATTAGTGGTTTACGGAAGTGGTGTTTTCAGTGGTGCCCTTCCATCAAATACACACGGCTTTCTGAACATCATAGTTTTCATTTCTGTTCTTCAAACTGACTTAAAAAGAAATAACCTCAGGGATGCCTGCAGGCATGACAGCTTAAACATAGTGCTATGAAAGAATTGGGCGTTCCTTAACTTCTTTCGAGTAGTGTACTTATGAAAAGAAAAATGAAAACAGCAATAAAAGAAAGTTTGGGTTTTCTAAAATTCTGTATATTTGAAAATAACCAGAACTGTTTGGGAATGTGAACACTTCATATACAAACATTTCACTCAGTTATTTATTTTGGCGGGTTCCCCTTTGCCAATCCCCCTGTTAAGGTACAGATGTCACTGAGCAATGATAATCCATAAAATATTTGATATAAAGGTATAGTCCATTTCCGAATGAGACGCAAAATTTGATAGTTACTGTGCATATGGTGTTATTTTGTCCCAAGCATCACGAGTATGATGGACCAGTATGCTACTACAATCACTTCCACCACAGGCTAATGCAGGCATCCTATCACGGCCATAGAGAAATGTATGTCCATCATGTTTCACAATCATTTAACAGAAACTAAACGGAAATTCATATTTCAACTTCGTTACTAAAATAGAGAATTTCAGTTTGATTAGTCTGTCACCTTTGTGATGTCCGATGTTGAAGCTGTAACAAAGGCTGGAAGGCAATAATTGGTTATTAACAACAAACATGAACTGACATTGTCCTACGTAACGCTGACACAAGAAGTGACAAAGTCCTGTGTTGGGAATGTGCTGCATGGATATGCTGACTCAACACAAATACCGACAGAAAGTCATGTGTACTTACATGAAGAACTGGGATCCATTAGTGTCCTTACCACGATTGGCCATTGACAGGAGAAACTCCTTGTCATGCTTCAAGATGAAATTCTCATCTGGAAAAAATCAGCTTCATTTAATCAAAGTATCAGTGAGCACCATCTGTATTTGTTTGTTTGTTGTTTAATGCCGCGCTCTGCAATATTTCAGCTGTATGACGGCAGTCTGTAAATAAAGGAATATGGACCAGACAATCCAATGATCGATATTATGAGCATCGATCAACGTAATTGGGATACAATGACATGCATCAACCAAGTCAGCGAGCCTGACCTCCTGATCCTGTTAGTCGCCTCTTACGACAAGCATAGTCGCCTTTGACGGCAAGCATGGGTTGCTGAAGACCTGTTCTAACCCAGATTTTCATAGGTCATAACCATTGTAGATGTTGGCCATGAAAATAGAACTTGTATACAAAGTTACACTGCGAAGGAGGAAATGATCCAGACACTATGATCATCTAGATACTATTACTGAATCATATATACACAATCATCAAATCATCTACTCACTATCAATGAAATATCTACACACTATAAATGAATCAGTTCCTCACTATCCTCAAATTATACACCATAATTGAACCATTTACACAGTATCAGGGAATCATCTACACCCTTTCATCATGCTAACATCCAATCCTCTACATTATATCAGTGAAGTATGTACACACAATTACTTTAAAAATATTGAGTCATCAGCATACTATCAAACATTCAAAATGCAGTCCTTGTCAAAACTCATGCAGGACTGATTGTTAATGATTACCAATCGATCCTGTCTGATCATTATGGAACAAAATGTGTAGGAATTTGTAAATATAGAACAAATATTGGTATGACATAATGCCAAGGTGACTGCATCAACTGTTATCAAACTTGGTGTTAAGTCGACATTGACAGATTTGTTGTGTATATCTTCTCAGACAAACTGTGCCTTCACATCAGCCAGTTGCTAAATATGAGCAGACGTCCAGGGGTTAAAAATACCATTGCTCGACGCCCGTGCCAAGTAAGGTCGGGCGAGTAATATACAATTTCTAGCATGCCCATGGACAAGTGGAGCACACAAAATGAACTGGGCCAAGTTTCACAAGAATGTAATCATGTGATCATGTTACGATATTTCATTGGCTGATATTTTGCAAGTGTCCCAGACTGGTAATCTAATTTGCATACTGTTACACCAGTCAACTAATGGTATTAATACACTTCGATGTCAGACAGGTCAACATACAATGAGGACCAGGCTTGTTTCATTGATAAATCGTGCATATGGCACATGCTCCTTGGAAATGGAATCAGGTACAGTTGACTACATTTCTTGGAATTTGTAATGCAAAGTAGGTCTAGGGCCGACTTTTGAAGCTTTGTTAGGCCTAGCTTTGATGAAATATTTTATTTGAATACACCAGTCAAACTACAACAAATATGACTTTCAACAAGTCAAAGTATGGCATTTATGGTAAATGTATCCATTCTGTGTCAACTAAAGTTCATTTCAAGGCATCAATAGCGGTAATCTGACCGTGGTTGCTGTAAATAATGGTGAGTTGTGCGATCTACTGATTACTTCACGCATGATTACCCCACCGCTCCTATTACATGAGGAGAATCAAAATGATAACAATCGATTAATGATCAGTTTCGGTGCTCTGATTATAAATATACACATTCAGGACATTTATCAAGTTTATTTATATATATATATATATAGGTTGTGACAATGACAGTGCTCATTCTAGAGTGCGTCTTGCCATGTCTATTTCAACTGTGAAGCAAGAGATCATTTTACTTGTTTCGAGAGCAACAGTCAAAAAATGATTCTGAATGTATGTGAGCTGAACAGCCAGTGAAAGCATGAGCCTCTCACAGCTCTGTCATCATGGGCTGACATCGTCTCGGTGCCCATCTTTGCTTACTCGGCTTCTTTTATAAAATGGTCTACCATGCTAGTGTTTTAGCGCAATACTCACCTGGAAACACCCCTCCGTAAATGGACTCTCCCCCTGTTCCATCACCTGTAAAACAGTAAAAACACTCACTCATTATCCGTGACAGACAACAGTACCATACATACACTTACTTTGGATGTATATATTGTCAGTGCCGCTGAGCACCTAACACTTAAAACTAGGCCCTTTACAAAATCATCATCATCATCATCATCATCATCCATTGTGACAGTCAATCACTCTGTGGTGGACAACTGTACCATTCATACATACATAGAGTCACTGATACTAAGTCTGATACTGAGTAGAGAGACCCGTGAAGATTCCGGGGTAGAATAGGTCTTCAGCAACCCATGCTTGCCGTAAAAGGTGACTATGCTTGTCGTAAAAGGCAACTAACGGGATCGGGTGGTCAGGCTCGCTGACTTGGTTGATGCATGTCATCGTATCCCAATTGTGTGGATTGATGCTCATGATATCAATCACTGGATTATCTGGTCCACACTCAATTATTTACAGACCGCCGTCATATAGCTGGAATATTGCTGAGTGCGGCGTTAAACAACAAACCAACCAACTGAGTAGAGCGATTTCTTGGTAACCTACCTTTAGTGAAGTCTCCTCCTTGGATCATGAAGTCCTTCACAACGCGATGAAAGGGGGAGTTCTTGAAGTGGAGGGGATGCTCCGACTTGGCAGTGACGCCTTTTTCGCCTGTAACACCATACCCTGGTTAGTCAGTAGGCTTGTCAAAATTGTAAACTTTCAGTATCAATTTGGCCGGCCTTAACTTGACATGCCTTTAATAAAAGACTGTTCACCAAACAAACGTCAAATTCAAGTTACATTTGTATTACCACAAAGCAAATACTTGGAGGGAGAATGTCTAGATGACCTACATTCACAAACTTTAGAATTCCCAACAGGTGAGCTAACACAAGGAAGGGAATGGCGTCTTATCATAGTAAGCAATGTGACACTTGCCCTTACCTAGTGTCAGGCAACTTCTTAAATTTGATGTCTAATATGTGTAAAGTTTAGGGTATTCCAATTGACGGTTAAGGGTTGTACAACTGATTTGGTCAAAAATCATTGTCTATCTATTGCTTCAATGGGATAAAGATTTGAATGGAAGAGATTTTGCATTGCCCATGGGAAGTACTGCCATACAATCTCGGACATCTAGCAGACATTCCAGAATGCTTGTCGTTCATTTTTCACATTTTGAGTCAAGAACTTTGTCAAAATATTTTTCAAAGTGTAGTCTGGAATGGAAGTCGCCAGTTTGAAAGTAGTGTTGTATAGGCTGAGAAAGAGGCTTTCTGATTGGCTAATTTAGACTTCTTGTTAGTTTGTCAAAGTTCGTGAAAGGTCATTCTGACGTAACCTGTAATGGGATGTCCTCAGATCTTTGTTTGGCAGTAGTGAGAACTAAGATTTGATTTAAATGTGATTGACTGTTACGAGACTCTGGCTTGTGTCCAGCAGGTAACTGATTGTACACATGAAATGTCTAACCATAACACAGACTAGGCCAAGAAGAAGCCACATTGCAAAATCTAGACTTTTCTTACCTGTGCATAGTGCCCGGAAGTTATCACAAGTCTTTGGACACACATCCGAGAACAGCTCGATGACAACTCTACCAGCTGGAGAGGAAATAAACAGTTTATTCAACAGCTACTGTGTAACATCAAACAAATTTGCAATTCAATAAACGGAAACAATGTAAACCTACAGTTTATCACAAGCATTCTAGTGTTTGTGTTGTTAAGATGCCTGAATCTTTAATATTCAACATGAGAGCTATGACAAGCAATGCATGACGTTGACAGGTTCTAAAAAAATAATTCAATTCAATCAGTGACTGGCACTATATTGCTAAGAGGCATCTTATCAATGAAGACAGAGTTGACTTTATTTAATCAGAATACAGAGGTTGAACTCCATCCATTGGTATAGAAACTGTATGCCCAATTGGAAAAGAATCCATAAACTAGTTTTCAAGTCATATGTCGCACAAATGTTTAAGTAAAAAAATATATTCAAAGTTCACCACATGAAAAACATCATATTTTTTCAGAAAATACACATAAAATAGGCCGGGGGTATCAAAGTAAGGAGTGTATTTTCGAAAAAGGTCTGATATGTCCAGTTTGAGTTATAGACAAAACTTTACAATTTACTGACTTGGATACAAACTATTCCCCTGTTTCTTCCATTACAGAGAGAGAGATGGTGTGAGGGCCTACCTGCTTGTGCTCCTATCTGTACGTCCAGGAAGCAGCGTGGCCTGTAGTTGCCTCCGACAGTCATCCTAGAAACCAAGCAATACAGCATTACACTCACAGCAGTGCTGACGAGGCATAAAGTGGCATCATCCATCACCACAACTCCATGAGACTGCACATGGCTCTTGTCTAGTGTAGAATTCAGATATTCAATATTGTCTTTTTTTTTTTTTTAATCACTCACGTTGTCCTCACTTTTGTATCACAGAAACCCATAAACATGATAAATGACAGACTAACTTGCAGTTTACAAGATTTTGTTTGTGTGTAAGTCTGACAGCCAAACAAATGATGACACTGAACCATAAATTTCAGTACACAGAAACAGAAGACTTGTATTATGATCGGGCATTACAAAAAATACTTAAGGACATATTTTTAATACATGTGGATATTTAGTTACAGGTTCTGCAACAGCTGGCGGTTCTATAATCAACACACTACTCTAGAAGCCTATTTTCTGTCAATGTATTACAATGTCCCAATAGTTGATTCACTAAAAATATATTTGATGACACACATCCCAATCACCATGATCACACGTCTTGCAAAAGAAAACCCAGTGTTGTAGTTCAAGGCAAAGTATATCAATCACTGTTAAAGTCTTAAAATGTTCAAAGGGTTTGTTGAATTGTTTTGAGATTTGATTTAGTTGTATTTTGTTAACTTTATATTAATATAAAACTGTGCACAAGCATCCTTACTATCAAAGTGATCAACATTATCAATCCCTCATCAGTCATCTATTTCAGATATTCTCCAGAATTTGACCTGCATGAACACCATTTTACTATTTCCAAATTTACCAGTTTTTTACCTATTCCAATATGTCTATACATCATGTACATACATCAATAAAACACAAGATACCTGGTATTTGTATATTGGTTTGGGTAATATAAAAAGTAAGATTATAAACAAAAATCAGTATTTACATATATATTTACACTTCAGTATAATACCCAATCCGTGCAAGAGACATTTTTTAGTCTGCTTGCCTGAACTAGGCCCTTAGCTTAACTATTTGCACAGTCTAGTGTTATCATATGGACTTTTATTTGCTGAGCTTACTTGAGTGAACACAATTTTACAAGCAGGGATGAGAATGGATATTTTCCTTTTCAGCTGAAACTTCTTTGCAATGGAGCATGGACGATATTTAAGGGGGAAGCCATCGGATTTTAAGAAATTTGTGGTCACAAAAATACATGGAAGATTCTCACCCCTGTACTAGATACAGGCTTCAGGGTGGGTAGTGGTGAAAGTCTCAGACTGCATACCTCAAAAAATGTCTTTCTCATAGTAAATGTGAATAAACATTCTCCACATCTGTTTTGCTAAAACTGCATTCGCATAATACATGCATTCGGTTCCAACACAAAAGCTATGCTACCAATACGCCTTCAATGCTTTTTATTCAAATAGATAGGAGGGCCTGTGTATGATATTGTAAACACATGTTAACACTGTCAGTGAAAGTTAATCAATTAGACCAGATTGCACAGACTGTACCATTTACAACTTGCACATATGATCATGCTGGACACTTCAATCCTTTATCCACTTTACCATGTAAGCCCGTAGGAGAGAATTATCTTTTGAGGTTTTCACATTAAATCCATGCACAGAAATTGGTCTAGTCGTATACAACATTAGTCAATATTTTGTGTGTGTACACCTACATATTCCTGTGATCCATGGAACACAGTCAGGGTTTCATGTGACAAACAAATGTGTGTCAAGTATGCATAAATGTAGAGAATGGATGCAGGAAAAAAGTATGCGTCCTGAGTGATGCACAATAATATTCATTGTACCAACAGTGCAACAAGAGCAGTTTCTGGGGTCTGTTATTTCATCCATCAATCATGATCACTGTTCACATGATCATTGATTCATGCCGGGCTCTTAAGTAATTATGCAAACGTAAAGTACACAAAACATTTGATTACTATATAGGACCCTCATATTGCCTTCCAGGACCCTTAAATAAATAATCCACTAGACCCGCTCTTTCGTACGTCAAGGTAAAATCACTGCGCAGTCCATTCCGAACATGTGCCCGTTAGACTTAAAAAGTTCTGAATATATTGTCATACAAAAGTGAGGACATACCCATAACAGGGAATCTGGTTGCTTATTATTAATGGATTAGGTAAAACATTTGGTTGGCATGGATCACCTTGTCTGAATGTTGTGTAAAAAGTAAGTGAACTACCCGGTGGAAATCGTTAATTTGCGGTCGATCTGCCGTCAATAATATCTTTCAACATATCATATACATGAAGTAAAGTATCTATTTTTAAGATTACGACAGGAAGGTACCACCTGCCTATAGTTCTGAAAATGATAAACCGCTAAACGTTCTTGGTATACATGTGTACCTAAATTCGCACTTGTCTTTCCGGAAGTACGAAGGAAGATGTAATTGCAAGGTGAGGGGAGACATTAGTGAGTCATGGTATTAGGTATACATTTCTATAGGCGAAATGTGATACATATCGAGCATCGGAATCTATAATTTATATTATTGTCATTCAATTCAGTGTGAAATTATCATATTAATAATTTGACATAGATATTTCTGTCAAAGCTTGAGGTGAACACCCCTAAATATTTCGTATTGGGATGATCCAAAATAACCTCCAACGCTATATCTGTACATTTTTTCATACCTTCTTTAGAAAACACTCTGTTGGCTTATGTTTTAGTGTATATGATCACCGTATACTAAAAACGTGTTGTATAAGGTAAATATATAAAGTTTTCATATATATTTACTCAATGAAACATTTGTGACGAGAGTAGAATACTAAACAACATGGCGCCTATCAAGAAAGGAGAACTGTCTGAATCAGAGAAAAAGCTATTTGATATCGTCCTCAAAGGTAAATATTTTCTTGTTATAGAAGCTGCGTGAGTATTTTTATACTTCATAATAAATGCATTCTATTTGGTCACAGTAATGGTATATGTTTCCGGATTTTCCCTCGATCACTAACCAAGCTAACCCGGTACCGTGGGATTGTCAGTAACGATTTTGCCACTGAATTGACTAAATCGCTTGGCACAATATTGCCATTAATATATGACAGGGTGCTTAAGAGATTGCAAATAATTATTTTATATCTTATTATTTATTCAATTAAGTCATTTTGCTTAAGATGTTCGCAGATATTCCACCTGAAATCATGGACTAGCCTATATCTGTTTTTCAGAATCTTCCAGAATATTAGAAATATCTTGAGAAAATGCATTTTATACTTGTCACATCAAACTCGCTTTACTCAAGTTAAGTTTCTCATATGCAAGTTGGGGATTAGGTGAGTGGTATCAATGCTGAACAGCTGTTGATGGTGAATAATTATCGGGCCTGGAGGGGGCCTAATTAGCGATCAATTAGCACCTACCTAACATTGTTACAGTGTGAACATCACTAACTTCAGTGTCATACATGCGATCCATGTGCAGAACCACCCTACAATAACTTTCTTATGGACTCCAATGCTTATTTTGAATAAGACTTCACAATCTCTTATTAATTAAATGAATGTACATTGTAGAAATGTTTACGTTCCACATGTTCCTGTTAAAAAAAACCATTACCAATAATATGTTTCCCATATTTATGTTATCAAGTGTCTTCATTGTAAATGTATTTGTCAAAAACTACGAACTGGAAATAACAATCAAGTTGTGTTCTCTGCCTGAGCTGCTGTTACATTTTTAGAATGCAGCAGCCAAGGCCAGACAGAGAACTGAACTCATGTATCATTGTATGTAAGAATTTTACTGTTGGCATGATTGTAGCTACTGTATTTGACGTAATAAGCGCCCAGGGCGCTCTCAAAATTAGAAATAGGGGGCTCTTATTAGGATAGTATTTTGGTGAAAAAAGTTTGTGAGTTGAAAGGTAAATTCTGTGGTTTATGCTGACAGCCTGAAATGTTTATATAGACATATATTATTCCAGAATTTAATTGCCCATAATTATAGGTGCATATAACTCAGGAGTGCGTATTGTATGCGAATAAGTAAGTCATTTGTACATTGATCAATCGGAAAGGGTGCTAATTGGGATTGTTCATTAGCCAATATATTAGCAAATATCGCCGTGGGCGCTTAATAGAGCGGGGCGCTTATTACGTCGAATACGGTATATGTAATAATGTTAGTGCGACTGGATAGTAAAACAGAACATTATAAACAGTGCTCCAGATATGCTGCATATTTTTAAAAATTCTCAAAATAAATCACATCAATATAAATTTAATGTAAAAAAAATTTCAAATACTCAATAGTAGAGCAATATTGTGCATAATTACCCAATGTAACCTCTTACCTTTAATGTCACATGGAATGTCTTTACAGATCTTTAATTTACTGCTGGAATGGAAGCACCATGTATATGTGACCTCTGCTTCTGTGCTACATTTCGCTTATATTAACTGGTTTTAACTTGTGAGCTAATGCAACATATGACACACTTGGAATTATAAGTCACCTGAAACAGAATTTTATTCAGAATTATATATTTGAAAAACATGTCTGCTCACTGGTTTGCAAATGCACAAGAGACAGGACCCAAAGGAGTAATAGTGTATTGAATACCCTAGAAAACCACCAGCAAATGTTATTAACATGTGAGTAAATATTCAATGCCTCCAAAACTTATCTGGAGCCATGGTATGAAGCTATGATGTTACAGCTAAACAGAAGATTGATCTGTAATGAGATTTTGGTTTTCATTTCTGTCGTTAGGTACTGTGGAGGAGATCCGAGCAATACTGAAAGAGCCAGATGTTCGGGTGGACTGTCTTGACCAGGTCAGTGTCTTATCATGAAAAATGACATAAGTTGCTTTCTTGTTTGAAATATTGCCAGAAATAATCAGCATATGCCTCATTTGATAAAAACAAAACAAAGCCCTGTATTATGTATATTATCATTGTTTTTATTGCCTAATGTTTCTTGTTCAAGATAAAGTTACTACTTATAACATAATCCATGATCAATTTATTATTATGAACTATCATTATGCATGAAATTGAATTATAAATGCAATGCAGATTCATACAGTTTGCACATCAGTTTTATTACTTACAATCATGAAAATATCTTGGTCAAAATTTCATGTAAAGATTGACTTTTTCCCCAGTTCATTGAGGAATGAATACAAAAACGGTGTGCATGTATTGTTGATGACTGTGCCAATGTGCAGTGAACCTCTCCAAAATATCAACAGAAAAATGCGAGCAAGGGGCAGTCCCATTTTTTGCATTTATTTCATGTTCACATTAATGTCATGTATTATTAATACAGTATTCAGGTAAATGTTTTTTATCTTTAGTCCGTTGGTTCCAAAGAGGGTATAGCCTCATACACGTAAACATAAATCGTTCCTAACCTCCTCCATGCAGTTGCTTTCATAGAGGGGGCAAAGGTGGCCTAGTCGTCTAAGGCGCCGCAATTCGCTGTGCACAGTTGTGTCCCTTAGGTACTCCAGAAACCTATGATTTTTAGGTTGGAATCATGGTTTGCCCTGATTTTGTCTCTAGGTTTGTCAGCACCATACACGTGCTCATGGGTTTCACTTAAGTGGTAAATGTCTGAGACCTGCATCACTTTGGGCTTTCCTCCCACATTAAGCTGACACACCGTGATATAACTGGAATACTGTTAAAAGCGGTGTTAAACCCAACTCACTCATTACTTTCATAGGGAAATCTCTGTATGTGTCTTGGTGTTAACAGAGTCTATGAGAATGTTTATTACCCCCAGTCCTAACAAAGTTGGCAGGGGATATAGAAATGGGTTCGGTCCGTGCGTGTGTGCGTGTATGCGTGTGTGAGCGTCCCGAAATCATTTCCGGAGCATAACTCAGAAACCGTTAATATTTCTCTATGAAACTTTGCATGTCTATCAGACGCATGCTGAACTGGTGCCTTTTGCTATTTAGAAATTTTTGAATTTTGAATTTTTTATGTTTCCTTGGCAACAAGTTGGACTTAGGTTCTATAGGGTAGAGTTCGTTTCCGGAGCATAACTCAAAACCCGTTCAATACTTTCTAACAAAACTTTGCATGTTTTCCAGACACATACTGAACTGGTGCCTTTTGCTATTTAGGAATTTTAGAAATTTTTATTTTTTTTTACCTTTCCATGGCAACAAGTTGGACTTAGGTTCTATAAGGGTGGTGTTCATTTCCGGAGAGTAACTCAAAAACCGTAAAATACTTTCTTACAAAACTTTGCATGTCTACCAGGCACTATTGAGCACTTTTAGAAATTTTTATTTTTTACGTTTCCATGGCAACAAGTTGGATTTAAGTTTTAATATAGGGTGGGTACACTTATGGAGTATAACAAATAAACTGTTAAATATTTCCTTGCCAAACATTGCATGTCTTTATATAAAGCACATACTGATCTGGTGCCATTTGATGTTAAGGAGTTTTAGGAATTTTTATTTTAGAATTTCCATTGCAGCTATTTTGACATGGGCTAAGAGAAATGTTGGGTCAGTTACCTGGTTTCGGACCATAACATGTTAAAATGGGCGGGGGACATAGATGACATTGTGTTTGTTTTTGATTGATGAATAGCCTGTATGTTTCAGACTGGGATGACCCTGCTGCAGCATGCTGCCTTCAAGGGGCGGTATGAAATGTGTGAGGTTTTCCTTGCACATGGAGGTGATGTCAACTCAAATTACCATGACAACGGATACTCTGCCTTAATGTTTGCTGCCCTTTCAGGTGAAAATAGATTCTGAGACTACATTACCAAAGTTGTTGAATCAGAAAAACAATTCTTTTATTTTAATACTGAGTTACATTTTTACGGTAAGAGCCAGTAGTTGCATTTATTTGGAGACACATTAATTTCAAGATTTACAGTAATGAACTATTGCCATGTTTTCTGCAGGCTTATGATTACATATAGTTCTTGAGTATGTTCAAGCAGGATCTGCTTGGCTGGTGAATTATTCATTGAGATGAATACAAGTCTAAAATACTACATGTCCGGAATTTGATTGTTATTTTCAATTTCTTTAAAACAATTCAAATTTTATGTTTCCACTTGCACAAGAAAATTTGTCAGTAGTAAAATCCTGGATACAATGGTTACAGATGGACACAGAGGTAATAATCACGATAAATTTTTTAACTTATCCTGCATTACTCCGTATTACATTTACTGCTGTCTTTGACAGAGAGACGAACTGTGTGAGATCCAGCTGCTGAAGAAAGTTGTTTCCATCTGTCCAGGAAGCAGCGCCCCCTCCCACACAGTCGGCACGTGACCCGGAAGACATGACGTCATGTCAAAACTCATAACTGCTTTGTCAACCACATGGATCGGACGTGAACTGTATCCCTCAGTGGAATTATTAAAGAGAGCTTTCTTGGTCCTGACTTTCTTTCGTTTTCTACGACAAAAGTCTGCTGTATTACCTTTGCCTTCATTATATTGTTAATTGGTAATGTTTCTCGCTCGGGTTCTGACTCTCGTCACGGTTTTTCCGAGCGTATTGTTGTTTCCCGCCATTTTGGTTTACCGCCATTTTTTCCCGCCCTGTTGCGATTCACTACATGTCCACGTACTTTCGTGTTTTGTGTCTTGAATTCGCTCTATGGTTGGAGTTTTACATTAAGTTTAATGATTGTTTTCGGCGTGTTTGAAGCGTAATTGTTTGCTCTTATTAACTTTGTAACAAGAATAAGTTATGTTGAGTTACATTATGTTTCACGTTGTGTATTTACACATCGTTATGTTTTTTGCTTCAATTCCAGTATGTCTCGCTGCTCTCGCTGCCGCGGGAATAAATCTGGACGGGACCCCCACCCCTGCTGCCTGGACTGTACAACCCCGTGTACCCTCACAGAGCGTTGCAGTTATTGTAGTCCCCTGTCGCCAGTCGCCTTCACCGCCTACCTCAGAGTGTCTCGGAAACGATTCACCCAGCGTGTGCGTCGACTCGCCAACATGTCATCCAACGTAGAGTCTGCCTCCCATAGCACGACATCCGACCGTACACGGTCTCCTACACCACCCTTACCGTCATCTGCTTCGACATCATCGTCTGCAGCATCGCCCGTTTCGGGTTTCCTGTCACCTCTACCATCTACGACGACAACTCCGGCGCCTCCGATCTACCCGGCGCCTCTTGGTCCGGCGCCTCCGATGTACCCGGCGCCTCTTGGTCCGGCGCCTCCGATCTACCCGACGCCTCCGATCTACCCGGCGCCTCCGGCGCCTCTTGGTCCGGCGTCTCCGGCGCCTCTTGGTCCGGCGCCTCCGATCTACCCGGCGCCTCTTGGTCGCAAGCTCAACCCACCTCAGCGACGCCGACGGTGCCTCCTGCGACGCCGGCGACGCTGACGGCCCCGACTACTGTTACTGCGATTCCTGAGGCCCCCTCCACATCGGGTGCTTCTCGGTCTCGAACATTGTACACCTCGTCGCCTCCGACTGTCTCTCGGCACTCGTCCAAGTCTGCTCGTTCCCGTCGTCGCTCTCGTAGTCGCTCTCGTAGTCACTCACCCGTACATAGACGACGACGTCGTTCCTCCTCCTCGGAAGGATCATTTCGCCCCAACTATGACCCTCCATCTCCCGAGATTGATACACACTTGGGCCTTTCACAGGTTGCTGATTGGTTGGCGGACCGTCTGGCCTCCGTCGCTCCCTCCCCGGGCTCCGATGTGGATAAAAAGTTGACGATCTGGTCTAATCCGACTTCTCTACCACCCGACCCAATGCTCACTGACCTGGTTACGGCGTTGGACGAGGACTTCGCTAAGTTGTCCCTCACGCCGTCGTTCAAGGCTCCGCGTTTCCGGCGGGAAGATTTCCCCGTCCACTCCTTCGACGTGGCCGACGGTGCACATATCCTGGACGAGGACTTACATCGAATGACCGGGTCTTCTCAGTCCGTCACCATACGTATGCCGGACTCCCGACTCGCTTTCGTGGAAACAGAACTGCGCCGTACTTTGAAGCCACTATCTACACTTGCTTCATCTGCCAGAGCCATTGACCAGGATCTCGCTGAATCCAATCCTAACAGGATCGACCACTTGCGCACGGTTATGACGTTCCAACTTCGCCAGATCAATCACATGCGCAATCACCTGAGAGCTGCGCTTGCGGAGATCACCACTACTCGATGGTTGGGTTACTTGACTTCCACGGACTGGGATTCCGAATTCAAGCGTTCCTTACTACGACAACCTTGGTTGGGTCCTACCCTTTTTAATGGTGCTATCTCCGCTACCCACACCCGCGTCTCCAGTTTCGCCAGGGATGAAACTGCTCTCAGAGCCTTGGAGCATGTAACACACCAATCAGCGGCCAAGTCCTCCAAAGGCAACTATAAACCACGCCGTTCCTCCCTCAAGGTCGTCTCCAAACATACCTCGCCCTTTCGTGGGACAGGGCGTGGTCGTGGTAGAGCCCGTGGCACTTACCAACCCCGAAGGGATCGTCGCCCCGGCAAGGGGGCCGATTCCACCTCAAAGCGTTGACCGGCGGCACCTCAACGACTGGGACCTCCCACCCCCAGTCGTTCCGGTCACCGACACACCTGTGGGTGGGAGACTAGGCCGGTTTTGGAGAAACTGGTCCATACTGGAGGACCCGTTCGTCACCGACATCCTCCGTCAGGGTTACCGGCTCCCATTGTCTGCGCTGCCTCCTCTGACGTCTACTCCGTCAACGGCCGCTTATTCACCCCACCAGCTTCGGCCCCTTCACGACAGCATCCTTTCCCTACTGCAGAAGGAGGCCATAGAGATCGTACACGACCCGGCTCGACACCCAGGATTTTACTCTCCGGTGTTTCTGGTGCCCAAGAAGGGGACCACCAGCTGGCGCATGATACACAATCTCTCCACTTTCAACCGGCTCTACCTGGAACGTCCTCCCTACTTCCGAATGACGACGTTGCGACTGCTCAGGACGAGAATCTCAGCTGGCGATTCCCTGATCAGCCTCGACATCCAGGACGCCTATCTTCATGTCCCCATCCACCCCAACGACCGGCGCTTCCTCAGGTTCCTTTTCAATGGTACCCATTACCAGTGGGCGGTCCTACCATTTGGAATTTCTACGGCCCCGTGGCTTTTCACACGGATCACCCGCCCGGTCGCCGCCTACCTACACCTGAGGAACATCAACTTCGATCCATACATCGACGATTGTCTCCTCAACAATCGGGACTCGGCGTTGCTACTGCGTCACAGGGATTTTACCCTGCGGCTCTTCAATCAGTTGGGTTGGATCGTCAATCAGACCAAGTCGGAGCTGATCCCATCGTTCCGTCTGCAGTTTATCGGGGGCCTGTTTCTCACGGATCTGGACCTCCTTCAAGTCCCCAGAGACAGGTGGTTGAAAATCCTCGCTCATCTCTTCCCTGCCCTTCAACAGGCTCGAACTCTCCGCCAATGGCAGGTTCTATTGGGTCTCCTCACGTCGGCTCAAGACCTGACTGCCAGAGGTCGCCTCCAGCTCCGTCCAATTCAACGGTTTCTCGCACCCTTTATCCGGCAGCAGGATCCGGAGTCCCTCATCGTCCTCCCGGTCCACCTCCACCCCTTCCTCCGATGGTGGACGGTGGAATCGAACGTCTGCGGCGGCGTCTCCTTGACCGCGCTACAGCCCTCCCTCCACCTGTTCGTCGACGCATCCAAACAGGGTTGGGGGGCTCATCTGGGGACTCAAACAGTTGCAGGGCTGTGGTCAGGAGATCGACTCTTCTGGCACAGCAACAACCTCGAACTCGAAGCTCTCATACTGGCCGTCTCCCACTGGCAGAACATTCTCCGGCACGGCCAGTTGGCCATCTCCACGGACAACATCACCGTGGTGTGGTGTCTGAGGAATCAGGGTACTCTCCACTCTCAGTCCCTGCTCAACCAGACCTTCCGATTTTTCGACCTGGTGGACCGTTTAGACTTGCAATTCCTTGTTCAGCACATTCCAGGTTGCCGGAATGTTCTGGCAGACGCTCTGTCCAGGCCGGACAAGGTGGCTCCCACCGAATGGCGACTCCACCCAGAGATCTTCACAGTCCTTTGTCAAACGATCGCCTCTCCAAACATCGATCTGTTCGCCACGTCTCAGAACTGCCAGCTGCCGACTTACATCTCGCCGGTCCCGGATCCGGCCGCTGAAGCAGTCGACGCCTTCAGTGTTCCCTGGGAGGGATTAAGCGCGTACGCTTTTCCGCCTCCGGTTCTCCTTCCCAGGGTTCTTCAAAAGATCCGGGCCACTCGACACTTGACACTGATTTTGGTCGCGCCTTGGTGGCCGGCCAGAAGTTGGTTTGTCGACCTCCGCAACGTCGCCAGAGACAACCCTCTAGAACTGCCAGCGTGGTCCAACCTTCTGCTTCACCCACACAGTCGGTTGCCCCACCCAAGTCCCGCTCGGTTTCATCTGCACGCCTGGCACATCTGCAAAAAGCCCTAGGAGCCAAGGGCTATTCGACTAGAGCAGCCAAGGCTATTGCTTTCGCCCATCGTCCATCTACACGGGGACTATATGATGATAAATGGTCCTCGTTCCAGGTGTTCTGCTCTGACAAGCATCAGGATCCGATGACGGCATCCCCGCAGTTCCTGGCTGAGTTTCTTCTGTACTTGCGCAGCACGCGTCGATTAAAAGGCTCTACCATCTCCACGTACCTGGTCGCCATTAACTCCGTCCTTGCCATTCCGGACAACCGGAGAATGACGAAAATTCCCGAACTCCAGGCTATGCTGCGCTCGTTTCGTCTCGACGACCAGAAAGCCAAGTTCAGACCGCCTGCGTGGGATCTGAATGTGGTCTTAAAGGCTCTTCGGGAGGCTCCCTTCGAACCACTCCACACGTCTTCCTTTTACGACTTAACGAAGAAGACAGTGTTTCTACTGGCCTTGGCTACTGCCGCCCGGGTTAGTGAGCTCCACGCCCTCGACGTCTCTCGGGTCAGGTTCGAACGCGGGACTCATGGAGCAGTTCATCTTGGGCTGTGCTGGGACTTCATCGCAAAGAATCAACTCCCCGGACAGCCTGATAGATCCTTCACCATCCCTCCACTTTCGTCGATTGTGGGTGCCGACGACGTGGAGGAGCTCTTATTATGCCCAGTTAGGGCCCTGAAGGTTTTCCTGCGACGGTCTAAAGCCTGCCGTAAGTCTAGGAAACGCCTTTTCCTACCGGTCTCCCCTTCGTCGCTGTCGGAGGTCAGCCGGAATACTATCTCCCTGTGGCTCCGGGCGGTCATCCTCCAATCTTATAAAGTCGCCGGATTGGACCCCCCCAAGGCTAACAACCCCCACGAGATTCGGGCGGTCGCGTCTACCATGGCTCTGCACAGTAACTGTTCCCTCAAATCTATCATGGAAGGCTGTTTTTGGCGTTCCGACACCGTTTTCGCCAACCACTACCTCCGTGATGTAGCCTTGGAAGATGTCGCTGGCGTTCATAGCTTTGGTCCCCTGGTGGTAGCTCAACAGGTCACCAACCCCCGACGCCACTGATTCTCCGTTACCCTGAGCGGGGCCCGTCGACCTCTCTGGTGTTTATCACCACAGATTAGAGGGCTCTACTGCGTTCCGCATTCGCTCTTAGGTCAGTGCTAGTTTTGGCATTCCCGCCTCATACTATATCTGTCACCTATTTCGGGTTCCCTCTTTTGCATCGACTCTCGTTTCCTTTCAGAAGGAATGGTCGCTGGTGTTCCGGTCATCGCTTGTCCATGCGGTGCGATTTCATCGGACCTTTGTCGAGGGTTTTCTTCTGGCTCACATCTGAAGGTATGCCCACCGGCCGTGCCGTCTGATAAAGATGCAATACGGAGTAATGCAGGATAAGTTAAAAAATTTAGTAAAATCTAAATATTTTTTACATTTGTATACTTATCCTGCATTACGAAGTCTAAGTGCCCCCCCTGCGCTCCGCTTCCTCCCCACGAAGTTTCCGATGTTATGTTAAAGCAGTTATGAGTTTTGACATGACGTCATGTCTTCCGGGTCACGTGCCGACTGTGTGGGAGGGGGCGCTGCTTCCTGGACAGATGGAAACAACTTTCTTCAGCAGCTGGATCTCACACAGTTCGTCTCTCTGTCAAAGACAGCAGTAAATGCAATACGGAGTAATGCAGGATAAGTATACAAATGTAAAAAATATTTAGATTTTACTAATACTGCGACCATACTGATACTGGTGTATTGCAGGTAATACAGAGGTGACCAGATTGATGCTGCAGGCGGGGGCCAAGGTTCATCACATAAACTCAGTCAACAGAACAGCCTCTCAGATGGCAGCCTTTGTCGGTAGGTGGAGTCAATGTATATCACAGAGTTTAATTAGGATAGGAGACAAGTTACTTTTAAAGTTGCTTATTTCTAAATAACTCTAAAAGTATGTTGACACATTTTGTCTTAAGGTGTAATGTACTTTGATTAATGAAAATATCTTAGGATTTGATCATTTTTGAACGATTAAACATACACATCATTGTTTATATATGCTTGTCTTATATTGTATTTGGGTTTCTCAAATTATCTTTTTGAATCTTTTCAGGTCAACATCAGTGTGTTTCAGTCATTAATAACTTCTTCCCCAAAGAAGACATCGAATACTACACTGTGCCACAAGGTGACTATTCTGTTGTGTTTACACCTCTTTAAATATAGATTGATGCCCATTCATGGTTATTAGTTTCAAAAGGAATGGGAAGATCCCAACTCAGTGAATACACTTTTTCGAACAAACAATAAGAAAACAATAAGAATTGATAAGAGGAAACAATCCAAATCTTGACAGTGGTCAGATCCTTTGACATGGACAACAAAACTGTGTTCTATGCATTGGGGTTATAGTGTTATGTGTGTTATGTTGCAGGTTTGGAAACAGAAGCTAAGCTGCCTGCAGCCATTGCCCCTTCCTTGCTGACCCTGGTGAACTCTGTTAATATGCACCCAGTGAAGGTGAGTACTGCACCCTACTCATCACTCATACCCATATTGGAGAGGGTGCACAGGGGGGGGCAACTCTAGGTGCTTCTGTGCAGAGTTGCACCCCTTTCCCATGACAGAATCCCCTGCATTCGTCACCACTCGCCCCTTTCCATAACCTGCAAGAAGACTCCCCCCCTCTCGATGAATGTTATGTGCAAAAATACGACAAACCAATCAGAATGCGCTTATGATTTCAAGTTCTTTGTCGAAGAATCCGACAGATATAATTTTTGATTTTTCATATGTCTTGCATCTAAAAATATACCCAAGACACAGTTAAATGTGTTCAATCATACTGTATAATTCCGCATGTCCAGATGTGCTTTATTTTGTATCTGAAATATATATGATATATGGGGAAATATATAATTGAACCATTCCGCAACGAGTTGACAATTGTTTAGGTATGCCTGTTAGCTTGCGCTAAGATGGAACCCATTCGCAAAAATGGCCATGAGAGGGGCACGAGTCGCTATTCGGCTTGTCCCGGTATAACACGAGTTGGTCACGAATGAATCCCCTGATCAGAGGTACATTTGGATCATGATCCTTGGTCTGTCTGCATCATACCCTACTCATGGCTTGTGTTATCTCCCATGTAAATTTGTCATCTTCAGATGATTCTTGTTCTAAATTAAACGTGAAATACTTTCAAAGCAACCTACTCACTATAGCTGAAATGAAGCAAGGTATTTTCAAGACGGATATGACACAAACAATTATTTCTTCTTTGAAATTGTACTTGTTTCTCTCAGCTGGGTATTTTTCATTGTGCACGTGAATATTAATAGTCTATAGCTCACACGCTTTTCCTTAGAGAGTTTTTTAGAATAATTTTGTCAAGAGACCTGGTTTATGGTGTGACCGATGGGTGTGTGTTTGCAGATTGCGTTGTACATGAAGGATCACAAGGAGCTCCAGGAAGATTGGTACAAGGTGACAAGGGTGCTGGACCTGCTGGTGGAGAGGAACATGAAGTCCCGGGAGACCAACGACGTGCTGGCGCTCAAGCTGCACTACCTGGCCACCATCATCAGGAATACAGCAAAGGCTGCTCTGGACAAGGACGGAGACATGGAGCCATGGATCAAGAGGTGAGTAATTATCTGTCTCATTACCAATATAAGCTACCAAAGTCACAAGCCTGAGGTCAAGTTCAAGACATTAGTTTTGACAATGGCCAATATAAATTCATGGTTATCAGCCATCAATACAACTGTAAAAATAGCTGCATGAATGTATTTTATTCAGAATGAATTATATCAGTGGTTGCTATGACAACACTGGTATGTTGCAGCTTGTTAAAGGGTTGTGGTGTCGCAGTATGTATGATGCAGTGGTTGCTATGACAACACTTGTATTTGCAGCTTGTTAAAGGGTTGTGCTGTTGCAATATGTATGATGCAGTGGTTGCTATGACAACACTGGTATGTTGCAGCTTGTTAAAGGATTATGGTGTTGCAGTATGTATGATGCAGTGGTTGCTATGACAACTCTGGTGTGTTTCAGCTTGTTGAAGGGTCGTGATGGTGATGCGTTCCCAGAGAAGCAGGAGCGTTTGATCCGCCAGTCCCTGAAGGAGTTCCCGTACGTGGAGTCCCAGCTGCTGCAACAGGTCGTCAGGCAGATTGCCCCCGTCAAGATGGTGAGTCACATGAGGGAACACAAGAACCACAAGTCTAGTTTAACTGGTACCATTACATAAGTTTTAAGTTAAGTTCAAAAGGTCTTGAAATCTCTTTCCCGAAGTACTTAGGTGTAAAGAAGGGGTGACTGCTGCCATGGACTTCGGAGTGGATATAGTGTGTGTCCAGAGAGTGGAAGCTCATACCAAAAGATATTGTTATACCTCCATTAAGAATATTCCAATTCCACTGGTATTTCCGTACCATATGACAAAACAATACATTTCCATGACTGACACTGACATCGAATATTGACTAGTTACATGATCAGTTTTGATCTGTCACATGATGGATATTGACTCTTCTGCTAGAAAACAAGATGGTGTCTAGTACTGACATTTCACAGTCTGCAGCTAAGTTACTGTAATCAAAGGGGGGGGAAGGGGGGGGGGCACAAAGTTACTTATCATCTCAAGACCGATCCTGCAATTGCCCTGTCCATGTTTCTATATGTAAACTGTTGCCAGGGTAACTTTGTGAAGTTCCTGTGGATGTCAGTTGCCAGGGAGACTGTTAAGTCTCTGTCAATATTAATGGCTCTATGACAACTGTTGCCATGGAGATTGTGAAGGCCCTATTGATACTAATGACTGTATGACAACTGTTGCCAGGGAGACTGTAAAGTCCCTGTTGATATTAATGGCTGTATGACAGCTGTTGCCAGGGAGACTGTGAAGGCCCTGTTGATATTAATGGCTGTATGACAACTGTTGCCAGGGAGACTGTAAAGGCCCTGTTAATATTAATGGCTGTATTACAACTGTTGCCATGGAGATTTTGAAGGCCCTGTTGATATTAATGGCTATATGTAAACTGTTGCTAGGGAGACTGTAAAGCCCTTGTTGATATTAATGGCTATATGTAAACTGTTGCCAGGGAGACTGTGGGAAGCCCCTGTCGATAATCATGGCTATATGTAAACTGTTGCTAGGGAGAAGGTGTGACAGCTCTGTCCATGTTGATGGCGAGTATCAATGGTCAGCAGTACGGCTGGGATGAGGACACCAGCTGCTCCACATGTGGGACACAGAACCCCGAGAAGAAGTGCTCGGCTTGTAAAATGGTGAGTACTGGTAGATTGGAGTCACAGACATCACAGTAATAAACTCCAGAGACATTGAGCATACGTGTGCAATTATGAATCTTAACTGATCAGTTTCCTTTTTGTTCTTTTAATTTTGAAAGAGGGTTTGATCTTGCACAACATGACGTCTCCCCTGTGCTGAGGGGCATACGGAAACAACATGTATAAATACTGACAGTTTTGTTGTTGTCACTAGGTGGGTTACTGCAACCAGCAGTGCCAGAAACTACACTGGTTCACACACAAGAAGTTCTGTAAACAGTTAGCAGGTAAGGGACACATGCTTCTTGTGTAGATTTATATCACTGTCTGTGGTACGATTAAAGACTAGGTCTAAAGAATTTGATGTCAAACTTACAGTAAGCAGAATGAAGAAAGAGGGTTTGAGGACATGCAGGTTGTGGGTGTTTGCTACTTTAGTGAACCCCATGAACAATTTTATGATGCTGCAAGACCAATGATTTGACCATCAGACAGCTGGTGCAAAGGGACATAACTCTGGAGAAGTATAGTTAAAACAATGTCTGTGTGACATTGGGTTCAAGTGTCATTGTTTTGTCAAGCTTGTGTTTCAGTATTGCTCTTATTATTGAGTGCATATATTAAATGTTGCTTTTGCTGACAACATCATGCACAGTTTTGGTCATGGTAAACCATCACAGGTTTTGATGAAAATCTGATCACTGGAGATGGAGCACCCGTGAAGATCCAGGGTAGAATAGGTCTTGGGCAACCCTTGCTTGCCGTAAAAGGCGACTACGCTTGTCGAAAGAAGCGACTAACGGGATCGGGTGGTCAGACTCGGTGTCTTGGTTGGTGCATGTCATCGTATCCCAATTGCTTGGATCGATGATTATGATGTCAATCACTGGATTGTCTGGTCCAGACTCAATTATTTACAGACCGCTGTCATATGGCTGGAATGTTGCTGAGTGCAGCGTTAAAAAAGAAACAAAACTGGAGATGGAGATATTTTTATGCATGGTTATCCTGATTGGTGCTGAATTCTTCCTTCATGGAGTCCACTAAAAGCCAGTATTGATCCACTCACCAAAGGTTGGAGTGTATTTCATTATGTAATCTTTTGTTCGTTGTGTAAAGTGTAAAATTTATCAAAATGTATTACAGATGTTCAGGGTAGTAATTGTTTAATTTTGGTCACAGACAGCTAAAGGGGAGTTGAAATGAAATCTTGTATGCTGCATCAGTCGCGCCAGGTCAGTAATGGCTGCCTTGTTTGTTGCAGAAGAGAATGTGAGACGTGAGGAAGTGAGGAAGCAGCGAGAGGCAGAAGAGAAGAGACAGCAGGAGGAAGCACAGAAGAAGAAAGCAGAAGAGGAACAGGCAAAGGAGGAAGAGGGGAAAGAGAGGCAGCGTCAGGTTGATGAGCTGCACGAGCGAATGAAAGAGGTTGGCGTGGGAGATCTTATAGGTAAGGGTGTGTCATGACGTTACTGTATTATTTGTGGTATGCAAGAAGGGCCACTAGAGTTCCTGTCTGTTTACAAAGGGGCATAACTCTTGTAGTCAATTATGACAATGGCACTGACTTAAGTTCAAAATGTGGCATCTTTACTAAATCCTCAGCCACAACCTCATTACAGGTGTTAATAGTTCCCATGACTTGATGTCCACAGATCTGTTGAGAAAATAACCTATCATTTGATTTGGATTCATTGGAAAATTGGTCTTCAGACATTAAACTGTTGGCAGGTATCATGCAAATATTTTCTACTGTTTCAGAATCACAAGGCTGTGAGACAAAGACTGATTCCAATAAGAAAGATGAGGAGAATGAGAGCGGAAAGACCCTGTCTTCTGTCACAGAAAATGGCAACACATCAGTAACAGAAGACACTAACCAGAAGCCCCAGCCAGACACAGCCAGCATAGCTAGCTGATCACAGTCTCAGCAACAAAAAGTTGTCCCTCAAGAGCCTAATCAGCAATCCTGGTCTTCTGGCCAATAATGTCTATTAACCATTAAGTTTATGTTTGTGAACCACACCCATCTCAATGCACTCCTTGTATTGTGGTCAGCAGCAAGAAGGTTTACAGTAGTATGTGCTCCTCGTCGCCAGTCCTTCAGCCATCCAAAGCACAAACATGATGACATACTGCCCTGCCTACACTGCTTGTCATCATTAGCTGGTGCACCTTCTAATGAATCATGTGTCACCATGTTTGATTGCCCTCTCCGCATGTGGATGAGCTGTAGCCCAGGACAGACTTGACACAGTATTATGTAACTAATAGAAGAAATGAGTTATCATACACAAATACAGGCCATTTTTATGACATTAAAATGACAAAAAAGATCTGGTTTGATGTGAAAGTGTCTTGATAGGTTTTCCTAGAATCTTATTTCATCTTTGTATTATTTAATGATGAATGTGAACAACAAAAAAATGACAGTAACCTAAAATGTCTCAATCTCATTGCAGAACTCATTTTGGCTGTTCCCTCCAACTGCTCAATATTTACAAGACAGAGGCCCTTTTGACTGTGTTAGAAAGTATGCACATATTTCCCTTGATATTGTTCTTTGTTTGTTGTCTTCAAGACCCCTGTAGTTAGGTTCTTGGGAATCTTCTATTTGATGTCATTGAAGTCCGTCTCCTCATGGTTAATTTCTAGGGGTGTCCTCAAGAACTATCACTACGAGTGTCTGCTGCATTCATGCCTATGGGTGTCATCTTCAGGGTACATCACTGTGGAGATCTTTGGGGTACATCACTGTGGAGATCTTCGGGGTACATCACTGTGGAGATCTTCTTCGTACATCACTGTGGAGATCTACGGGGTACATCACTGTGGAGATCTTCAGGGTACATCACTGTGGAGATCTTCGTACATCACTGTAGAGATCTACAGGGTACATCACCGTGGGGATCTTCAGGGTACATCACTGTGGAGATCTTCGGGGTACATCACTGTGGAGATCTCCAGGGTACATAACTGTGGAGATCTTCGGGGTATATCACTGTGGAGATCTTCGGGGTACATCACTGTGGAGATCTTCAGGGTACAACACGCTGGAGATCTTCGGGGTACAACATCCTGGATATCTTCAGGGTACATCACTGTGGGGATCTTCAGGGTACATCACTGGAGATCTTCGTGGTACATCACTGTGGGGATCTTCAGGGTACATCACTGTGGAGATCTTTAGCGTACATCACTGTGGAGATCTTTGGGGTACAACATCCTGGATATCTTCAGGGTACATCACTGTGGGGATCTTCAGGGTACATCACTGTGGAGATCTTTGGGGTACATCACTGTGGAGATCTTTGGGGTACATCACTGTGAAGATCTTTGGGGTACATCACTGTGGAGATCTTTGGGGTACATCACTGTGGAGATCTTCAGGGTACAACACCCTTGAGATCTTTGGGGTACAACATCCTGGATATCTTCAGGGTACATCACTGTGGAGATCTTCGGGGTACATCACTGTGGGGATCTTCAGGGTACATCACTGTGGGGATCTTCAGGGTACATCACTGTGGAGATCTTCAGGGTACAACATCCTGGATGTCTTCAGGGTACATCACTGTGGAGATCTTCAGGGTACATCACTGTGGAGATCTTCAGGGTACATCCCTGTGGTGGTCTTGGGGTCCCGTCCCTGTGATGGTCTTTTTCCAGTTTTGTTGTCTCTGTAACAACCCAGCAAATGTTACATATGTTTGGGGTCATTGTTTTCAAGTTTATTTGAATGATACATGGTATTGTTGTTTTTGTGACCATTACATTCGAGATCATGTGGCATAACTATACCAGTTTTAAATATACTACTACCCTTGTCAATATAATATTCAGCTATTAGCCATTACAGTTGTCTGAAGTTAAATCACAGTAATCATTGCTCATCAGCTCGTCATTGCTGTGTCAGTGTAAGACTAATTGCTAAGGAGTTGATGTGGTCAGTGTATTTCAGTGGAAGACTCTGTCTCTCTGTGGGGACAGTGGGTAGCCCTGTGTTAGTGGGTGCAGTTCCCTACATTGACTGTTTGTGGAACCCTTTCTTGTGACGTACCTGAAGGTCAACCAAGAACACATGGAGGAAGACATGTGGTTGCTTGTTAGGTGTTGTCTCTTTGCCTGTTTTGTAATGGAGTACTCATTGTCAGTGTGTTCAATAAATCATGAGTTACCTTTATAGAAGGTTATCAGTCTTCTTTGATGAATGAATGCAAATTCTGTATGGGCCTTGGATAATGTTTAAAAAAGTGCTGATACCCACAGGATACATGTGTCATGCAGAAATGCTAACATACACTTGACTCCTGTGTCATGCAGGAGAGGCTGACATACCCTAGACACCTGTGTCATGCAGGAGAGGCTGACATACCCTAGACACCTGTGTCATGCAGGAGAGGCTGACATACCCTAGACACCTGTGTCATGCAGGAGAGGTTAGACACCTGTGTCATGCAGGAGAGGCTGACATATGCTAGACACCTATGCCATGTAGAAGAGGCTGACATTCCCTTTACACCTATGTCATGCAGGAGAGAATGACATACCCTAGACACCTTTGTCATGCAGGAGAGGCTGACATACCCTATACACCTATGTCATGCAGGAGAGGCTGACATACCCTAGACACCTATGTCATGCAGGAGAGGCTGACATAACCTAGACACCTGTGTCATGTAGGAGAGGCTGACATACCCTAGACACATATGTCATGTAGGAGAGACTGACATACCCTAGACACCTGTGTCATGCAGGAGAGGCTGACATACCCTAGACACCTGTGTCATGCAGGAGAGGTTAGACACCTATGTCATGCAGGAGAGACTGACATACCCTAGACACCTATGTCATGCAGGAGAGGCTGACATACCCTATACACCTATGTCATGCAGGAGAGGCTGACATACCCTAGACACCTATGTCATGCAGGAGAGGCTGACATAACCTAGACACCTGTGTCATGTAGGAGAGGCTGACATACCCTAGACACATATGTCATGTAGGAGAGGCTGACATACCCTAGACACCTGTGTCATGCAGGAGAGGCTGACATACCCTAGACACCTATGCCATGTAGGAGAGGCTGACATACACCAGACACCTATGTCATGCAGGAGAGGCTGACATACCCTAGACACCTATGTCATGCAGGAGAGGCTGACATACCCTAGACACCTATGTCATGCAGGAGAGGCTGACATACCCTATACACCTATGTCATGCAGGAGAGGCTGACATACCCTATACACCTATGTCATGCAGGAGAGGCTGACATACCCTAGACACATATGCCATGTAGGAGAGGCTGACATACACCAGACACCTATGTCATGCAGGAGAGGCTGACATACCCTATACACCTATGTCATGTAGGAGAGGCTGACATACCCTAGACACCTATGCCATGTAGGAGAGGCTGACATACCCTATACACCTATGTCATGCAGGAGAGGCTGACATACCCTAGACACCTATGCCATGTAGGAGAGGCTGACATACCCTAGACACCTATGTCATGCAGGAGAGGCTGACATACCCTAGACACCTATGCCATGTAGGAGAGGCTGACATACCCTATACACCTATGTCATGCAGGAGAGGCTGACATACCCTAGACACCTATGCCATGTAGGAGAGGCTGACATACCCTATACACCTATGTCATGCAGGAGAGGCTGACATACCCCATACACCTATGTCATGCAGGAGAGGCGGACATACCCTATACACCTATGTCATGCAGGAGAGGCTGACATACCCTAGACACATATGCCATGTAGGAGAGGCTGACATACCCTAGACACCTATGCCATGCAGGAGAGGCTGACATACCCTAGACACCCATGTCATGCAGGAGAGGCTGACATACCCTAGACACCTATGTCATGCAGGAGAGGCTGACATACTCTAGACACCTATGCCATGTAGGAGAGGCTGACATACCCTATACACCTATGTCATGCAGGAGAGGCTGACATACCCTAGACACCTATGCCATGTAGGAGAGGCTGACATACCCTATACACCTATGTCATGCAGGAGAGGCTGACATACCCTAGACACCTATGCCATGTAGGAGAGGCTGACATACCCTAGACACCTATGCCATGTAGGAGAGGCTGACATACCCTATACACCTATGTCATGCAGGAGAGGCTGACATACCCCATACACCTATGTCATGCAGGAGAGGCTGACATACCCTATACACCTATGTCATGCAGGAGAGGCTGACATACCCTAGACACATATGCCATGTAGGAGAGGCTGACATACCCTATACACCTATGTCATGCAGGAGAGGCTGACATACCCCATACACCTATGTCATGCAGGAGAGGCTGACATACCCTAGACACATATGCCATGTAGGAGAGGCTGACATACCCTATACACATGTGTCATGTAGGAGAGGCTGACATACCCTATACACCTATGTCATGCAGGAGAGGCTGACATACCCTTGACACCTATGTCATGCAGGAGAGGCTGACATACCCTAGACACCTATGTCATGCAGGAGAGTCTGACATACCCTAGACACCTATGCCATGTAGGAGAGGCTGACATACCCTATACACCTATGTCATGCAGGAGAGGCTGACATACCCTAGACACCTATGTCATGCAGGAGAGGCTGACATACCCTAGACACCTGTGTCATGCAGGAGAGGCTTACATACCCTATACACATGTGTCATGCAGGAGAGTCTGACATACCCTAGACACCTATGCCATGTAGGAGAGGCTGACATACCCTATATACACCTGTGTCATGCAGGAGAGACTGACATACCCTATACACCTATGTCATGCAGGAGAGGCTGACATACCCTATACACCTATGTCATGCAGGAGAGGCTTACATACCCTAGACACCTATGCCATGTAGGAGAGGCTGACATACCCTATATACACCTGTGTCATGCAGGAGAGGCTGACATACACCAGATACCTATGTCATGTAGGAGGGGCTGACATACACCAGACACCTATGTCATGCAGGAGAGGTTAGACACCTGTGTCATGCAGGAGAGGCTGACATACCCTATACACCTATGTCATGTAGGAGAGGCTGACATACCCTATACACCTATGTCATGCAGGAGAGGCTTACATACCCTAGACACCTATGCCATGTAGGAGAGGCTGACATACCCTATATACACCTGTGTCATGTAGGAGAGGCTGACATACACCAGATACCTATGTCATGTAGGAGGGGCTGACATACACCAGACACCTATGTCATGCAGGAGAGGTTAGACACCTGTGTCATGCAGGAGAGGCTGACATACCCTAGACACCTGTGTCATGTAGGAGAGGGGGCTGACATACCCTAGACACCTATGTCATGCAGGAGAGGCTGACATACCCTATACACCTATGTCATGCAGGAGAGACTGACATACCCTATACACCTATGTCATGCAGGAGAGGCTGACATACCCTATACACCTATGCCATGTAGGAGAGGCTGACATACTCTAGACACCTATGTCATGCAGGAGAGGCTGACATACCCTATATACACCTATGTCATGTAGGAGAGGCTGACATACCCTAGACACCTATGTCATGCAGGAGAGGCTGACATACCCTAGACACCTATGTCATGCAGGAGAGACTGACATACCCTATACACCTATGCCATGTAGGAGAGGCTGACATACCCTAGACACCTATGTCATGTAGGAGAGGCTGACATACCCTAGACACCTATGCCATGTAGGAGAGGCTGACATACCCTATACACCTATGTCATGCAGGAGAGACTGACATACCCTATACACCTATGCCATGTAGGAGAGGCTGACATACTCTAGACACCTATGTCATGCAGGAGAGGCTGACATACCCTATATACACCTATGTCATGTAGGAGAGGCTGACATACCCTAGACACCTATGCCATGTAGGAGAGGCTGACATACACCAGACACCTATGTCATGCAGGAGAGGCTGACATACCCTATACACCTATGCCATGTAGGAGAGGCTGGCATACACCAGACACCTATGTCATGCAGGAGAGAATTACATACCCTATACACCTATGTCATGCAGGAGAGGCTGACATACACCAGACACCTATGTCATGCAGGAGAGGCTGACATACCCTATACACCTGTGTCATGTAGGAGAGGCTGGCATACACCAGACACCTATGTCATGCAGGAGAGAATTACATACCCTATACACCTATGTCATGCAGGAGAGGCTGACATACACCAGACACCTATGTCATGCAGGAGAGGCTGACATACACCAGACACATATGTCATGTAGGAGAGGCTGACATACCCTAGACACCTATGTCATGCAGGAGAGGCTGACATACTCTAGACACCTATGTCATGCAGGAGAGGCTGACATACCCTATACACCTATGTCATGCAGGAGAGGCTGACATACCCTATATACACCTGTGTCATGTAGGAGAGGCTGACATACCCTATATACACCTGTGTCATGTAGGAGAGGCTGACATACACCAGACACCTATGTCATGCAGGAGAGGCTGACATACACCAGACACCTATGTCATGTAGGAGAGGCTGACATACCCTAGACACCTATTTCATGCAGGAGAGACTGACATACCCTATACACCTATGTCATGCAGGAGAGGCTGACATACCCTATACACCTATGCCATGTAGGAGAGGCTGACATACCCTATACACCTATGTCATGCAGGAGAGGCTGACATACCCTATACACCTGTGTCATGTAGGAGAGGCTTACATACCCTAGACACCTATGTCATGCAGGAGAGACTGACATACCCTAGACACCTATTTCATGCAGGAGAGACTGACATACCCTAGACACCTATTTCATGCAGGAGAGACTGACATACCCTAGACACCTATTTCATGCAGGAGAGACTGACATACCCTATACACCTATGTCATGCAGGAGGGTTGTGTGTGAAGGTATATCCGTGTTGTCTGGGCGCACGGTTAAACTGTAAGGTGTCTGCAAAGAAAGGTGGGATCATCCCCGCGGCACATCCCTCTGGATCATCCAATACATGTAATTATCAACAGCAACGTTACGAATACAAATACATTGAAGATTGTCGTGCCTTTTCTTTCTGATGATCGCAAGAGGGTATTTTCCTTTTATAATAAGGCCATTCCCGTTCTAACGTACACACTAGAAGGTTTTTTCATATACAATATCTTATATTTGCTGACAGTTATCATTTTACTCCTTCGTCATATACTGTATTGTTTACTGCATACGTGTAGGGAATGGTTGACTACTTGTGGTATCGTCGGCGTGAAAACGTGTCAATGTTTACTAAATCTAATGTTTATCGTCTGCTCACGCGGGAAACCACCAACTCCACCCTGACTCATGTGTCTTGGCCAATCAAAACAAAGCAATTGTAGCTTAACTCCTCCTGTTGACCCCGTTCAACTTTCTTCGACCTTTGAACTAGCGTAAACCAACCAATCAAAGAAGTGAACATGCGTCTCCTCACCGAATCGCGCGGGAAATGGAACATTTGCCACACAGAAACAACAACAGAGTATAAGTTATCATCGAGGCCATAAATGGGTCTTAATCGGAAATAATTTGAAGAAAGTGTTATTGACAGTACTCAGAACACATATTTAGACGATGGAAAACTTTCAGAAAATTGAGAAGATTGGTGAAGGAACATATGGAGTGGTTTACAAAGCGAGGGACAAAATCAACAACCGGCTTGTGGCCTTGAAGAAGATACGCTTGGATGCGTAAGATATTATTGTTTATGGTGTCATTGGGGATCTTTAAACGATTTTATCTTTTCAGTGTATGGGAATTATCATAATGCAAAGATGTAAACGATGATTTGTTTTGTTGTGCCCTACATTTAGAAATGCCGGGATGCGATCGTCACACGTTCGATGACAGACGACATATAATATTGTTAATTTTGTTTGAATGACAGTCCTCATGACATATGCCTTGACAGGGCCACATAGACAGTCCGATTTAATGTTGTTATTTCCCAGTGTAGCCTGTCCATTTGGCAATTAGTTTGCGTTGTCTAGTAACTGTATATCCAATGTTTACTCTTTGTGTAAATGATTTTTCACAGCTAGCCTATAGGAAACAAAAACCTAACAATAGTGTCCTTTACATATCAAAAGCTCAATTTAAGTCGTTTATTCAGAGACATGTCTTCCTATTTTTCAATTTTGCTTGAAACATCTCCAAGTTGTTTAAGTTTTAAACGTAAATGACTCGATAACTCATATGACTGATTATGTTTAGGTCTAACTCTAATTATGTCAATGGCTATATGGCACATAGATGTATCATATTTGAGGATCTTTATATTGTTTTTTAGGGAATCAGAGGGTGTTCCAAGCACGGCAATCAGAGAAATTTCCTTGCTGAAGGAACTGGATCATCCAAATGTAGTGAGGTAGATATATCTGTTGTCATTATTACACATTTACATCTCCTGGGCCCACATGGACCCAAAAATGAATGTTTATACATGGCACTCGGTTACATACAGGCATGTCTTTGATGACTTGATGCAGCTTTGCTTACTTTGTATGTTTTCCAGGTTATTGGATGTTGTCCATAGTGAGATGAAGCTTTACTTGGTGTTCGAGTATTTGAATCAAGATCTGAAGAAGTACATGGATTGCGCCCCACCAGCAGGCTTAGCACCAGCACTTGTCAAGGTATTGATATTAATCTGAGAGGTTGAAATTAAGCATCAAAGTCCAGGGATCCTTGTCATTACCCCAATGTTAAAAGTTAAGGACTTAGGGGGGTTATCATCTTCCTGAGGCAAGGGAGTTAACTGACTTTAAAAGTCCAGTTTCCACCCTTGCCGAACTAGGCTGGAATTCCTGGGCCCGATCGTAGCGCCACCAGTGGCTATTACTAGTTATGTTCCTTCTATGCCTCTCCTATGGACCAATCAGATTCCACCTCTCGTATCACTTGCATTTGATTCAAACAAAACGGTGGCGCCCAGACAAGACGATCTGATCGATAATCAAGATCTATGTTGTGACAAAACGGGTCTTACATCGCGAAGTGCATCAAATCATGTGAGCACCTTGATTAAAAACAAGAAAAGATTTAGAAAATATCTGTTGACAATGAGCTAGCGGTGCACATGCTTTGCAAATCCTGCAGTCGACCGAAATCTGCATGACACTTTACAAACCGGACTTCGATTTCGGTGCGCCATTTTGATTGGACTATGCATAGACTCGTTAGTCCAGCCAAAATGTAACTCCATAATACCAGCCTAGTTCGGCAAGGGTGGAAACTGGACTTTTATAGTTAGTTAACTCACTTCCCTCGGGAAGATGGGGGGTTATATGTACCCGGAAACACACAAATGATCATCAGATTTCTGAGCAATATAGCTCCCTCTTTCCTTTATTCCGAAACATGGCCAATCATTTTCTCCAGTGGTGGGTCATTAATCAGTCTTCGTTCTTGTAATGATGGATATGGTCTTCAGTGTAGCTGTTCTTGGATACAATTTGCAGAGGATGAGGGAGGATAAGGGCTAGGGCTGAACGATACAGGAAGTTCATGATACGATACGCATCTTGATATTCTTGTCACAATACGATACATATCTTGATACGCAATGATAAAAAAAACAAGACTTAAAGCATGTCAAGATTGAACCTTTCATGATTTTGGAACAGTCAAAATTATTTTATAATAACAAGACTACTGAAGTTGTTAAGCTTCAAAGTGGAACTTTCTCTAACTTTCCTTCAAAACAATTCAAAGTTCATACACCCGAAAATAATTAATGTACTTCACCAGTGACACAACTTCAAAGAATTTTGATGCAGTGGTTGAAGAAATTGTATCTGAAATTATTGTTTTATCAGGAATAATATCTTCCAATATTGTGTTACTTTAGTTGCAGCTTTTACTATATATATATTGAAAATTATAAGAACCACAAGTGTAGCCTTTTGGTACTGGTGATTGCTGGTGCAGAATATTTTTACGTATGGAACAATTTGACCAGTCACCGTAGGGACTTCCAGTAGTACTATAGGTAATGGTGATTCTTTAAGATTTTACATTTCCAGTGGGCCAAATAAGGCCCTTCATCAACCTTGTCCTTTGTGTTACAATGTTTTGAAATTTTATTTGTTACCATGGTTACAGAGTTACCTGCATCAGCTGCTGCAAGGAATCGGCTACTGTCACTCACACCGAGTCCTGCACCGAGATTTGAAGCCACAGAATCTGCTCATTGATACAGAGGGAAACATCAAGCTAGCCGACTTTGGTCTCGCCCGTGCCTTTGGTGTTCCAGTTCGAACATACACGCATGAGGTAAATCTGTTGTGTCTGTATGTTTAAAGGATGTTCCATTTGTCTCATGATACTACCTTACAGGATATCCTGGTTCCCCATATCTGTCTTGACTTACCATAACTAGTTGGTCTGAATGACACGTGGCGAATACATTTGTGGAAAATTGTTTTGAAATAGAAATTAGCTACTTAATTTATTTACTCTATTTTAGTTGCCTTTCACCCATAATCATTTAATTTTGAAAATGCATTAAACAACATGATGTAATTATTCAAAATGGAATTTATTTCACCCATCCATTATGTATTTTCCGCATGCATTTCTCGTCAAACAAAATGGTGATTCACAGTGTTTCAAACAAGGCTCTTAGCATCAGTGTCTGAAATAACTGCCTGCCTGCACGTGGCTGGTGACTTTTCTGTCGTGCTGCATGAAAGTATCCTCCTCCTGCCCAGCTATCTGGTAGATATTGAAAACTACTTGCAATTTCAGTTCAGTTATAACTCAAGAGATTGTTTGCATTATTTGAAGATGCGATTTGTCTCTTATATCTTGCGATTTTCAATGTTAATAATGTCTCAGTGAGGGCAGGTAACTTTTAATATGGGCAGTCAACACTTATGGGTGAAGTCTCGTTGGGTTTAAGATTATTTGAAACACTGTTTAGCATCAGTTTCAGTAGATTTAAGTGTTGTTATCTCGACTGCTAGTAGCAGACCTGACTAGACTGAACAGATTTTTACTGGAATACCATGCCTGTGTTTGTGAATCCACCAGGGTTGTTACGTCGTCTGTGTGGACACACTTTGGTTTTGCTGGTTTGAAACTCCTACTTTTACCTACAAGAAAGTTATTTGCAAGATATGCAATGTTTCATTGAAGTATTTCTTGTTTCTGCAGTTATAGGATTAAGATTTGGGGTTTGGGGTAGAAAAGTGTCCAATTCTACCAGTTTTTACTCGTATCGTGATACGTATCATGTTGTCACCATGGTATCGTGGTGTATATATAGGAAAACTGTTACTGGTGTTAGGCAATACCATCGTGAGATATTGTCATAATGAAAAATGTAGTGACTACTAGCTCTAATGCATACTCTGCCCGGTATACTTGCATGCAGTGCTTCAGTTTCCCAGTGGGCCAAATAATACTGTCTGTCCCCTGGTCATATATTTCTGACACATTGTACTTTTTTAGATTGAGTCACTTGAACTAAAAGTGTTCACATGAATCTGAAGTTCTGCATGTTGGCTTTGATTTTAAGCAATATTAGACAATGGAGAATATTTGATGATTGACCTTTCTCCATCAGCTGAGCTACCAAGCCCTGAGTGTATGAGATTATTTTGCTACAGTCTGTTTCAATGATGAAATTTGTTGGGACAGGTTGTCACGCTGTGGTATCGAGCCCCCGAGATCCTCCTTGGTAGCAGGTTCTATTCGACCCCAGTTGATGTATGGAGTCTTGGCTGTATTTTTGCTGAAATGGTAAACTCAATCACTTGGCCATCTTTTACGTTTTTGTTCTTATACATTCCCCAATGATAACATATAGGCAAACAATTTAAATACGACATTACATTAAGATACTTTGCATAAACACAGTTTTGTTTGAGCCATCTGAGCTATGTAGCCTGTGATATCTGGCTAAAAACCATCATAGCTGGTAATGTATAAATATTGATTGAATCCTGAACAGCTCTCACATGCCTAGGACAGGGACGGCCCAGTGGAAACAACTCAATCAGCATAGGTTCTGTCTGCAAGTATGTGCTGTGTACTATTGTAGGTTTACCTCCTTCCCCCTTGCTTCTACAGATCACCCGGAGAGCACTATTCCCAGGAGATTCAGAAATTGATCAACTTTTTCGTGTCTTTCGTACATTAGGTGAGTTTTAGATGTGTTTGCTCAGCTGGTTATTCACCAGTGTTCTCATGATTATGTATTTCCTGGTGTCTGTCATTTGTAAAATCTTAGATGTTACATCTATGTATGTTTGTATAATGGAGTGTGCAAAGGTGTAACATCGAGCTGGACATGTGTGTTGTCTTATTTTATAGCTTAGGTTTTTATCATTTGAACATTGGATTGAGTTTACTTTTAGAATTCCAAAATTTCTTGTGCTTTCTTGATATATTACAGGGTTAGTACAAATTCTTGTGGGCTTGTACAAATTTCTCTAATTGTTTTAACATTATAAGGGCATTTTATTTTACCGGGGCCAGTGAAGCTTTTGAGTTAAGTTCTAACTTGATCTACAGATGACATTAGATTATAATATTATCTACTTTTCATAGGACACTCTATATTATTACCAAATTTGTAAAATATCTCAAGGACATTTTTGAGTCACTGTCCTAGAAGAAACACGATCTGAAATAATCCAGTGATTTCCACTACTCAGGAACCCCTGATGAGACAGTCTGGCCAGGAGTCACCCAACTTCCTGATTTTAAGTCCTCATTTCCCAAATGGGCTCATCGGAACGTTGGGTCTGTTGTTCCAAATTTGTGTGCTGAAGGAACTGATCTGCTGGCAGTAAGTAGAAGTACATGTTGTTAATCATTTCCGTGACATTGACACAGAGGGCACAGGTTATCTGACGCAGCAAGACACACTTGCCAAGTGTTGTGTTCTGAGCTGCCAGGACCTGCTTACTGATCATGGGTTAGAAATGTCTGATTTTCCCCCAAAATGATGACCTGTGAAGATCTGGGTTAGAATAGGTCTTTAGCAACATATGCTTGCAGTAGGAGGCGACTAACGAGAGCGGTTTGTCAGGCTCGACGACTTAGTTGATGCATGTTATCATATCCCAATTGCTTAGATATATGCTCATGATGTCAATCACTGGATTGTCTGGTCCAGACTTGATTATTTACAGAACGCTGTCATATAGCCTGAATATTGCTGAGTGCAGCGTTAAACGACAAACAATAATAATGGGACCTGGTTGTCCACTCTACACTCACATATGCTGGTTAACATCTAAGATCTGCATCACTTCAGTCATCCAAGAGTAAGCAGGCACAGTGCTGTGACTGGAATGTCATTAAGGAGAATCTTGTGTTGAAACAAGAAAAATGTTGATTCTTGTGTTCTTGCTTTTTTGAAATGCTGAAAATCATGTTCACTTACCATACTGGTTTAACGTAGTCGTGGATTATTGTTGCTTTATGAGTGAGTGAGTGAGTGAGTGTGGTTTTACGCCGCTTTTAGCAATATTCCAGATATATCATGGCGGGGGACACAAGAAATAGGCTTCACACATTGTGCCCATGTCGGGAATCGAACCCGGGTCTTCGGCATGACGAACTAACGCTTTAACCACTAGGCTACCCGACCGCCTCCGTGTTATTGCTTTATGAGGCATCTGCAGTTTTGCAATCTCATTAAAATCAGATCTTAGTTCTCGCTACCGCTAAACAAAGATCTGAGGACATCCCATTAGGGGTCACGTCAGACCGACCTTGCGCGAACTTTGATGGACCAATGGAATTACTGACAAGAAGTCGACATTGGCCAATCAGAAGTCACTAATTTCAAATTGACAACTACGCTTCGAAACATATTTTGACAAATTCTCTATTAAAAATTTGAAACCTGAACAAAAGAACTTTCTGGAATGGCTAATAGATGGTCTGGAATGTATGGATTCAGTTGTTAACCCTGTAACTATTGTTCGGAATACCCCGTGTAAAAAGTTTTCGAGGTTGCATGACTAGAAATCACATTCTGACTGTCACTTTCACGATCTGGTAAGTGACGCTCTGATTGGTCGAATGAAAGGTTGTTCTGACGTGACCCCTAATAGGATGTCCTCAGATCTTTGTTTAGCGATAGCGAGAACTAAGATATGATTTGAATAAGATTTGCAGTTTTGCAGCTGTTTCTGAATATGAAGGTTGTGATGGACATAGCCTGGTGGAGATTCTGGGTTGGAATAGGTCCCCAGCAACCTATATTGGTCATAAGAGATGACTTAGGCGGGTCGGTAAACTCAACAATGTGGGACGTTTGATTAGAATTGATTCTCAGCAATCTATGCTTGTCGTAAGAGGGGACGAACGGGATTGGGTGGTCAGGTTAGGTGACTTGATTGATGCGCGTCATTGTATCCCATTTGGGTAGATCAATGCCCAAGATGTCAATCATAGGATTGACTGGTGTAGATACGATTATTTACAGACTGCAGGGATGTAGGTGAAATGTTGCTGAGTGCAGTGTTAAACATTAAAGTTAACAAGTTGTGATGATCTCTAAGATTCACTGGGGTGTTACAAGTTGCATTGTGATGTTTATAACTGTAGAACTGTCTTAATACTGATATGATTTGTGAATGTGATTTGATTCATCTTTCTAATGCTCTGTGATTTTCTATTTCAGCAAATGCTGTGTTATGAACCAAGCAAACGAATTTCAGCAAAGACAGCTCTTCACCATCCATACTTCATGGGAGTTGCGCGACAGAAGCCAGCGTCCATGATTAACTGAAAAAAATCCATTACAGAACAAATGTTTTACTAAAAAGTCTTCATATTGCATGCAAAGCTGTATGTATAGTCAACTGAGATATTGTCAATGAATAATGTTTATATATGGCTAATAATGACTTGATCACAAGTGTCAAGACTTTTGAAAAGTCCTGTATGCTGATAAAGTGCATTCTTGTGTTTATGTATATGTCCATATACCGGTATGCTATGTGGCTTTATTTATTTTACAACTATTGGATATGTATGTAAGTTGGGGAATTATGCTTTTGCAGTTTGTGGTTATGGGGGAAATGGGTGGGTTGTGCTGGCATTTCCTTGCAAGATTCTCTGTCTTTTCATTCTTTTTGGGGGCTGAAATGCTACACCGAATGGACAGTAGTATGTGTATGGTGGTGCTTTCTTTACAAAACACTTTCAAAGTAAACCATATCATCCTTATTTCTTCGAACATGTGACTTTTTGTGAATATTGGCGTCCAGTATGCACAATTTTTCTTTTCTGGCAGTTTATGTTTATGTTTAATTTTTATCAGGTCACATACATACCCCCCCACTGCCCTCCCTAGAGTCCCCATTTGCATTGTTCAGTGTATGACAACATATTCAAGGATGATTTCTCTGTAAGACTCGTAAGATTCCTTACATTGGTCATCTCAATGAAGTCATAGATGTTTGCCATGAGACATGGACTGCAGCATCTTCCCGAGGCAAGGTAGTTAACTGACTAAAAGTCCAGTTTCACCCTTGCTGAACTGGGCTGGAATTTCTGGGCTCGATTGTAGCGCCACCAGTGGCAGTTTAAGAGTTATGTCCCTTCTGTGTCCCTCCTATTGACCAGTCCACCTCTCATATCACCTGCATTCGCTTCAAACAAAATGCCGGGGCCCAGTCAAGATGGTTGGATTGATAATCAAAGTCTACAGGTCTTACATCGCAAAGTGCTTCAAATCATATGAGCACCTTGATTAAAAACATGAAAAGATTTAAAAAACATCTGTTGACACCGAGTTGGCAGGGGTAGAAACTAACATTTTTAGTCCACTAGTCCTTATAATGATAACATATAGCAAAACCCTTATTAATGGCAACTTGCTACTAGTCCTTATGATACCTTAACTATTGGGCAGTTTGGCAAGGACTACAGGACTAGTGCCAGTTTCTATCGCTGGTTGGCGATACACATGCTTTACAAATCCTGCAATTGACCGAAATCTGCACAGCAGTTTACGAACCGAATGTTAATTTTGTTACGAGATTTTTATTGGACTATGCATAGATTCATTAGTCCAGCCTAACTATAACTCCATAATTCCAGCCTAGTTTGGCAAGGGTATGAAACTGGACTTTTATAGTCTGTCAGGTAACTCCTTTGCCTCGGGAAGATGGGACTGCTGTGATTTGTTCTCTTTCAGAATCTGGTGTATTCATTAATATTTTATTACAGAAAAACTGTGAGTAGATGTCAAAGAAATTTTTCAGTCATCTTTTAGTGCTATTCATTTTGCAAAGAGAACTCTGGTGTATGTTATAATTTGATAATTGATGTCAAACTTCAGTTTGTTGCTACTCTGTATCAGCCGATGAGTCATGTTAGTTGAGCTTGTTGAATCTTGGTCTCACAGGAGAGGAATTGCATATTTTTTAGATACGACTGTACACTATTTATGGAGGCTGAGAAACAACAAGCTCTGCTGTGGATGGAGAGTTGTAGCATGTTCATGTTGTACAACAAGCTCTGCTGTGTGGATGGAGAGTTGTAGCATGTTCATGTTGTGCAACAAGCTCTGCTGTGGATGGAGAGTTGTAGCATGTTCATGTTGTGCAACAAGCTCTGCTGTGTGGATGGAGAGTTGTGGCATGTTCATGTTGTGCAACAAGCTCTGCTGTGTGGATGGAGAGTTGTAGCAAGTACATGTTGTGCAACAAGCTCTGCTGTTTGGATGGAGAGTTGTAGCATGTTCATGTTGTGCAACAAGCTCTGCTGTGTGGATGGAGAGTTGTGGCATGTTCATGTTGTGCAACAAGCTCTGCTGTGTGGATGGAGAGTTGTGGCATGTTCATGTTGTGCAACAAGCTCTGCTGTGTGGATGGAGAGTTGTGGCATGTTCATGTTGTGCAATACATTATGTTGTAGGAGGTGCTGACTTGAGATTTACGCTAGTGTTGCATTGTAATACACAAGGTATTCGACTCACCTATTAGTTACCACTGCACTACAGATTGATGTATGACACTAGGGCAGAGAGCAATCTCAATGGGAGTTGTGTCAGTCGTAACTGTACCATGGAAAGTCAGTCAGCACCTCAAAGTAAGCTGCCATGTTGTGTGTTTTTTACTAATGTGGGTCAAGTTGTTTTAGGATTCTTTCTCCATTTGTCAGCCGGACATGTGAAACCGTTTTCTGTAGCTGTACTGATTGAACATCTGAATGATTGTTTCTGATAATTTGATTTTGTGAAAAGGAAATCCAGAGGTGTTCTGTTTGATGGGGGGCAGGCCAGCCACAATGCAGTTATTCTGTATGCAATTGGAAGAAGGGATTCACATGTTATGGATTTGAAACTATGTATTGCAATGTATTTTTAGCATACCAGTATTTAGTGGATTGTGTTTTCGTTTGCTCTTTTTTGTTGGTTGCAAAATAGGCTTCTGTGTTTTAATACTCCTACTATTTTCATTATGGTAACATCAGTGTGTGTTATCTCTTTCGACTGGTTTCATTCAAATCAATTTCTCTAACTTTATTTCAGTATCCATATGGCAGTTAGGGAGAGATGATATTTCTAACTGAACCTAAGCATACAGTTATTATTGTCTGGCCATGCAGACAGTATAAATAATATACTTCAGTAATTTGATATCCTATTGAGCGTAATCATAAGTGCTAATTATAATGCTAATCATTGTAATTAATAAGAACAACTAATTATTAGTTATTGGTGCAAATGGCAGGTGTAGCTGTTTTGCAGGTACTGTTTTATGTATATATACATTTTATGCCTAGTCCTATGGAAGAGTTTCTTCCCTGCATGGTTGTATTTTAGGTTCTGATTTACTTGTTTTAACATGTTTTTGTCAGGCTCATCATGTAGAAATTATTGTAAATGGTGAGAATAAAAAGATTGCTTCTTGATAGATTTAATGATGCATCTCTGGGTTTTCTTACACACAGTTGTAGCGAAGCAACTATAGTAAGTTTGTGTTAAAGTATTGAAGTGCGGATAGTCACAGGATAGTGGTAGTGCTACTATTGCTTTGTGAAAGTGGACCCATTTAGTGTGTCTTCAAATGAGAAGAAGATTATGGATTCATTTGATTGTTTGTAACCACTATGTGTTTGTGATTGATGATTTAAAGCTGGTTTTAAAAAAAATAAGATTTATTTGTAGATATTCCTTTTTTTTTCCCTAATGGAAATTTCCCAGTAACGATACTTGCAATAAGAGCATCCCACAATGCTGTAAGAGTGTTGCCTTGGTTAACAGCCATACATGCATGTCTGATCCAGCCTGGTGTACAACATTTGAAGGGAGTTCTCTATTTGAACCTGTTATTTGATGACATTTTAATTGTTCTTTCAAGTACACTGTTGCCAGCTAGGCTGAGGAGTGATCAGTATGTAAATTATTGATTTTATTCATGTTACATTTAATCCTTACCTGTAGATTCAGGAAATTTAATTATTTTAATAAATATTGTGCAAACTAAAAGTTTTTGTTGTGTTTATTTGTGTTGTATAGCCTAGCCAGGGTGATCCATGTCAAAGAGAGGTGTAAGGTGTACTTTAGCCCACCGTATTATCACTAGTGAGTGAGTTGGGTTTAACTTTTAACAGTATTCCAGTGAGTTATACCATGGCTTGTCAGCTTGAAATGGGTTTAAGCCTGAAGTGATGCGTCTGAGACGTTTACCGCTTTGGTGGTGAAATTCAGGAGTTCGAAATTCGAACCCACAATAACAGGTTTCCGGCGTGCTCAAGGCAGGCAACACTGCATAGCGAATTGCAGTGCTTTAGACTACTGGGCCATCTGTGCCCCCATTATCATTAGTAAATTAGGCGTATCTAAGTGTACATGTTGGTTGTTTGATGCCTTACTCGGCAATATTCCACCTATCAGTATATGAGGGCAGTCTCTGTATAATTGAGTATATTACCCATATTGGTAGAATGATCATGAGTAATAACTTTCTCTCTTAAAATGATTAGGAGTAATATATAGAATAACGTACCTGAAACTCGGAAGTACCAATTACATGTCCCTCATGAGTGTATGCTGTAAGTCCCTTGCCAAAGGCTCTGAATGACAGTTCATTCATTCCCTTTGGACACAGATTCACGGTAATTCCTTGTAGCTCGTTGGTTATGACCAGACGATCCAGTGACTGCTATTATGTGTTTGTTGTTTAACGCCGCACTCAGCAATATTCCAGCTATATGCCGGCGGTCTGTAGACAATGAAGTCTGGATCAGACAATCCAGTGATTGACATCATGAGCATCGATCCACGCAAGTGGGACACGATGACATGCATCAAACCAAGTCAGTGAGCCTGACCACCCGATCCGGTTAGTCGCCTCTTACAACAAGCAGAATCGCCTCTTATGGCACGCATGGGCAGCTGAACATCTATTCTCTACCCGGAGCTTCACGGGTTTGCTATTATGAGAAACGATCCACGCCACCAGGATACATTGTGACGCCATCAACTAGTCTCGAGCCTCACCACCTGATCATGATATATGTGTCATAACCAACACAAAACTAGGAACTCTTGTCACTGGAAGGAAACATGTGAGTGCGACATGACTTTCAACTTGTACGACAGAGGCAAAGAGTACGATATGTCCCGACTTTCAACAGCTTGGGTCAATAATATTTATAGGTCTATCTATCTTTATGCTGCGTAACTGAAACACTGTTTTGCGAAAGCGCATTTATTCCTAAATTCAAAGGTGTACATGGGTATGTATTTATAATTACAAAGACATACGTATATTATAAGACTACTGTTTATTGCAAGTTTGATAACCACGTAACCAGGTATGAATTCATGGAAACTGCTCTAAAGATAGTGTTATGCATGGGAATTGTTGCAATCTCGTTCATCGGCAGCCTCTGTCATTCTCAGCGTGTCCGTCATGGACTGGGACGTCTTGTCGGCCTTACGGCGTTGTTTCTTGTTGGCCCTCCGCTGCCGCTTCATTTTCTGCTCATCTTCAAACTGAGAAAGACAACACGTCACAAGCTACACAGTGTTTGATCCATTAATGTACTCAAAAAAATGACCCTCCCCTAATGGTTATATTCTCGGATAACCCTCCCTATATCCTTGCACATTTTTTAACGACCCTCTCTGAAAAGACAAAATGCAAAAGCACTCTATATAGTATTGTATAATGTACATTTATTCATGACCCTCCCCAAATATGTGTATTATTGTTTATGATCCTGCTCTAGTGACGGTCATATTTTTGGTTACCCTCCCCTGATTCCCTTTGACCCATCCGCCCCTATATTAAATGCCCGGTCCCTAACTCGAAGTCGTCTTAAGACAAGCGGGGTTTCCATATTTGGCCTCAAATACTGATCTCAATCTTATTAAAATCAGATCTTAGTTCTCGCTATCGCTAAACAAAGATCTGAGGACTTCCCATTACGGGTCACGTCAGACCGACCCTTCATCCAACCAATCAGCGTCGCTTACCAGATCATTAAAGTGACGGACGGAATGTGTTTTCTAATCTTGCAACCTCGAAATATTCAACAGAGGGTATTCCGAACGACAGTTACGGGTTTTATGATTATATCCATACAATCTAGGCCATCTGTAGACCATTCCAAAATGTTCTTTTTTCAGTTTTAATTTTTTTAACCGACAATACGTCAAAATATGTTTCGAAGCGTAGTCGCCAGTTTGAAATTACTGTAGTGTCGTCATGCTCGAGAAAGCTGCCTTCTGATTGGCTAATGTCGATTTCTTGTCAGTCATTTCATTGATCAGTCAAAGTTCGCGAGAGGTCGTTCTGACGTGACCCGTAATGGGATGTCCTCAGATCTTTGTTTAGCGGTAATATCTGATTTTAATGAGATTGATACTGATCTGTGACTGTACTTTAAAGGTACAATGTCTTACGTTATATATTATATAATATCGTGTTATCGAGGTCTGCTTGTATATTTATAACAAGACAAGTCAAGAACATACCCTTTTCTCCAGCAGGTCGTATTTTAACCGCAACTCGAAGATCTCTTCTTCCTTGAGCTCGATGATATTCTCCAGTTGCTTGGATTTCTCTGGAAGCAAAAACTCAGCTGGTTAATACAGAAGATACACCGTATGAACACTTCCACCAATAACACTTTGACGGACACTGTCTCGTTAAAACATAATGAGACCCACTGTCTTCATTTCTGTTCTAAGAATGTCCAAACCATTCTCACATTATCAATCCTGAAGGTCTGGTAGATCTGTATTTCTGCATGAAAACATTTAAATTAAAGTATTTCACGAACGATCCGTCAATTCGTACCGTGCCAGAAGTAGCAATCCTTCAGAGCGTTGACCTTTAGCTTGTCGTAGCGTCGGAACTCGTAGTCGAAATATTGGTGCATGTTGCGTGCCCGGGACTCCACTTCCGCCATCACTGTCGACCTGGTCACATGATCAGAAAAAAAGAAGTTCCAAATCGCCATGCAGTGATAACTTGTGGGCTTTGTCAAGAATTTACTTTACCGGTGCATGCTACATTTATGCGTTGCAGGTCTACTCGTGTATTTTTTTAACCCTCAGGAAAAGAATTTATAAAGAGTTCTTCATGGGGATCTGAGCTGGTTTTATCCCCTGCACATTATGTTGGATGCTAAGGGACGTGTCTCCCCTTCTCGGATATCCTTCTTATCGGAACATGAGGCTAGCGATGTGCTTTGGATATGGATTTATCAAAGAAAACCTAAACCTAAAGCAATTCCATTTCAATGGGATTTTCATTCGGGGTTACATTTGCCCTTCCGAGAATACTTCCATCTTAGAATTGCATCTTAATAAAAAATGTGATGAAAATTATAATTGTCACTTTTTAGGTGAGGTGAAATGGGGTTTAACGCCGCGTCCAAGATCATTGCACTTACATCGCGACGTGCATATAGATGCCATGCCGCAGCTTAACATGAATACCCCACTCAGACACAGTATACTCCGACTCGGGGCCGACCAGTCTTTGCTGTAGCCCCTTAATGCTGAGCGTCACACAGGGTTACAGCAAGTACCATCTTTTAACGTCTTTTGGTATGAGGCGGACGGGTATCGAACCCCAGAAGGCCCGCTCTGCCACTACACCACGGAGGCGGTCCTGTCACTTTTTAGCTCAAAGGGGCATGGGTATTGACGATTGTCGTCTCAAAAAGGATTGGTATTATTCTACTTGGTAAAAGTTCGCAGCTGTACATGATCATCTGTACCTGTACATATCCTGTGACATACAGATTAAGACTTGTCCATTAGAAGCACATCCTTTGACTGTTCCGGCTGGAAGTTGAAGTCCATGAGGGCCGATTTCCTCTCCGGAAGGCTTACTCTCCTTCTTCCCATCCGACCTTCTCCTATTCTTCTTCTTCTTCCTCCCCTGCTTGTCCGATGCCGATTTCGTCAGCGGTTTGTCTTTGTATTTTGGTTCTTCTCTGATGCCATCATATGGATCACCTGAGTTAGGAGAAAACAGATCTTAAACAATTAATGCGGTTATGTTAATCTCTGGTCTCGGTCACAGAATGTATTTGTTCAATAGTCTGATCTGAAGGAGAAAAAAACCGCCTTCGCATATAATCTCTTTTCATGGCAAGAAGGCAGTATACCTTTCCCCTTCAGGCCGCCATGTTGGTAAGGGATGTGCCCGAGTTTATTCCATAGTAACTGTTTCTAAGTTTTTCAGAAGCCATTTTTGTCGCCACGCTAAAATAACGGGGTTTGGGGTCTTGTCACTGATGAGGTTGTCGAACGCCACTTTGGAACTTCTATTTCCGAGTACTTTTTCGATGTTAATGACGTTTATGCATCGCTGTGGTATTCACATTCATGATTTATCATATTAAACCATATAAATGCAAGCGGGGTATTCTTTGCTGCCTATTTTGAGCTTTATCGACCTATTTTTATCCCCCGCCCAACAAAGTTGGCGGGGGATATAGAAACGGGCTCCGTCCGTCCGTCCGTCACGTTTCGTTTCCCGAGCATAACTCATACACCGTTCAATATGTTTTCATCAAACTTTGCAGGTCTGTCAGGTACATGCTGAACTGGTGCCTTTTGCTATTTAGAAATTTTAGAAATTTTTATTTTTTACGTTTCCATGGCAACAAGATGGACTTAGGTTCTGTGAGGGTAGGGTTCGTTTCCGGAGCATAACTCATAAACCGTTCAATATTTTTTCATCAAACTTTGCAGGTCTGTCAGGTACATGCTGAACTGGTGCCTTTTGCTATTTAGAAATTTTTATTTTTTACGTTTCCATGGCAACAAGATGGACTTAGGTTCTGTGAGGGTAGGGTTCGTTTCCGGAGCATAACTCATAAACCGTTCAATATTTTTTCATCAAACTTTGCAGGTCTGTCAGGTACATGCTGAACTGGTGCCTTTTGCTATTTAGAAATTTTAGAATTTTTTATTTTTTACGTTTCCATGGCAGCAAGATGGAATTAGGTCCCAAACTCTTCTTTTTTTACAATTTCCATATCAAGTTCCACCTAGGTTAAAAAAGGTTAGGGTTTGTTTAGATTGAATTATGTCATAAATTCTGCAACAGGGGCGGGGGATATAGCCACGTTAGTGGCAAACTCTTGTTCAAATAGTGATGCTGTCGCATGCGGCTTTATTAGCAGCATCAAATAAACATGGTGGATAGGTGTCCTGTATAATGCATGTGCACCCTTTTCATAAGAGGTGCCAGTATCCAAAAATAGTAGAGACTAACGTTTACTCACTGATTCCAAAAGTGTCACCCTCCTCGTTCATGGTTGCGGAAAGGATAATCCGATTGACATACATATCGAGGGCATGTTCGTCAACTGGGGGTTTCACTTCGTCTTCATCTAGTGATCCGTCATCATCCTCGCTGTGGTAGGTGACAGTGGTAAAATTCCACGACGGAGCCGCGAGGGGAAGTTTCCTTCGAGAGAATAGGGTTGCGTTGCCAGTCGAAAACACGAATGCGTCCGGTTTATCTGGAGCTGGGTTTTCGTGCGTGTATTCCGTAGACGAGTACCAGTCATACCTGCGCGGAGAGTTGTTTCTGGGTCTCAAAGCGGTGTTTATAATAAAAGCCGCCATTTGTCAATCAAAATATATCTTTGGTAAGCATCTCTATGGACATTGGAAAAAAATCTTTCGGTTGAAACAATAACGTGACTTGCTTTGACACGTGACGTCATGTTGCCTCGAAACGGCCATTATGACGTCATGCCATTGTGGCGTCATGTTTCGAGTTTTTACGTCATTTGTCATTCGTCATCAGTCGCCCCTTTCCGTAAGCTGCAAGAAGAATCGCTATTCGGCATGTACCGCATTCGTGACCAACTCACGTGACCGGAGTAGAATTGGTCTTCAGCAACCCATACTTGCCGTAAAAGGCGACTATGCTTGTAGTAAAAGGCGACTAACGGGATCGGGTGGTCAGGCTCGCTGACTTGGTTGATACATGTCATCGATCCCAATTGCGTGGAATCGATGCTCATGTTGTCAATCACCGGATTGTCTGGTCCAGGCTCGATTATTTTACAGACCGCCGTCACATAGCTGGAATATTGCTGAGTGCGTTGTTAAACAACAAACAAACAAACAAACAAACAAAACGTGACCAACTCGTGTTATTGCGGTTACGGAAAGGGGCGAGTGGTGACGAATGCTTGTCCCGAAATAACACAATTTGCTCACGATTGGACTTGTTCACGTATGCAGGTCACGAAGAGGGACGAGTGGTTACGAATGGAATGGTATGTTCAGTCCTGTCCGCTAACCTCGAACCTTTCCGTAACCGCAACGAAATAGACGATCGTTTTCATATGAGCATTTACGCTGTTGAATTACAATCCGCGACGTCACAAGCATATATAGTAGAAGGTTTTTTTACCCGAGTAAATTTAAATACATAAATTGCAAGTGATTTCATGACATTTGATTTGGCTAACCACTAGTAACGAGGCAAACTAGTTTGGCGTTTCTTTCAATTTTGCTTGGGGTGCATTATAAGAATCAGTTAGGGAAAAAACATAGCGTGTCTTCAATGTAGAGCTAGATTACCTGCAGATTTAACCGCACTGAACTGAATTTGGAACCGAACGCGGCATCGTAAACCCTTCCCCTAAGTGTGCACATTGTCTTTTTCGTTGATTCCTCCATAATCACATTTTTCTAATATTGAACTTTAATTCTTAAATATATTTGGTCTCCTGGCCATGCATTTCTTGAAAAGGCGACCTGTCCTTTGATGCGTTGTTTGTACTCACTGACATAGACATACTGTATCAAAGTAAAATAAATAGATTGTGACTTTTGATTCACGGTGGAATTTGAATTATTTATCCGTTGTATGCGATTTGTGGTATCAACATACATATCACACCAACTCGATGTTTTCGCGCGTTTCTGGGTTTTTAAAATTCAACGAAGTCTCGTAAAATGCCCGTTCTCTATCATCTGATGTCAGACCCAAAATATCCATCCTTCCATGACCTGCTTCCATTCATTTTATGTAAGACGCCATGATCATCTATACTGATCGGTGACAATAGCAAGCTCTTGTATACAATTTGCCAGTTTCAAAGATCCAGTGCCGCAGAAGTAAGGTGTGGCGATAAAATACCCTGGGATTGCTACTGTTTATATACTTGTCAGGCTTGTCAAACTGAAATATAACTTAAATTTCACATCTGTATTTTTATTATTTCAATTTTTTTTTATCCTTTTCACATTTATTAAGAAATATACATATCAGAGAAACAACTATGATGCAAAGGAATTGTTGTCGGGCAACGTGACCCTACGATCACGTGACAGTTGGGGTCACATGACGTTGACTACAAGCACTGCTGGGAGTATACATCTTCCCGAGGCAAGAGAGTTAATTGACTTTAAAAGTCCAGTTTCCACCCTTGCCGAACTAGGCTGGAATTCCTGGGTTCTATCGTAGCGCCACCGGTGTCTATTACGAGTCATGTCCCTCCTAAGCATCTCCTTTAGACCAATCAGATTCCACCTCTCGTATCACTTGCATTTGCTTCAAACAAAACAGTGGCGCCCAGTCCAGACGATCTGAGTGGATCGATGCTCATGATATTAATTACTGGATTGTCTGGTCCAGACTCGATTATTTACAGATCGCCGTCATATAGCTGGAATATTGCTAAGTGCGGCGTTAAACAACAAACCAACCAACCAGACGATCTGATCGATAATCAAGGTCTATGCTGTGATAAAACGGGTCTTACATCGCGCAATGCGTGAGCACCTTGATAAAAAACATGAAAAGATTTAGAAAATATCTGTTGACAACGAGTTAACAGTGCACATGTTTTGCAAATCCTGCAATCGACGGAAATCCGCATGATAGTTTACGAACCTGATTTCGATTTGGTTGCACGCTTTTGATTGGACTATGTATAGACTCGTTAGTGCAGCCAAAATGTAACTCCATAATACCAGCCTAGTTCGGCAAGGGTGGAAACTGAACTTTTATAGTCAGTTAACTCCCTTGCCTTAGGGAGATGGGAGTATAAGGATGTGTTTGTTTGTTTGTATGTTGTTTAACGCCGCACTCAGCAATATATGACGTCGGTCTGTAAATAATTGAGTCTGGACCAGACAATACAGTGATTGATATCATGAGCATCGATCCACGCAATTGGGATTGATGACATGCATCAACCAAGTCAGCGAGCCTGACCACCCGATCCCGTTAGTCGCCTCTTACGACAAGCATAGTCGCCCGTTACAGCAATCGTGGGTTACTGAAGACCTATTCTACCCCGGATCTTCACGGGTCCTATAAGGATGTGATATATATTGATACCACACACTGCGTTTGAGTGGATATGATATCACTGTGTGGATATTGATGTCATACATAGACTCCATATGGGGAATCAAGCCACGGCGTTCGGAAACACATAACCAGCCGTGGCGTGCAGTCTGTAAAACAACATCGACAGTACCCGGATGACAAGAGCAGTCAGTCGAGTCCGGGGTGTTAAACAGTCTGTGTGTGTCGGGTGTTTGACGAAATTGATTAACATATATGGCTAATACTTTCTGACGCTAGTTTCAGCGTTTCATTTGTACAAAACAATAAAAAAACTAAACAAGTCTCTTAGTAGAAAGATATTAAATAATAAACATATCTTTAATTTTCTACACCCCAATAATTTGTTTATTTATTTTAATGATTATGTAAAATGTTGGCCATTACATGATTGCTTATGTGGCAAGCATTTATTAATTCATTTTTTAATTATTCTAAAATTGTCTAAGCGTGTTGGGCGGTCTGGTAACCTTGTTGTTAAGTGTTCGCCCCTCACACCAAAGGCCCGTGTTTGATTCCTACGTGGGTACAATTTTTGAAACTCATTTCTTGTGTGATATTGCTAAAGGCGGCGTAAATCTCTACTCACTCACTCACTCACTCACTCACTCACTCACTCACTCACTCACTCACTCACTCACTCACTCACTCACTCACTCACTCACTCACTCAAGCGGTGTGAACCCTTGTTAACGGCCATGTTGTGCTCATGGTCCGACTCTGATCTACACCCCTGTTAATTTTGTTCCGGTGCTTGCAACCAATGTGTGTGAACGATCCTACAAATGCCTCTATTCCAATAAGAGGTGAGGTGAAATGGGTTTTAACGTCGCGTCCATGATTATTGCACTTATATAGCGACGTGCATGCACGTACGCGCACGCGCGCGTGTGTTTGTGTGTGGCTGCTTTTACTAGTTCGGACTGATGCCGATTTATCGTGCTAGCCAATTGAGGTACCATGCCGCAGTTTAACATGAATACCCCTCTCAGACACAGTTTACTGACTCCGAGCAATCCAGTCCTTGTTTTAGCCTAATGTCCAGCGCCATTTTGGTATGACGCGGCCGGAGATCGAACCCCGGACCTTACGCTCTCCGGGCGGACGCTCTACCACTAGACCAAGGAGGCATTCCATTCCAATAAGAACCAATGTGTGTGAACGATCCTAACAATGCCTCTATTCCAATAGGAACCTTCATGCTATAACCATACAACTGATAAAATGAAGAAGTTGAATATATCTATGGCTGTGATAGCCTCATGAGGTAATTGTAGTTAGTTAAAATTTGAGACTATGCTTGTCGTAAGAGGCGACTAACGGGATCGGGTGGTCAGGTTCACTGACTTGGTTGATGCATGTCAGCAATCCCAATTGCGTGGATCGATGCTCATGACGTCAATCACCGTATTGTCTGTTCCAGACTTGATTATTTACAGACCGCCGTCATATAGCTGGAATAGTGCTGAGTGCGGCGTAAAACAACAAACATTTAACGTCGACCCGGCATTATTTCAACCATACAGCGACGAGAACAAGTTAGGTAAATATAGAAACACAGTTCATAATCCGCGTAAATCTACGCAAGTTTCACGGAGTTTATGTCATGGCGCTTTGTCTGTCGTCCGTCCGTCGGTCACATGTATATTTTGTAATCTGAAACCGCCAATCCTTTGTGGCGTAACATGTGTGTTTCATATCTTTGGAAATACCGTGCTTTCTCCTCCACTGACACCATCATAAACCTACCTGTGTCCCATATCCGACAGATCCTCTCAAGGCCTGGGTTTATAAGTAGAACCTGTGCGTTAACGATCCCACGATTCCCAGCAACCACATCCCTGGGAAGTGCTCAGCTAATTCTAAATGCGATATGCATGGAGTAGACTAAGTATGTTGTGAGCACAGTAACGGGTGTAAGATTTACCAAGTGGTTCATGACCTTTGACCTTCACGTACCTCTCTACCTATTCATCTAGTAATACATATATGCCCTATGAAACCACTGGAGTTGTGAAGATATATATATGTTCATACCCAATGGTCGTCGCCACTCGAAATAGAATCACGAAATATCACGATTACTTATTAACGAAGACAGACGCATGTGTGAAAACAAGTGAAAACAAACCATTCCGCCGATTAGGAATTTTACCTACAGTTATTCATGGGCGGATACAGAGGGGGGGGGGGGGGGGGGGGGGATGCGGGGGTACAATCCGGGTCAGGACCGACAGTCATGTGACTGCGAGTGGCTGTATCTTCATTGTAACATATCATGTATGGAGTAAATAAAACAACGGGAATGACATGCAACCTGGAAAATATATATTTTCTGCTGATATCTATACTATTGATACGACCCAGCCCAAGCGAAAGGCTTAACTTGCGAAAACTCTTGCATCTGTCAAGGACAGGGTGAGGTGAGGTGAAATGGGGTTTAACGTCGCGTCCAAGATCATTGCACTTATATAGCGACGTGCATGCATGTGTGTGTGTTTGTGTGGCTGCTTGTACTAGTCCGGACTGATGCTGATTTATAGTGCTAGCTCACTGAGATACCATGCCGCAGTTTAACATGAATACCCCACTCATACACAGTATACTGACTCCGAGCCGACCAGTCCTTGTTTTAGCTCCTCAATGCCGAGCGCCAGACAGGGCAACAACGAGTACCATCTTTTAAAGTCTTTTGGTATGACGCGGTCGGGGATCGAACCCCGGACCTTCCGCTCTCCGGGCGGTCGCTCTACCACTGGACCACGGAGGCGGTCCAATTGGACAGGGGAGAACGTCACAGCAAGGCGACTCGCCACCAGACACGATGTTGTTACAGACGATCAAAAGTCGTTTTCGTGCGAAAGAACTCTTTGTGCAACCGGGCCGTGGCTGTTCAACAAATTAAAGATATATTGGCAGGAAGGAGTATTCCAGCCATGTGACGACGAGCCTGACCACCCAATCCCGTTAGTCGTCCCTTGCGACGAGCACAAGTCACTCAAGACCAATTCTAATCCGTATCTTCACGGGTCACTAACAAAGTGGTCTTAGCAGTAATTAAGACTGTCGTTAGTGTATGCTATTATCATGGAATTACAACAGCCGTGCTAATATAATCGCTTTGTAGTTCTCAAGCAAAGTGGTCTTAGTAGAATTAAGTCTGTCGTAAGCTTATGCTATTATCATTGAATTACTACGGTAAGTTAATCCGCCAACGATCTAGCAACAGAGACCGCTCTGTGAATACGGGCCTCAAAGTGAAAGGGTCACGGTGGGTGCCGAACTGTATACAACTATTCACGGCTCCTGAATGATAGAACATATTGTTATCAAATGCCTCTCTCTATCATAACACACACACATACTCCAACCCGACAAGCGGACTTATAGAAGTCACAACCCGGCTTTAGTCGTGACTGCCACACATATTGTACGGAGAGCTTTTCTGTCAACACGCGCTTTGTCACCCCTTAGCAACGCCTGACGCCGGGACGCCATTTTGGATCAATGCAGTTCAAGTCAAGACGGGGTGAACGAAAGATTGATTCAACATGATGTTGAAATATGTCATAATACGGCAGTAGGGCTGCAGCTAGAACGGCGACGCAACAACAGCATTTAGGATGTGTCGGTGGGGATGTACGACTACGAGCACGGTGAGTTGGGGTAAAGAGGAGGATATATCCCCGTGTTATAATCGTGTTATCGCACTATCACTAGTCACCCGTCACTGACGGGTCACACTCCACCACTGATTGCCCGGGAGATGAGACACAGCACGCGAGACAACGACGAATGCCTGTGTGTTTTGTCCAAGACTTGTATTACATGCACGGTTTACAGTAGCAATATCTCTGCTGTAGTTATCTTTCTCGTCTCAATCAGCCGCTGATTGTCGTATACGATATTGTATATTTTGACACAAAGACAGCATGACGTGCCTACGTGTATGACTGCTGTGGGGAGACATTTAAAGGGTGTAACCCCAACTTCTAAATAAAACTGTGCAGCTGACATCGATACCACGGTATACTATTGGTAGTTTCTTCAGACGTAACGAAATGAGAAAGTTTTAAATTTAAATTATTATTTTAAGCCGTGTTTATTCAAATTACCCGACTCCCTTATCACAGACAGACAGACAGACAGACAGACAGACAGTTAATACAGTATTTTAGGCATCAAGGCCGATAGTACAATGCAGATTGGATATTAACATTGTCACGTGATGTACATGATCAGATTTTAAATCAAGTTACACATTCCTCATTTTAAAGACATGTTTTAAGAATACAGAAGCAGCATGGATCATATCAGGATTTTCAGAGTTTAGCAGATTTATCATTAACTGACGGTCTTTAGACATATTTCTTTCGTATATGTGGCCATGAGATCGTAGGAAAGTTCGTCGTGGAGCACCACTTGTAAGCTGTAACTGGATAGATGTACACATTTTTATTTATATTCAATGTATCATTTTTCTTTCAAAATATCTTATAAACAGAAACTGCAAGTCTCAGAAGAATGTGGCTATTTTTGGTGTTCATAACTGTACACGTTTTCTTTGTGTTGGATACGTCTAATTATAGTTAGGCAGGAATTTATATCTTCATATCCTGGACATATTAATAAAACATGGTATTCATAGTCTTGGTAATATTTGCAGTTAAGACACATCGGTGTTAAAACATCATTATCTTTGGAATGTCTGTATAACTGTATATATAGACTCCCTTATAACTTGCCCATGGAAGGCAGGACTTGTTGGAAGGTAAACTACGTGTGTGAAGACTGATTGTCTGGTAAGGTAAACTACGTGTGTGAAGACTGATTGTCTGGTAAGGTAAACTACGTGTGTGAAGACTGATTGTCTGGTAAGGTAAACTACGTGTGTGAAGACTGATTGTCTGGTAAGGTAAACTACGCGTGTGAAGACTGATTGTCTGGTAAGGTAAACTACGTGTGCGAAGACTGATTGTCTGGTAAGGTAAACTACGCGTGTGAAGACTGATTGTCTGGTAAGGTAAACTACGTGTGTGAAGACTGATTGTCTGGTAAGGTAAACTACCTGCGTGAAAACTGATTGTCTGGTAAGGTAAACTACGTGCGTGAAGACTGATTGTCTGGTAAGGTAAACTACGTGTGTGAAGACTGATTGTCTGGTAAGGTAAACTACGTGTGTGAAGACTGATTGTCTGGTAAGGTAAACTACGCGTGTGAAGACTGATTGTCTGGTAAGGTAAACTACGTGTGTGAAGACTGATTGTCTGGTAAGGTAAACTACGTGTGTGAAGACTGATTGTCTGGTAAGGTAAACTACCTGCGTGAAAACTGATTGTCTGGTAAGGTAAACTACGTGCGTGAAGACTGATTGTCTGGTAAGGTAAACTACGTGTGTGAAGACTGATTGTCTGGTAAGGTAAACTACGTGTGTGAAGACTGATTGTCTGGTAAGGTAAACTACGCGTGTGAAGACTGATTGTCTGGTAAGGTAAACTACGTGTGTGAAGACTGATTGTCTGGTAAGGTAAACTACGTGTGTGAAGACTGATTGTCTGGTAAGGTAAACTACGTGTGTGAAGACTGATTGTCTGGTAAGGTAAACTACGTGTGTGAAGACTGATTGTCTGGTAAGGTAAACTACGTGCGTGAAGACTGATTGTCTGGTAAGGTAAACTACATGTGTGAAGACTGATTGTCTGGAAAGGTACACTACGTGTGTGAAGACTGATTGTCTGGTAAGGTAAACTGCGTGTTTGAAGACTGATTGTTTATAACTGTGTAACAGATAAATAGTCTGTTTAAACTGACCAGTCACAAGGAACAGCCATGTCGTCCTACGGGGAATGTCCTCACTCATTCACTCCTGTCAACATATCCCTACTCAATCACAGCTCTCACAGCTCACGCAGCACATTGAACCATGCGTGACTTACAACCTCAGGTTATTGATTACATCGGCCAGTGTATGTGTACGCAAACCCCGCTTTCAAATTAAACAAAAAGTTTGAACAATTAACAGTTCGAGGTGGCCACATTCCTGTATTCTTATGACGCACTCGGGTTCTCAATAACATCACCCCATCTATATATATATATCGATATATATCGAGAGAGAGAGAGAGAGAGAGAGAGAGAGCATTCCTGATGTCTGTTCGAATGACTGAATAACAAGACGCAGTAAGATTATTTTGCTTCTTACTTTACTTTTTACAGAATTCAAACATTGTCGAATTAATTGTAAGTTTTTATTTTCATGATGCATGTGTATGTATAAATAAAGAGGGCCAGAAATTCATACCGGCTAGTACCAGGTTTTATAATAGGTATTGTGATTAATAATTGTTGAGTATTTATTTGGTGCCACATTTAATACTAAATACGTTTGTGATGCTCGTATTTATTCGTATGTGTTTTTATCAATATGCGGAGACCTTGTGTTGATGTAATCCAAATTTATTTTGGGACAATAAAACGTCATCTCATCATATGTTTGAATAATGTGATAATAATGCTCGTGGGTATCTCGAGCAACACGACGTCACTGCTGTCACACTCCTCGTTTGTTGTGTCGCAGACCTACCAGTGCAAGTGGTGTGGTACCCGCTTCTGCAAGGAATGTCTGCGAGGGGACTTCTATGGGGAGATGTTCGAGCCGGGCAAGTGTCGCAGGTGCAACCAGGTGAGGCGATTACAAGTTTTACCAGGTGGGGGAGTATAAGTATTACCAGTTGGGGGAGTATAAGTGTTACCAGAGGTAGTATAAGTGTTACCAGGTAGTAGTATAAGTGTTACCAGGTGGGGTAGTATAAGTGTTGCCAGGTGGGTGGAGTATAAGTGTTACCAGGTGAGTGGAGTATAAGTGTTACCAGGTGGGGTAGTATAAGAGTTACCAGGTGGGGTAGTATAAGTGTTACCAGGTGAGGCGATTACAAGTGTTGCCAGGTGGGGTAGTATAAGTGTTACCAGGTGAGGCGATTACAAGTGTTACCAGGTGGGGGAGAATAAGTGTTACCAGGTGGGGGAGAATAAGTGTTACCAGGTGGGGGAGTATAAGTGTTACCAGGTGGGGTAGTATAAGTGTTACCATTTAGGGGAGTATATGTGTTACCAGGTGGGGCAATATAAGTGTTGCCAGGTGGGGTAGTATAAGTGTTACCAGGTGAGTGGAGTATAAATGTTACCAGGTGAGTGGAGTATAAGTGTTACCAGGTGAGTGGAGTGTAAGTGTTACCAGGTGAGTGTAGTATAAGTGTTACCAGGTGAGTGGAGTGTAAGTGTTACCAGGTGAGTGGAGTATAAGTGTTACCAGGTGAGTGGAGTATAAGTGTTACCAGGTGAGTCGAGTATAAATGTTACCAGGTGAGTGGAGTATAAGTGTTACCAGGTGAGTGGAGTATAAGTGTTACCAGGTGAGTGGAGTATAAGTGTTACCAGGTGAGTGGAGTATAAGTGTTACCAGTTGAGTGGAGTATAAATGTTACCAGGTGAGTGGAGTATAAGTGTTACCAGGTGAGTGGAGTATAAGTGTTACCAGGTGAGTGGAGTATAAGTGTTACCAGTTGAGTGGAGTTAAAATGTTACCAGGTGAGTGGAGTATACATTTTACCATTGTGCAACTAGACAGGTGAGGTGTGCAACGAGACGTAATTTGTATTTGTCACACATGTTGCCTGGTATCGATAAAAGTCCGTGCGACTTATATTCTTTTCATATTTGTTTAGAAAAGATGTCAAGGCATCCGTGTGGAGTACGTGCCCCGACCCCCCCAGGAGGACGCCGGCGAGAAAGGGAGGGGAAAGGGGAGTGCGGCCGACAGGAGTCGCAGCAAAAGTCCTTCTAAAAAGGGAGGGAAAGTCGCAAAAACGTCTGGCAGCAAAAAGGGCGGGAAAAAATCAGGGAAGAAAGGCGGGAAAAAGAAAAAGAAGAAGAAGTGAAACCCTCAAATGTGAAGGTTTTCTGACGTCACCGTATCCATGCGTGGGAAGTCACCGCTAGCAACATGTGATGAGAAGTTTAGTGATTATTCAATGACATAGGAACACATTAAATTCTCCCAAGCCAAAGCAATTATCAACCTAGATCTCCTGTCCTGTGTGTGGTGTATTGTACTGACGGTCGACTGCTCAATGTCGGTAACTGTATTCCTCTCGTTACCATGGTAACTGATGTCTGATTATGGTGACAGCATCTAAAATCATTATATTTGTTGCCATGGAGATTCCCATGTCTATGTTTTGCGTTACTTCAGATTTTTCTGTGTAGCCAGGTACTGAGTGAAGTCTGGGCCGACTATTTTTTCCACAGGTCTTGAATATTTTCGACTTGTCTTGCCATTTCAAGCCTCAACTTTTAATCAATCAATTCAGTATGGTGACCCCATGTGTCCAAACAACTGAGTTCTTTCTGTGATACGCAATTTTCTACACTTTATACTGTTTTATTATTATTATTTGTATTGTTATTTATTAAACGAGATCCACCACCTAGGTATTGCTGGTGAAGGGGTGTTTCTCTCATTCCAAGATCATCCATTTGTATATGTTACTGAACAAAATAAAAACGATTTTAAGTGTTTTTGTTTTAAGTCTGTTGTGCGTCCTAGTATTACAGTATGATAGATATTCCGCACTATTGATTTCGCGAATATATCACGTCAGAACAGTTGGATGCTTAAAGGTCGACAACACAACCAGATCACGTTGTGAATGCGTAAGATGAATACATGACTAGATCAGGTCAGAACAGTTGAATGCGTAAGTTGAATACATGACTAGATCAGGTCAGAACAGTTGAATGCGTAAGATGATTACATGACTAGAACAGGTCAGAACAGTTGAATGCGTAAGTTGAATACACGCCTTGATCACGTAGCAATAGTTGGCTGCGTAACTACGACTGGATCAGGTCAGAACAGTTGGATGTGTACGTTTAATACACGATTAGATCACGCCAGAACAGCTGAATGCATAATTTGAATAGATCAGATCACGCTAGAACAGATGGATGTATGACTGACTAGATCACGTCAGAACAGTTGGATGCGTAAGTTGAAAACACGACTAGATCACGTCAGAACAGTGGAATGGGTAAGTTGAATACATGACTAGATCAGGTTAGAACAGATTGATGCGTAAGTTGAATACATGACTAGATCACGTAAGAACAGTGGAATGGGTAAGTTGAATACATGACTATATCACGTCAGAACAGATTGATGCGTAAGTTGAATACATGACTAGATCACGTGAGAACAGTTGAATGGGTAAGTTGAATACATGACTATATCACGTCAGAACAGTTGGATGCGTAAGTTGAATACGTGACTATATCACGTCAGAACAGTTGTCCTCGATTGTGTGATGTATGTTATCGTCGATTGTATGGTGTACGTTGTCCTCGATTGTGTGATGTATGTTGTCCTCGATTGTGTGATGTATGTTGTCATCGAATGTATGATGTATTTTCATCGATTATGTGATGAATGTTGTCATCGATATGTTGTCATCGACTGCACGGTGACTGATGTCATCGACTGCACGGTGATTGATGTCATTGACTTCACGGTGATTGATGTCATCGACTGCACGGTGATTGATGTCATCGACTGCACGGTGATGGATGTCATCGACTGCACGGTGATTGATGTCATCGACTGCACGGTGATTGATGTCATCGACTGCACGGTGATTGATGTCATCGACTGCACGGCGATTGATGTCATCGACTTCACGGTGATTGATGTCATTGACTGCACGGTGATTGGTGTCATCGACTGCATGGTGATTGATGTCATCGACTTCACGGTGATTGATGTCATTGACTGCACGGTGATTGGTGTCATCGACTGCACGGTGATTGATGTCATCGACTGCACGGCGATTGATGTCATCGACTGCACGGTGATTGATGTCATCGACTGCATGGTGATTGATGTCATCGACTGCACGGCGATTGATGTCACGGTGATTGATGTCATTGACTGCACGGTGATTGATGTCATTGACTGCACGGTGATTGATGTCATTGACTGCACGGTGATTGATGTCATCGACTGCCAATGATTGATGTCATTGACTGCATGTTGATTGATGTCACTGACTGCACGGTGACTGATGTCACTGACTGCACGCTGACTGATGTCATCGACTGCACGGTGATTGATGTCATCGACTGCACGGTGACTAATGTCATCGACTGCACGGTGATTGATGTCATCGACTGCACGGTGATTGATGTCATCGACTTCACGGTGATTGATGTCATCGACTGCACGGTCACTAATGTCATTGACTGCACGGTGATTGATGTCATTGACTGCACGGTGATTGATGTCACTGACTGCACGGTGACTAATGTCATCGACTGCACGGTGATTGATGTCACTGACTGCACGGTGACTGATGTCATCGACTTCACGGTGATTGATGTCATTGACTGCACGGTGATTGATGTCATCGACTGCACGGTGACTAATGTCATCGACTGCACGGTGATTGATGTCATCGACTGCACGGTGATTAATGTCATCGACTTCACGGTGATTGATGTCATCGACTGCACGGTGACTAATGTCATCGACTGCACGGTGATTGATGTCATCGACTGCACGGTGATTGATGTCACTGACTGCACGGTGACTAATGTCATCGACTGCACGGTGATTGATGTCATCGACTGCACGGTGATTGATGTCATCGACTTCACGGTGATTGATGTCATTGACTGCACGGTGATTGGTGTCATCGACTGCATGGTGATTGATGTCATCGACTGCACGGTGATTGATGTCATCGACTGCACGGTGATTGATGTCATCGACTGCACGGTGATTGATGTCATCGACTGCACGGTGACTAATGTCATCGACTGCACGGTGATTGATGTCATCGACTGCACGGTGATTGATGTCATCGACTTCACGGTGATTGATGTCATCGACTGCACGGTGACTAATGTCATCGACTGCACGGTGATTGATGTCATCGACTGCACGGTGATTGATGTCACTGACTGCACGGTGACTAATGTCATCGACTGCACGGTGATTGATGTCATCGACTGCACGGTGATTGATGTCATCGACTTCACGGTGATTGATGTCATTGACTGCACGGTGATTGGTGTCATCGACTGCATGGTGATTGATGTCATCGACTGCACGGTGATTGGTGTCATCGACTTCACGGTGATTGATGTCATCGAGTGCGTGCGTGATGCAAGATACAGAAACACATGCATGATGCTGTGTGACGGTATTCAAAATGCAGGTCAAGACGTGGACACAGACAACTGATACCATCAACTGCTACCTGTGAAATACCTGTCCCTTCGCCTGCTCCCGTCGCACGTTTCCCCTGCCTTCTGTCCACACCGGTGCCGTGACTTCAGCGGCGTCAGACCACAGCAGATGACACAAGGCAGGATGTGTGGGCATGTCCGCTACACGGTGGGCGGGAGATGTGCCTACAACGGCCACGTCGGGCTCTGGGGAAATGTCGAAAGGGAAAACTAAAAAATACGTGGTTGTTTTTTCAAAAAACATTCATCGACCTGGTTGTTAGAGAAAGCTTCAGGCTATTGTAGTGTATTATGCAGCACGGGTTAGGGTGTTTCGGGTACAGGCAAATCACGATCCTTTGTGGGAGAATGTGACACTGAGGTACGAACACATTTGGCAGCAGTTCAACTTGGCCAAGAGTAGATTCGCCTCGCCACCATATCATATATCCGTGTTTAGGACATCAATGTTTTTTATGTTTTTTGCATCTCCAATCTCAACCAACAACAGAGCGGCCGGGCGGAATAAAATAAAAACTGTTTTTCATTAATTGTCTAACTTAGTTTATGACATTTTAAAATTTAAGACACATAGACGCAGTCTTTAAATTACTTTATGACGTAAATCGAGTCGCTTTGGTCCGGAAACGAATGTTTGATAAAATTGCTGAAGAAAGATAAAGCTGGTCTGTTTTTTGTATGAGTGTGCATAGGTAGTAGCATTTCTTTTTTATCAGATCAGGGCATAATTTTTCACATCAGCGGGAACAATTGAGATACGAAGACTTTAAATAATTTTATGTTGGAATGAGCATTCGGGGCGGGCGAGAGATGGGAAACTCAGAAAAAACCGACCAGCCTTAGATTGTATGCCTAATGCCTAGCTCCCCCAAAATAGCTATGTACTTTGGACTTGGGTCTACAGGCTGAATGAAACATTATTACCGTACAGATATACTACAGTGGCTGGAGGGTTAGCACAGTGGATGATGGGTCCACTCGTACCCGGGTTCTATTAAATATGTCTCCTGTTGTGATGTTTCCAAGATGTAACTTAACTGCCGGGCAAAAGAAAGAACGTATACACCCATGTTTGATGGTGGCTAAGAGTGAAGCAAACAAGAAATGGTAATTCGACGATGAAGTTTTTGATACGGGTATCATAGATTTGTTTTGGACCTTACGTTTGCAGTTTGTTTTCAGCCTAGTAACGGGTCTGACCGCCTCACTGGTCTGACCGCCACCCTGGTCTGACCGCCTCACTGGTCTGACCGCCTCACTGCTCTGACCGCCTCACTGGTCTGACCGCCTCACTGGTTTGACCGCCTCACTGGTTTGACCGCCTCACTGGTCTGACCGCCTCACTGGTCTGGCCGCCACCCTGGTCTGACCGCCTCCCTGGTCTGACCGCCACCCTGGTCTGACCGCCACCCTGGTTTGACCGCCATCCTGGTCTGACCGCCTCACTGGTCTGACCGCCTCACTGGTCTGACCGCCTCACTGGTCGGGCAGCCACCCTGGTCTGACCGCCTCACTGGTCTGACCGCCTCACTGGTCTGACCGCCACCCTGGTCTGACCGCCTCCCTGGTCTAGTGGTAGAACGTCCGCCCGGAGAGTGGAAGATAGGTGGTTCGGCCGCGTCACACCAAGAGACGTTAAAAGATGGTACGTGTTGCTTCCTTGCCTGACGCACGGCATTAAGGGGCTAAAACAAGGACTGTCAGTTTACTGTGTCTGAGTGGGGTATTCATGTTAAACTACGGCATGGTATCTCAGTGGGCTAGCACTATAAAATCGTCATTAGTCCAGACGTCGCTAAAAAGTGCAACAATCTTGAACACGACGTTAAACCCTTTTCCACCTCACCTCACTCCCCACCTAGGTCAAAACATCATCCGGGTCACATAGACCGGCCTTGAACTTCAGCAGACAGCGGCATACACCAGACAACCAGTACAACAAAAATGTGGGTGATGGTGAACATAAATCTTTACTGGGTACTCCTTACAATTTAAGATAAACCCCAAAGCATCTTTACAGATACTTTTAGGCTTAATGTCATATTTATTTGTCATGGTAACGGGACGTTGCACAACAAATAAAGAAAACTAAATCAATATTGATGATAAACTAGTAACTCCATACAATATCCAATTAATTCGAGGAACCGTAGACTGTGGATGCAGACATCTGTCTAATCCGACATTCTGTCTAATCCGTCAAAACGATTTGGTCCCAGGACAGCCCAAGTATTATTTGTATGTGTATAATTATTCTGGGTCTTGTTCAAGCGCGTGTCTGTACATATCTGGAAAAGAAATAATTGAAAAAATGTTTTCTATTTGTTTCGCGATATGTTTGACCTGGGCCTTATTGAATTGGTTGTTTTCTTATCTAATCAAACCACGGACTTGTATAGGTCCGTGATCAAACTCACCCGGAAATTGAGACTATCTCACTCTTGTACCTACTTAAAGTTTTATATTTACTTCCTGAGTTCCCGTGAAGGCCCGGGATAGAACAGGGCTTTAGCAACCTATGCTTGCCGTAAAAAGCGACTATGTTTGTCGCAAGATACGACTAATGGGATTGGGTGGTCAGGCTCGCTGACTTGATTGATCCGAGTTGCGTGTATCGATGCCCATGATGTCAGTCACTGGATTGTCTGGTCCAGACTTGATTATTTACAGACCGCCGTCATATAGCTGGAATATTGCTGAGTGCGGCGTTAAACAACAAACAAGCAAAACAAACAAGAGTATCAGTTTCGCGTGCCGAGCAAGCACCTGCCCTCTCTAGGCACCGGCCAGAGACACATACTGGGGAGTGGAGCTGAGCACTTTGGAAAACAGTTTTAATTTATCATTTGCTATATCAGGTTAAGAGCGTGGGTCAACGTACGTTTTTCTGTTTTTGTGACTGAAGTCTTGAAATACATCCCGCTGTTCGCTGTAACGGCAGGTAGAACAATGACAGCGTGTACACAGTCGAGTCTGAATGCGTGGAGAGCGGCTTTACCTTTCCATGTCGGTGTTAGGCAGTGACACAGCATACAGACTACGAATAACGGTACTCTAGTATGTCGGTGACTAGTCAGGACAATCAGCTGTATCAACTGGATACGTAGTTGTGTCGTTGTTTTCTCAGTGCTGTGGAGGCAGAAAGGTTGCAGCGTCCTGATACAGGTCAGTTTGAGCCGCGCGTAGGACGCACATACAAGTACACTGGCGGTTGTTGTTGATAGTAAGCGGCACAGTGGGGCAGTGGTAACTGTTAGCCTGGTTCTGTTTCCACTGGAGGCCGGCGATCTCCGTACAGGGATCAACACACCCTTAGGAGAAGGAGCCAAGTCATTAAGGTAAGACATCTCACTTCATCAATTAGGTGTTATATCAAGATCCACCAATAAGGTAGGATGGCGACGATGCTTGTCGTAACAGGCGACTAACGGGATCGAGTGGTCAGGATCGCTGACTTGGTTCATGCATGTCATCGTATCCAAATTGTGTAGATCGATACTCATGATGCCAATCACGAGACTGTCTGGTCCAGACTCGATTATTTACAGACCGCCGTCATATAGCTGGAATATTGCTGAGTGCATAGTAAACCTGTTGCCAGGGAAACTAACTCGTTTTAAAGAAACAATATCGTTGAAGCAGTTGTGCGTCTCTCTGAGGTAGGTGTAGGTTATTCTATACAGCAATCCATGTCATTGTTTGATAAGATTGAGAACGGTTTAGCTGGTCACACTGAAGGACGTTATCGCCGATCTAGCGTTCAATAAACATGTACTAAATACCTCTAGAAAACCTTTACTGTACATTGGCTAATATTGACTGTTACAAGTTTTAGCTGCGATTGCAAACTTCATGTATATGAATCCGCGAATTATCATAATGTGTAAGACAACGGCCATATTTACGAGGGAGAATTAAGTTTGAATGATACCCCAACCCTTGTTGGTGATACTTCTACTGTGTAATAGATTACTGTACACTGTAATATCTCTACCCTAGAGGGACTAGAGGGTTCATTGTGGAGAGTTGAGTCCATTCGGCTTGTCAGAAACATATGATCGTTGGTTCGAATCCCCCCATATGCACCCTGATTATGTTCTAGGTTATCAGCACCATGTGGGGGCACGGGTGGCCCAATCGTCTAAGGCGCCGCAAGTCGCTGTGCAGAGTTGCTTCCCTTGGGTACGCCAGAAACCTATGATTGTGTGTTCGAATCCCGGTTCGCCCCGATTATGTTCCTAGGTTTGTAGCACCATACCCGTGCTCGTGGGTTTCACCTAAGGGGTAAACGTCTGAGACCTGCATCACTTCGGGCTTTCCTCCTACATCAAGCTGACACAACACGATTTAACTGGAATAATGTTAAAAGCTGCGTTAAAACCAACTCACTCACTCACTCAATCACTCAGCACCATGTCCGTGCGGGAGGTTTTCACTAAACTGGTAAACGTCTTACACCTGTATTACTCCCTCACTCACGACTGCGGTAGTTACCTTCCCGCCGTTTGTTAAATATCTCCCGCAATCCTAGTCAGAGTGATGACGCTTTGACCGACATGTGGCCGAGAAGATAAATATATAACCGCTATCTATATAGATTGTCGTGTAGTTAATACCATTCATTCAAAAACAAACAGCCACACATACCACACATACGTCACACACATAATGTACATACAGACACATGTACACATCATACACCTGTTCACATACACCAACACACAGAGACCCCAGGCGACTGTCTGCTGATAGGGTGAGCTGTCCAAATTACATGACAAGTACAAGGCCTCGCTCGCTTAAAGGTCACAGATCAGGGATATGTCATGACTTTGTTTGACACATCTACATGTTCTGTCCCCATCTACGCACAGTATATACGTGGTGACATTCAACAACGCTTCCATACAGTAGATAAGCGTCATGTGCAACACATCTGAGGACACACACGCTGGATAAGAGGTAATATAGACCGCTATTTGTAGAGGTATTGTCATGTCTGTTGCAGCGCTAGTTTCCGGGAGTTGAAAGGCGGGAGTACATCTCGACGGCTTCATCGTGAACGAGGCTGTTTTGTGTCACGTCGCCTGCCGGGAGCCGAGCCGGGGGGCAGACGGTCATGTTTCAGTAAACCACGTTGACATTTTGTGACGACTATCTACACAAACAAAAGTAAATGTTAATTGAAAGAGTTTAATCTTTTCAGGGTTGAAAAAAGGTACACCATCACCTCCAAGAGCCAGCTCTCAAGATGGCGGCCATGATACCTACATCCATGGCAATACTCTTGGTGTCGTCTGCTTCGGCCCTAACGGAGATAGTGCAGACCAAATATGGACGCTATAATGGTTTTATAGAAGAAATGGAGGACGGAAATATAACTAAGTTTCTAGGAATACCTTATGCCAAACCTCCTACCGGGGGCAGACGATTCAGGGCCCCCGAGGCTCTCGCTGAACAGGAAAACATCACTGTCGAAGCTGTTCAGTTCAAACCGGCGTGTCCGCAAAATGAAGCCATATTCAGGAATATTTACGCCCCTCATTTGGAGAATAAAACCATGAGTGAGGATTGTCTGTACCTGAACGTATATGTTCCAGGCACTGTGGACCGGACGAGGCAAGAACTACTGGCTGTGATGGTCTGGATTCATAGCGGAGCGTTTCAGTTCGGAGCTGGATCTCTTCACGACGGTTCTCGACTTGCACTAACTGGGGATGTGATCGTCGTCACCATTAACTACAGACTCGGGTTACTTGGTTTCCTAGGAACTGAGGATATAGTTGCTAGGGGCAACTGGGGATTGATGGATCAGACGAAAGCTTTAGAGTGGGTGCAGGTAAACATAGAACATTTCGGCGGCAACCCAGGCAATGTGACCCTGTTTGGCGAATCCTCCGGCGCGTACAGTGTAGGACTTCACATTCTTAGTCCGCTCTCCCATGGTCTCTTCAATCGTGCCATATCGCAGAGCGGTTCTGCCATTATGAACGGTTTGAACAGACGGCCTCGAGAACGAGTCGTCAAAGTCGCCCAGTACCTCAATTGTTCCAATGGGAACTACCCCCAGTCAACCCTCAGTCTGGTCACGTGTCTCCGGCACGCAGACGTGAACGTCCTCGTCAAAGCAGACGGAAGCATCGCGTCATCAATAGCACCCTTTACCCCAACAATCGACGGACATTTTCTTCCAAAAGAGCCATTGGATCTGATGAAACAGGGAACATTTGCCGCTGTGGATTACATCATTGGCATGAATAGTGACGAAGGCTCGGCGACGCTCGAGACCATGCCTTCTGTGCTGGATGGTGAGGGGATGAACAGGGCCATGTTTGAAACATTCCTGTCTCGGACTTTTATAGCCAGATACCCATCCCCTCTTCCAGCACGTGTCACGGATGTCGTCTGGTCGACACTTCTGTCACACTACCTTCCAGCAGACGACACAGTGGCAGCGTACAGACGACGCTACTTGGATGCTTGTAGGGACGTGTTCGCCGCTCAAACCCTTCAGTATGCAAATTACCACTCCACCAAAGCCGACTGCTTCGTGTACTACTTCACCCACCGACCGTCTCGCTCTCAGTACCCAGACTACATCCGGGCTGCGCACTCAGACGACCTTCAGTTTGTGTTTGGCGACATCCAGAATCTGGGCACACGTGAAGAAACAGAACTTAGTGCTGATTGGATGGATGCTTGGGCGTCGTTTGCGAAATATGGGTATGTACACTACAGAAATAGTAGGTCTCGTCATGTAATGTAATGTAGATGATCGTAGATGAAGTTTGATGTGAAGTTGCCGGACACATATTTTAGAATTATCATTTAAATGTTGATGATTTAGTCTTACAACCGGGGGCACGGGTGGCCCAGTCGTCTAAGGCGCCGTGATTTACTGTACAGAGTTGCGTCCCTTGGGCACGCCAGAAACCTATGATTGTGGGTTCGAATCCCGATTCGCCCCGGTCATGTTTGTAGATTTTTCAGGACCATACCCGTGCTCGTGGGTTTCACCGAAGTGGTAAACGTCTGAGACCTGCATCACTTCGGGCTTTTCTCTCACATTAAGCTGACACGCCGTGATATAACTGGAATAATGATAAAAGCGGCGTTTAACCGAACTCACTCACTAGTCTTACAACTATGATCAGGGCAAACCACTGACGGTTTCATTGCCGCATTAGGAGTAGGGTGTGGGGTGTGGGCTATTGGGTCATGTGGACCATATGTCACATCAGATGATTGAGTTCGATCATCATGAACAAATTCACCACATATATATCTCTACGCTCGTATCAATGATCTAGCCATGAACTAGCACACCTTGCGCTACAGTAATAAGACATCTAGCAATTTTAGTGGACGAATTTCTCTGGTAAAACCCGAGGATTAATTTATATTTTCCAGCATCGACGAAAACGGATTATTTTTCACATAAATCCCAAAATATTTGATTCTCCTCGTTTCTGTTGCGTGTTCTTCTTTCTGTATATCGATTGAACAGCATTGACGAATAGATTTCGAAGATATTTATTGCTTAAATTTCAATGTGGTCATACAGAATAAATTCTGACCGATATAACCGCCAGTAACATTTATAAAACGATGATGCAACTTGATATGGTTTATGCCATTTTATTTGTAGAAATCCCAACTTCAATTCGAGTCAGCTTGAGTGGCAGCACTACAGTGAGTCGACGAGATCGTATTTGGAAATAACTGTAAATATGTCGGAGTCAAATTCGAAAACGAGGCTTTTAGAAGGCGGAATCATGCTATGGAATGATGTTCTTCCGGGAATAGCAACCATGGCCACAGGTCAAAGGCCACAGGTGTCAATGGCGGCTGCGGGCCAGGGAATGATCGCTCTTCGACAGAATATGATGTCAAAAGGTAAAAAATACAATTATTAATAAATAATGGATCCCTATTAGATCTATCGATGCAATTGTGTAAATACTGCACATATACATGTGCATACACTACACAAGTGTACAGCATACGTCAGTGCACTCACGGATGGTCAGAATTTGTCACTGTCGAATGACCCGTGAGGATGCGGGTGAGAATAGGTCTTCAGCAACCCATGTTGTCGTTAAAGGTGACTATGCTTGTCGTAAGAGGCGACTAACGGGATCGGGTGGTCAGGCTCGCTGGCTTGTGGTAAGAAGCGACTAAAACCAGACTCGGTCATTTGTCTAAGTAATCTTCGGACGCCGACAACGTCAGACGTTATTCGTATTTTCAGAAACTGGTTTGTCCGGCCCAGACTCGATTATTTACCACCGTCATATAGCTGTGATATTGCTGACTGTGCACAACACAAACAAACAAATAAACAAGCAGAATAAACGAGTTTTCGTGTTGCAGCTAGTGACAAGGACTGGGGGATGAGCGCCAAGCAGGTATGTATAACTACACACAGCCACTGTAGCGAAGGGGCAGGTAGCTCAGAGGTAAAAGCTATAAACTGAAGCGCCACGCTAAAGATAATATGAACCGCCTAGCCAAAGATCCACAATAGACGAACACGTGTGTAATAAACTCTTGCCTGAACATGTCACTTAAAAAATGAGGACAACCCGATTCTTTCATATTACTATGAATAAAAAATGTCTCATTTTTCTCATCATATTATTATTCGAAAACTTAATTTTGAAAGACTTTTCAAAATGATTTTCTAAACTATAGACAAATTTGAAGTGTAAGTATTGTATTAGTAATTTACTTACTATTCGTAGGGTGCAAACAGTGTAAAAATACAATCCTTTCAGTTTTATTTTGAGGTGATGATTAGCAACACATTCGTTTCTTTTTGGTCTTATGTAAAGTTGTATACATAAATGGCATGTTTCACTACGGGAAATTATTTTTTTGTAACTGGACATCGGGGCGGTGGTGTAACCTAGTGGATAAAACGTTCGCTCGGCACGCCAAATGCCCGGGTTCGATTCCCCACATGGGTACAATGTCTGAAGCCCATTTTCCGGTGTCCCCCGCCGTGATATTGCTGGAATACTGCTCAAAGCGACGTAAAACCATTCTCACACACTCACTCACGCGCTGTAAGTGAACATCACGGTTATTGTGGCGCCATGTTTGTTGTTGTTGTTTACAGGCCGAGGAAGTCATGCTGAGTCTGATTCTAGTTGTCACGTTCCTCGTAGTCATCTGCGCAGCTCTCGTGCGCATGGTCTGCTACATTGACAGGAAGCGAGTCCCGCCACCAAGAGGGTCGAGTTTTGTGAACGAAGCTTATGACTTGAACTTAATAAACAAATGTTCAAATGGGGAAACAGCCAGAACTAGATGTCCTCACAAAAGCATGGAGAGTGCAACAAAGTTATGATTGACACGTGACGTCATAATTTTTCCAAAGTAACTTATCATCTCATCCATGTTGGAACTCGTTTCATTTACATGACTGTCACATCACACACCTCAGCTGTCGTGTCGCGGAAGAAAAGGATGAAAGTGTTTTTGTTTTTTGTCTGCAAATGAAAGTGTAAAAATACCTTGAACGATCAAAAAGGCATGTCTTTCTTTCACGAAAGAAACGCGGCAGAAGCTCACGGTGAACAGTCTACAGTTTCACTATATGCATCACTACTCCACAACTTCCGGAGGAGATGAAATGAGCTGGGTTGACCGGAGTGCATGCCAAGAGTGACGGACGTTTACTATTGTTTGCGGCAGCCAATGAAAAGCAATACAGCAACATACAATGACATCATAAACAGCGTGTAGTGGCCGGGCTATTGTAACTATTGATCCATTACGCTCGTCCTTCGTCTTTTGATTTTATTTTTGTATTTATGATTTCGGTCATTTGGCTCTATTTATTCATGATTTAAGCCATTTTGCTGTATTTGTTTTTAATGATTTCAGTCATTTTGCTTTGTTTATTCATGATTTCAGTCCACTATTCACGATTTCAGTCCATTATTCATGATTTCAGTCCATTATTCATGGTTTCAGTCCATTATACACGATTTCAGTAATATGGCTTGTAATTTGTGTATTTATGATTTCATTGTTCTTTGGGTCTTGCACCATAGCCTCGCTGTCCTGTATCAAATTTGTTATGATGGATTCGTAATCGAGGTATATTTATTAATTGCTCTGATGTTTGTGAATAAAGCGATTGCTGCAAGAGGCAATCTTGACCAGTAGTACATTCCTGTCTGGAGCATGTGTCCTGGTAGAATCGTCTCGTGGTGCATGGATGTGTGGATTAGGACACCCGGTGTCTGGCCGTCCTGGTGGTACCTAGTGTTTCATCTCGGTCACTCAATGTTGAATCTCTACCGTAGAAGCTGTTCCCAAAACAGGAGATATTGAGGCGGTATTAAGAGACCGGATAGTTGTGTTGTTTCTCCCGGATAGTTGTGTTGTTTCTCCTTTCGGTGTTAAGTGTGTTCCCCAACTCGCTGATTGTCATTTACACGTTTGTCTAAATACCGTAACACCCAACAGTCATATTGAAAAAAAGAATATTGATTTTATTCATAAAGTGAGTGCCGATATCTTCCTGCGTCACATGAAATGTATCACGTCGCGCAGTGTCGACGTCGCTGATTGGATGGTAAAGAGTATGACCGAAAAGTGTTGTTTGACGTTCTCCCATTGGTTGGTGTCGGAGTCCTTGATATCGATAAGGAGGTCAATCAGCCCTGGGAACGAGGCTCCAGAATAGCTGTCCTTGCTGCTCGGCGCGAAAAGGATGTGCCTGTGTACATGAAGCAGGGTGAGTGAGTGAAAGACCAGAGAAAGATCCAGCAATACTTCACCGGAATCATCTTCACAACGTCAAACATTGGATGACATGGCGTTCGAAGCGACAAACGGGATCGGGTGGCTTGGTTGATGCATGTCATCGATCCCAATTGCGTGGATTGATGCTCATGATATCAATGACTGGATTGCCAAGGCTACCCACCTGTAGTTACTCCGGCCAGGCAGTCCGGGTCTAGGAATGCCCTCTCCAGCTGTAGGAGTTGGCTGACTTGGTTGATGCATGTCATCGATCAAAATTGCGTGGATTGATGCTCATGATATCAATCACTGGATTGTCTGGCCAAGACTCGATTATTTACAGAACGCCGTCATATAGCTGTCATATTGCTGAGTGCGGCGTTAAACAACCAACCAACCAACCAACCAACCAACCAACATGGTATTCTACAGATGCCTCCTTTGTTTTTTTCCGAACAATTTCTCGGGGTTGCAGTTATATACATATCCTGCTGAGTTGGCTAGTTCATACGTAAATATATTTTTTACCGATAGGTCTAATTATTCCTGTCTCAGTGTACCCCTAATTTTCCAGGAACGACAATGTGGGGGACTGAATAAAAAGTTGAAATGGAATTTTAAAACAGTTAGAGAATACAAGTAAATTACGAACTACGGGGAAATACGGATTATCTGGAGTGAATGAATTAAGTAAGTTGTGAGCCAAGACTACCCACCTGTAGTTACTCCGGCCAGGCAGTCCGTGGGGGTCGAGGAACGCTCTCTCCAGCTGGAGGAGTTGGTCATTCAGCTTGCGGACGACGAGGGGGCTGAAGATACGGATGTGGAGATTTGTTACAGTTACGATTGCCGTTACATACATTTTAAACATACTTACGTCTGTCGTAACACCCACTTTAAACACACTTAGGACTGTCGTTTCATTTACTTTGAACACACTTACGACTGTCGTAACATTCCCTGTGAACACACTTACGACTGTCGTAACGTTCTCTGTGAACACACTTACGACTGTCGTAACATTCCCTGTGAACACACTTACGACTGTCACATTCACTTTGAATACAGGCCTACGGCTGCCTTAACGTAGATTTTGAACACTGTTATGACTAGCGTATCACACACTTTGAACACAGATTGATATACAAATTTACGACTGTCGTAACATGCCATTTGAACACAGTATTAAGACTGGAAATCTGTGTATGGTTGTCGTAACTACCACTATAAAGTATGAATAGACTACCGATATTCGTAACTCACACTTTTAACTTACACCTGTCGTATTTCCCACTTTAGCATAGACTTGCGACTGTCGTAGCTTTTTCGAGCACAAAAGTATGACTTTCGTAACACCCACCTTGAACACATACTTACGAAGAGTCCGTGATAAAAAAATATAAAAATATAATAATATGAGTAGCAGGATCAGTAGCCTAAAGGGACGTCATGCATTGAATGTCATGTAGATTGTAGTAGCCGTACATTTTACGCCCTTGATTGTTCTTAACTTACTTGGACGTCTTCGTGTTGGCCACGTCCGCCATGAAACTGGCCGCTGCCTCTGTGAACTCGTCTACAACCTGGGTCAGATTGGCCTCTGGAGAGAGAAGAGTGAGTAAGTATGGTTTACGCCGCTTTAAGCAATATTCCAGCAATATCACGGCGGGGGACACCAAAAGGGAGATTCACACATTGTACCCATGTGGGGAATCGAATCCGGGCCTTCGGCTACCCACCGCTCCCAGAGAAGAAATGGGAGTTCATCTACGAATCGGCAGAAGGACACGTTTGAGGTAAAACATGGTGGAGGTGAAACGTGGTAGAGATGAGAAAACAGTAGGGGTTACAAATAGTAGAGTTTTTTTATGTGGCAGTGTAAATCTCCAAGGCTAGCATATGATAAATCTACACCAACCCTGGATTCCCCCCCCCCCCCCCCCCCCCCCCGTGTTTCTCGCAAAAGAGGAAGGCATGTTTTGTGGTGGCATAGTCTGTAGTGATGGGAAGTAGTCAGTGGCAGAAAATGATTGAAGCTATGGTAAAATGTCGAGGGCAGTCGGAAGCAGGAAGTGACTAGAGTTGCCTCACCTGGAGAAGTCTCGGGATGGGACAGGCTGGCTGTACCTAAATCTTAGCGACACGATGGAAATTCGGAGGCTATTACGACCTGCCGTGCGTCTTATTTATTCAAAATTCAGAAACTGCTGCCACGTATGTGTCCAAAAGTAATGCCCTTTTTTATTGTAAATCTAAAGCATTTGCGTTTAAATATAATTTATTGTTTATTCATTGATCTGTTTTATTGATTTCACATTTTAGTTCTGTACGAACAGATATCTGCGTTAAACTTTGTATTTCAATTTTGAAATCACCTCGTATCAGGGTGAAACACCGAAGAGGTGAAAATAAGTTGAGGAACAATGCGGTAGACTTGAAACGTGGTACAGGTGAATAACGGTGGGTTGAAATACGATAGAGGTGAAAAACGGTGGAGCTGAAACATGGAAGAGGTGAAATATTGTACAGGTGACGCATTGTCGAGGTCAAGTGTTGTCGAGGTGAAGCACCATATACGGGAAATACAGTGAAGTGAAACGCCATATATGGGAAACAAGGTGAAGGTGAAATATTGTAGAGGTGAAACATCTTACCATATCCAGGCAAGTGTCTGTCCAGGATGTCACCTTTATCCGCTACGAGCTGCGCCTGGAGTCGGGTCAGGGTCTCGGCGTAGTCAGAAAGGTTGAAGGGCAAGATGACGGACTCGGTGAGCTCCAGCGCCAGGGCCAACCACAGCTGACCGAGTGCTCGATGGTACTGTAGAGATACACGCGAGCAGTGTGATAGTTACTCGCGTTGTATACTACAATAAGGTATCATCATATCAAGTCAAGTCCAAGTTCCACCATGTGGGCCTTTCGTTTTTTAGAAAATGATTTTGTACTTCCGATTCTGATGCTTTGAACGAATATCTAACAAATAGAGATGACTATGCCAGGGTCTCGCCCGTGCCATTAACTTTGTAAAATGCATTTACAACCACCAGTTGTGCCTGGTAGTTCTAAGGACATTTGATTTAATAACTTGGTTTTCGTATACTTTCTTAAAAAATTCAGAGTATGTGGTCAAAATAAAAAATAAGATAACAATTCAAAAATATAAACTATGCTTTTTGCAATAAGTGACTGTTTCTGGACACGTAGGGGTAAAAAACAATAAAAGGGATGTATTCACAATACATAAGATAATAGACCCATTTGTCACTCTGCCTTTGAAAACACAAAGATTGTTTGCTCTCAGGACATTTATTACAGCCAAATACAGCACAACTTCATTTAAACATGTATATCATGTCCAGATAAACGGGTCAGATCGTATAAACTCCGTGCAGCCTTCCAATGTTCACGCATGTTGTATTTAAAGTGAATAGCGATGTTTTGAGTTCATGATTATTGTGTTGCTTGCGGAAAGCGATGTGGATCTAAATCAAGATTTAGATAATCTATAAAAACAATCTGGTTTTATTTCATGTTGGGCAGATACTTTGATGTTTCTCTCGGTGGTAATAAAAAATGTTGCAAGTTATTTCCCCCCAATTTGCAGAATCTGGGGACGGCGGATATGTACACCAATCTATTAAAAAAATCGCCTAACACTTGGGGGAAATTAACTGGTTTCAATATTCAGAAGTACGAGGAGTCTAATACACAGTCTTGTAGTATTTACTTTACCACTGGCGAGTCTCTGCGTAATAAAATTATCATAACAATATCATCCACAGTTTCCTTCTTACCGTAAAGTTTCCATCGACGAAATTTTTGACGGCGTAGAATGTTTCGTACTCAGAGTGGTACAAGGGGTAGGAGCCTAAGTCCCACTTGGTCTGAAACAGTCGACGGTGAAACGGCACAAGTTGTTTGTCATGCCGCCACGAGAAGGGCTGTGGTTTGTTGGGTTCAGAGATGTAGGTATTGAACTGGGTTGAGAGTTGTCTGACACAGATTCATACCTTATACACAGTTACACACAAATGTCCACATATGTAGCAGTTTGAGTCTTTGGACCAGACCACCAATAACTTGAAGCGACAGAGTAGACACAATTTGAGGATAACAACGTTTTTAACATAGTCGTGGGTAGTGGTTTTGTTTGTTTGTTTAGTGTTTAACGCTGCACTTTACAATATTCCAGCTATATGACGGCGGTCTGTAAATAATCGAGTCTGGACCAGACAATCCCGTGGTTGACACAATGAGCATCGATCCACGCAATTGGGATACGTCGACATGCATCAACAAAGTCAGCGCGCCTGACCACCCGATCCCGTTAGTCGCCTCTTACGACAAGCATCGTCGCCTTTTACGGCAAGTATGGGTTGCTGAAGACCTATTCCACCCCGGGTGTTCACGGGTCCGTGGGTTGTGGTAAAACATGGTAGAGGTGAAACATGGGCAAGTCCGAAACACAACACAATCTGTAGCACATTAAATAAGTTGTTATCCATATACTATGTCCTCTTTATCACCCTTCAACTTCATTCGTGACCAACTCGTGTCAGCCCGGGTTTGGGGAACGAGTCTTCTTGCAGGCTACGGAAAAGGGCAAGTGGTGACGAATGCCGTCAACTTCTAGCAAACAATTCTACTTGAAGCGCTCTTAAAATCTCTTACAGCCTGTAAACTGTCTGTGAAATGCCTGTATCTTTAAACAACACGCACAGCACATCAGCATGCTCACCACGTCGTAGATGTAGCCCATGTCGAGGATAGGTACCCCAGCTAGGCCCCTCATGTTGGCGAAGTCACTCCCCGACCCTAGGTTGCCGTATCTGCAACAGGTAACGAATAGAGGTAGCAATGATGATCAGCTCCACATGAAACTTTGTATGTTTGTTTGTTGTTTAACCCCGCACTCAGCAATATTCCACCCGGAACAAATATTGCCAGTGTACATGGTTTGGGCAAAACTGAAACGTTTCCATGGGAATAGGACCAATTTCGCTACGGGAACAGATACTCTTTGACATTTCCATCGCATGCAGTTTAATTTACAGTTTGTTGTTGTTTAACGCCGCACTCAGCAATATCTCAGCAATATGATGGCGGTCTTTAAATAATCGGGTGTAGACCGGACACTCCAGTGATTAACATTATGAACATCGATCTTCGCAAATGGGATACAATGACATGTATCAATCAATTCAGCCAGCCTGACCACCCGATCCCGTTAGTTGCCTCTTATGACAAGCATAGGTTGCTGAAGACCAATTCTAACCCGAATCTTCAAAACATAGCAGCCCCATCTCCTCAATCATTAATCATATTGTCTTTACCGAATCAGGTGACAGCTGACCTCATTAATATTTTTCAGTGTTCACCTTTCATCCCTGGTGTGGTCTATGCATCTAACTACCCTGATAACAGGTACTTTTGTTTTACCCCGCTCTTAGCCATATTCCAGCAATATCACGGTAGGGAACACCCGAAATGAGCTTTACACATCGCACCCATGTGGGGAATCGAACCCTGGTCTTCGGTGCGATGAACGAACGCTTTTATAGCTAGGGTAACACACCACTCCGACAAAACACATGGCCTATGCAGTAAAGGTTTGAAACAGGAGTCCTATGCCTATAGCTACCTTACTCATTGGCACTACCTTTTCAACAACATCATTTCTAGTTGAGTAGAAAGTATGCCATGCGCAGTGTGACTTTAAAACAGAAAGACCTAAAAGTCAAGCTACCTTGATAAGCATATGCACTTCCGGATTAATGACGTCACATCCGGTTTGTGAAAACATGTCTAATGCGAGACAACCTTAAGACAGAAGGTTATATGCCTCTTACCTTCATAAGGAAGTGATTTAATATGCGCTTCGAAATCCTGGTATTGATGTATTGACTGGGCTCCGCCATTTTGTTTGAAGAAAATACAATTGATATGAGAGGTGGAATCTCAATGGGAGGGACTTAGAGGGGACATAACTTGTAATAGCGACTGGTGGCGCTACAATCGAGCCACGAAATTCAACAAATTCCCTTGCCTCGGGAAGATGCTGCAGACGAACCTCACTTGACATGTCGACCTACTCCACACTAACTGCAAGTGTCATGTCAACCTACTCCAGATGATCTAACCCCATGTGACATACAGACCTACTCCACAAGCTATCTCCGTGACTACTTACATTGGTCTGCCCAGTCCCCTGCCGGCCTTGTCATGCGCCTCCTCCCTGGTCACCCACTCCTCGTACAGTGTCTGGAACTCAGAGTTCGGGGACTTCACCTGAAACATAGTCCCAAGAGTTCTAGACGAACTACTCAACCACAAGCCCACTGCCCTGCACAGAGCAAGGAGAACACCAACGCCACTCCATCCCACCCCACCCCACCTCGTGTTTACCTTTTGTGTGGCCGACAATGCTGTTCTGTACAGTAGAGGGGATCCACCAATAGTGACGCTGTACTGACCTTGATACAAAAATAAGAGAAATTTAAACCCCCCAAACCATTTGCCCTCTTCAATTGTCGATTTTGGTTTAATATAAAATATCCATATATTTAGAAGCGATTATATTGTTCATTGGTGAGGGACACAGACCAAGCCAACTATATGAGCACCGATCCACGCCATCGGCACACGATGAGATAGCTCATAATGAAGAAACTACATGGGTGATACATTTTCCCCGATACACGCTAAGTCTTTCGACGCTCGGAGCATAAGACGCTATGTACCATCGGAGATACCCATCGTTCCTGGAATCTGAGACGCCCCTACGAGGTTAGGAAGAATGAGAACTGGTGCAACACTTTACTTCACCAAGGTTCCCCCGTGAATTGTTTACCTACGACTGCAATGTCCACGTTCAGGTACGCCACCGCCCTCGTCGTCAACGTCTTCACATATTCCTGAAATGCGAAGTAGACTTTGCACGGTCGTAGAATTCCAGCTTACTGTGTACATGGGGTTAGAGTCGGTTTAAAGCCGCTTTTAACAAATTTTCGGCTGTATCACGACGCGTCATCCTGATGGAGGAGGAAAGCCCCAAATTACAAAGGGACAAAGGGCAAACTCACCTCAACAAACTCAGTGGATCCAATCAGTCCGTACTCCTCGGCATCCCAGCTACAGAGGATGATGGACCTGCTGGGACGCCAGCTGGCTGAAGTGGAATGAGTGAGTGAGTGAGAGAGAGAAGAAGAAGGAAAACGTTAGCCACCCAAAATCAAGATGGCCGCCATTTTACCAAAATAGTCTTTAGCACTCAAGTACTCATGGAAATGAAAACACCCTGTTTTGCTGGATTTAATAATCGACACAAAGCATTACGTAGATGTAAATACAAAATAACAAACCAACTGGAAAAGTACTAGTCTGGATTTGCTAGTAAACTGTGTGTTGTTTGAGGGACTTGGATCAAATTATCTAGGATTGCCAAGTTGAACAAGCCTGTTCCCTTTGAGATCACATGACGCCAATAATATAGCATGATCTCCAGGATCCGATGCTTGGTGTTAGCAAGGATTCCAAACTAAAACCGTCAAGCTGCAGGTGACAGTATCGTCTGTATTCAGCCCTACAAAACGACGTCTGTCCGGCCGCAAGACAACAACGGATGACAGCCAGAATGATCTCCCCATGTAGTTGTATGGGGATTCGAACCAGATTTCAGTTTAACGAGCTAACAGAACTCCCTAACCCTCACCCATCCCGACTTTACTAGGTTAACGAGTGCCCCTTCATGATGGCCACGTACTGGTATTTATGGCCTGTTTGAGAGCCCGGGCGATCTCCAACATGACGGCTGTACCACTCGACGGATCAATGGCTCCAAACACCCACGCGTCTCTATGATTACCGAGTATCACGTAGCGATCTGGAAGAGAAGACATTAAAGCAAGTAACGTTGAATGTTGATAGAGTATGGATGATAGGTACATATGAGTGTTGAGTGAGTGAGTGGGTTTGAGTGAGTGGGTTTGGGTGGGTGGGTGGTCGGGTGAGTGAGTGGTTGTGACAACGTACCTGGCTCTACTGCTCCTTGTATCACTCCAACGACGTCAGAGATCTTGCTCTGCTTGTTTCTGGTGGACACATTCAGTCGGACGTGTCTGGAAGGACACAGGACCAGGGTTAGCTAGTTTTATCGTATTGGGAACATAAATTACGTCTTGACTGACTTGAAGCATGCTGTTACTACAGCATGTTCTCAGATACCTACAAATGCTACATGAAAGCAGCCCCATTATATCTCACCGAACTACTGCCTAAATACAAGCCTTCCAGATCTCTCCGTTCACAGAATAACCACCTGTTTCTAGTCCCGGAAAGCCGTCTCAAAACCTTTGGTCAGAGATCTTTCAAAGTGACATCACGAAATATGGACATGGCAAACTAAGGCGACCTTTATTGTTTCGGAACTGCCCGTTTATGTCTGTTTTCGAGATACAGATGTCAGACATGCAGCTGAAACTTTAGTAGCATTAAATTTGATTTCAAAGTTCATCTGATGCGACCCCCCTTTGGTTTGTCAGATATATATACAGGATTCATGGGTTAATTGAAGGCATTGTTTGCTATAATATTAGCATTATATCATTTTTATACTTATTTGCACATAACTACATTTGCAAGTGGCTAAATGTCTCATTCGTTCAATAATGTTTGAAATAATGTTTAATATGGTTTCTTGTTACTATAATCTAACGTACACGGTGTTATCAGTTGGTTATAACTTTCCTCACAATTGTTATTTTGGATAGGAAATATTTCAAACTCGTTTTATTTCCTGCATATCGTCATTTACCCTTTGCTGCTAAACTGTTTAACAATCTAACTAAAATCAGATCTTAGTTCCCGCTTCCGCTAAACAAAGATGTAGGGATATCGGGGCAAGTCAGAACGACCTTACACCCGACCAATCAGAGCGTCGCTTACCAGACCAGGAAAGATACTCTCAGAATGTGTTTACTTATCATGAATTCTCAAAACATTTAACATGGGGTATTCCGAACGACGGGCTTCAGGACTGAATCCATCAAAATCATCGTCTTTCTCTTGCTTCAAGGGAAAACCATTTGAACGCAGGAGACATTTCACATTACCCATGGAAGTGCTTTCAACAAACCAGGCCTTGTATTGGACATTCGAAAATGTTCTTTGTTCAATTTTCAAATTTTGAATCGAGAATTTGTCAAAATATTTTTCAAAGCGAAGTCCGAAACTAGTGCCGTACAGTTCGAGAAAACTGCTTTCTGATAGGCTTATGTAGACTTCGTGTTAATCATTTAATTGGTCGGTAAAAAAATCGCGAAATGTCGTTCTGACGACACTTGTAATGGGATGATGTCCTCAGACCGTTGTTTTGCCACAGCGAGAACGAAGATCTGACTTGAATGAGATTGTACCGTTTAAACAATTGTAGTCATACCCTTGTCATTGATACTCATCACGTTCAGCACTAAGATTTAATGGGAAACAAATGATTGTTTCCGACTATACTTATACATATACATTGGATGCCTCCATTGGGTACAGTAGTTACCCGCGAAGATCCGGGGTAGAATAGGTCTTCAGCAACCCATGCTTGCCGTAAAAGGCGACCATGCTTATCGTTAGAGGCGACTAACGGGATTTGGTGGTCGGGCTCGTTGACTTGGTTGATGCATGTCATCGTATCCCAATTGCGTGGATCGATGCTCATGAGGTCAATCACAGGATTGTCTGGAGCAGACTTGATTATTTACAGACAGCCGTCATGTAGCTGGAATATTGCTGAGTGCGGCGTTAAACAACAAACAAACAAACAAACCAAAGGGTACAGTAGATACAATGTAAGTTGGAACCATGACACTGTCTGTCCGGCCCTGGTGTCCCCCTGTGGCGACAACAGCATCAACTCACACGCCATCACGGAAGCTGGGTCCCAGGTTGTAGGTGACGTTCAGGAACCCCCTCCATTCCGGGGGTGCAGGGGGTCCGGCCAAGTAGCTGGAACCAGGTAGTAGGGGTGGGTGAGAGGGTAACACATAACGGCATGATAATGGTACGGAACTTGCTGTAGGGGCAAGCATGTGTCCAAGAGTGGCAAAGACATCAGACATTGTTTGGCAATGTATTTGATTCATCGGATTCTAACATTTCACACTCTTTCTTCAAAACAAATAAACTACATATTCGTCATTATTTCCAGGTGGAATAAAACACAAGTCTATAAGATTACGGTTAGTACAGATCTCTTGCATAAAAAACTATTTTGGAATTTACTTTCATGTATGACAAAAGTACTAGTAACAAGTACTGACCCTCAATTCCCAACGCAAAACTTTACCGATTTGGGCTTATTGTTGTTTGACAACAGATTTGATATTTAACACATACCTGAGTATTTTCTCTGCCACCTCAGCATCGATGGCGTGGGCGGGGATGGAGGGCAGGGGAGGGACGACCGCGCTCTCCTGGATGCGGTAGGCAGTCGCTGAAACATAGCCTCAGTGTAGGAACGGGCTCTCTCATTCTTTCACAAACATGTTCCAATCCAACTTCGTAACATTTATTGGCCACCTATTCCCATTTCTGAACTAACCAAGATGTTTGTTTGGAGAAACACATATTCTGTGACGGCGCCATACTCTCTACGCTACCTACTGGGCCAATGGCTCGCTATAAGCTGGCGGAGTTTGAACCACGCACCTGTTGCTGGGTACCCCGGGGTCAAAGGATCTCCATCTCCCACATCAATGGTGCCTCTCTGTGTGCCCGAGGGGGGCAGCCACCATGAGTGAGGGTAGGGGAGGGTGGTGTTGTCCGGCGCATAGTCCTGTGGGTCGGAGTAGACGATGACGCCACTAGCTCCGTGCAGAGTAGCGATGCTAACCTGTGGAGGGAGAACCAGATACAACACATTATCATCAGTGGTCTCCAGCAACACAAGCACGTTACCCAGCAATGTATGAATGGAAAGTAAACACTGTGTGGGCTGTGTACGCCTCTGTTTAAACTGACCGTATATCGCCCTGCAGCTCCGAGTACATCAGGCACTGATAGTCTATGTAGTAATTATTCTTACTCACTATATCTCCTCTAAATATTCTGCCATATCTAGCAAGGACGACCTTGTTGGTGACGTTGATGGAGTTGTTTGAGAGGGTGACGTAGTCCTCCACACGGCCGTAGTTGACGTAAACCAGATCACCCTGGAAACGGTAAAGAGATGACACGTGGGTCTATGGCTATACATCTTGTGACGTGTTGCTGGTGTGACGTGTTGCTGTCGTGACGTGATGCTGGTGTGACATGCCGATGGTGTGACGTGCTGATGGTGTGACGTGCTGATGGTGTGACATGCTGAGTGTGTGTCGTGCTGCTGGTCTGTCGTGCCGATGGCGTGACGTGCTGATGGCGTGACGTGCTGATGGCGTGGTGGGCTGAAGGCGTGATGTGCTGATGGCGTGACGTGCTGATGGTGTGACGTGCTGATGGTGTGACATGCTGAGTGTGTGTCGTGCTGCTGGTCTGTCGTGCCGATGGCGTGACGTGCTGATGGCGTGACATGCTGAAGGCGTGATGTGCTGAAGGCGTGATGTGCTGAAGGCGTGACGTGCGGATGGCGTGGCATGCTGATGGCGTGATGTGCTGATGGTGTGACGTGCTGATGGTGTGACGTGATGATGGCGTGACGTGCTGATGGCGTGACGTGCTGACGGTGTGACGTGCTGATGGTGTGACGTGCTGATGGTGTGATGTGCTGATGGTGTGACGTGCTGACGGTGTGACGTGTTGCTGGTATGATGTGCTGATGGCGTGACGTACTGATGGTATGATGTGTCATAAGCCAGCAATGAGCAGTAAATGTATCGCGGCATGTAAAGTCATCGATACAGGGCCAGACAAACTGGAGTTGGATAGCATGAGAAGCAGACAATCAGGCCAGATTGATATCGATTATCAGCCCAAACTCACACTGAACGGCCTTTGTGACCACCAAATCCTCAGTTTGGCCAGCAAGGGAAACTTGGGACCCCTTGACCTGGGATTCCCACAGTAATTTGTATATAAGAGGCAGGTGAAATATGTTGAACCGGTACCTCAGCGATTCCAGCCTTGGCAAAAGCCAAAAAAGGGGGGACAACTCCTGTTTTGTTCTCCTCCGGGGTGAGTATTTTCTCCGTCTTCGGTGAAGCGTATATCGTGTTTCCAGCCTTGTTTATCAAAGACACTATGTTGGGGTTCTCAGTGTCAGGGTAGGACAGTAGTACGTCGTATTCCCGAGTTTGGACCTCGTCGAGGCCAATATCCCGCCAGTACTTGTGTATCCTGCTCCCCAACACCTTGTTCCTGTCTCTCCCGGCTATGTGGGGCAGCTCTGACAGCCATCTGTCAACACAATACATACCACAGTTTGCTTCTTCATAACTTTATTTTTAATTTTTAATTTTTACGCCGCGCTGTAAGTAATCGAGTCTGGACCTGACAAACCATGGGTTGATATTATGAGCAACGTCCCAGGATGACTACGTCATCAACCACGTCATCAAATCTGACCGCCTGATCTAATTTAGTCGCCTCTTTCGACAAGCATGGGTTACGGTGGAATAATTCTGGGTCCCCATCGGGGCATCTTGGAAGACAAAACAGAAGACAGCAGTAGCGCCAAGTGTCATCAGACAAATACCCCCCGGCCCCCACAAATTAATCTGGCTGTTACTTTAAGACCAACTTGATGACAGATATCTATCTAATCTGCCTGTCCGTATACCAGAGTAGCTATTGAGATATCAAAACAATACCATGGAACTGGGATTCGGAATTTTGTATTTCTCTGTAAGGTGCACACCAATATGAACAGAGTCAAAATCAAACGTGTTGCCATGTAAACGGAAAAAATAACTTTTTTTAAAAATGATGAATATGTGTACCAAATACGATTATATTTGCGCCCCACGTACCACATTGCTGAGTCCAGAACTCTCTCTAAACAGAACCAGAATCCCGCGTACCAAATTGGTGAGAAGCCTCGGTCATCTCGACCTTGATCTTTACACATTCAGGTTGAAAATCTAAATTCCACCAAGCGCATGCAAATCAACATACATAGGATTACACGTAATCAATCATTTTTTAACTATTTTCGTGGATACTCTCTTACCTTAAATTCTCTTCAATTTTCGTTTTGTTCACACCGCTTAGAATATTTTGTAAAATATCATCTTTGAACGGGTCTGTATTCGCCTGGACAGTTGGTGGCTGTGAAGCATCGCCGCCGTCATCGTCACACAGGACGTACATGCCGATGACGATGCCGACAGCGACACCGACACAGAGGGTGAAGAAACATATGACTGAGAAGCAGCATCTGCTGGTGGGTTCCTCCCGCTGACCGGCCATCTTGTCGAGGTGTTCTGAGTGGGCCCTAACCTGGACAGGTCTTCCCTGCAGCCACAATCCAGCGTTGCCCCGATACTCGCACCTGCCGTGAAGAAGAGGCCGTGTAGAGGTGACATGTCAAGTGGGTAAGACAGCTATTGGCAAATTGTAGGTTTTGTCTATTTATAATTTCTGTTTTGCAATTAGAATATATACGGGGATATCAACTAAATATTTATTTTGAATTTGTGTTTTGTTTACGTGTTTCTGCACTTTTTGCCATGACTTTGTTAAACACGATTCTCTTATCTCGACATGCCCCCAAATATTCCAATACTACACTCGTGACTGAGCCACGTTCAGTGAGGAGGAGGATCTGACCTCTACAGACAACTGCCTTGTTGACCCATGTGTGAAGAAACACCGCACGGGACTGAACTTCACGCCACGCCCTGATGGGTGTCTGAAGACATTATCGTCAGTCTACGTATATCCTGGCATGTCCAAGCTGTTTCATATCCCTGGTATATCCTAGCTGTTTTCTGTACCTGGTATGTCCCAACTGTTTCCTGTCCCTGGTATGTCCCAACTATTTCCTGTCCTGGTATGTCCCAACTGTTTCCTGTCCTGGTATGTCCCGACAGTTTCCTACCCTGGTATGTCCCAACTGTTTCCTGTCCTGGTATATCTTAACTGTTTCCTGTCCCTGGTATGTCCCAACAGTTTCCTACCCTGGTATGTCCCAACTGTTTCCTGTCCCTGGCATGTCCCAACTGTTACCTGTCCCTGGTATGTCCCAACTGTCTCCTATCCCTGGTATGTCCCAACCGATTCCTGTCCTTGGTATGTCCCAACTGATTCCTGTCCCTGGTATGTCCCGACTGATTCCTGTCCCTGGCAAGTCCCAACTGATTCCTGTCCTTGGTATGTCCCAACTGTCTCCTATCCCTGGTATGTCCCAACTGTCTCCTATTCCTGGTATGTCCCAACTGATTCCTGTCCCTGGCAAGTCCCAACTGTTACCTGTCCCTGGTATGTCCCAACTGTTTCCTGTCCCTGGTATGTCCCAACTGATTCCTGTCCCTGGTATGTCCCAACTGTTTTCTGTCCCTGGTATGTCCCAACTGATTCCTGTCCTGGTATGTCCCAATTGTTTCCTGTCCCTGGTATGTCCCAACTGTTTCCTGTCCTGGTATGTCCCAACTGATTCCTGTCCCTGGTATGTCCCAACTGTTTCCTGTCCCTGGCATGTCCCAACTGTTACCTGTCCCTGGTATGTCCCAACAGTTTCCTACCCTGGTATGTCCCAACTGTTACCTGTCCCTGGTATGTCCCAACTGATTCCTGTCCCTGGTATGTCCCAACAGTTTCCTACCCTGGTATGTCCCAACTGTTACCTGTCCCTGGTATGTCCCAATTGATTCCTGTCCCTGGTATGTCCCAACTGATTCCTGTCCCTGGTATGTCCCAACTGATTCCTGTCCCTGGCAAGTCCCAACTGTTACCTGTCCCTGGTATGTCCCAACAGTTTCCTTCCCTGGTATGTCCCAACTGTTACCTGCCCCTGGCATGTCCCAACTGTTACCTGTCCCTGGTATGTCCCAACTGTCTCCTATCCCTGGTATGTCCCAACCGATTCCTGTCCTTGGTATGTCCCAACTGATTCCTGTCCCTGGTATGTCCCAACTGATTCCTGTCCCTGGCAAGTCCCAACTGATTCCTGCCCCTGGTTTGTCCAAACTGTTTCCTGACCTGGTATGTCAGATGTGTTTCATGTCCTTTATATACTGAACCAAATTAAAAACTTCACAATCCTAAAATTTTAACATTTTGACCAGTTATCATTGTGGGCTCTTATTGTGTATTTAAACAGTAATGGCCACATATTGTCTTCAGATAACACCCGTTTTTGTGCAGGTGAATCGATCAAAATCATGTGCACAACACTATAGTGGCAAAGGTGCTTTTTCACGTGCAACTGGTCACGTTGCCATAATACCGCACGTGTTTTCAGCCATACTTGTTAGCAGTCATTAACAAAAAAAGAAAAACACAAGAAAACAAAAGTCTTTACGGCCATTTGTCATGCCACGCCTTTCAAATGTGCAACGTGAACGTGCCATTGGCATGTTGCAGACGGGAACGTCCGTAGCTGAAGTCGTAAGGACGATGGGTTGTAGTCGACGAAGTGTTTATGATTTACAGACGCGTCTACAGCAAACGGGTACCACCGCTGATCGCCCTCGGCCAGGTCGACCACGTGTGACGTCACATGCAGAGGATCGTAAGAGTGTCTTACGTCACCTCCGTAACCGATTTTTGACGGCTACATCAACCAGAAATGAACTGTTTAGGGGTAGACTGAGTGCGCAAACTGTTCGAAACCGTCTTAAAACTGCTCGCCTTCAAGCACGACGGCCATACTGCTGGCCGATTCTGACTCAATTACACAGACGTCAACGTCAATTGTGGGCACAGCGACACTTACGATGGACTCAGAGGAATTGGAATCAAGTCGTCTTCAGTGATGAATCCCGATTTAATCTTCGATTTGCTGATGGTAGGGCGAGGGTGTGGAGGCGCCGTCATGAACGTTACGCCCAGCGTTGTGTACAGGAAGTTGACAGATTTCGAGGCGGAAGTGTCATGGTGTGGGGTGCTTTCTGTGGCAATGCACGTTCCAGGCTTCTTGTCATCCGTGGCAACCTCAACGCTACTGCTTACCGCGACCAGGTAATGGCACCAGAACTTCTGCCTTTTATGGCAGCACATGGACCCGGTTTGATCATCAAACACGACAATGCCAGACCCCGCACAGCAATTTTGACAAGGAATTTCCTTCAGAAAGCGGGAGTCAACGTCATGGACTGGCCGTCAAGGTCTCCCGGGATGCTCTTGGCAGAAGGCTGCGCACTCTCCAGAACCAACCACAGAATTTGCAAGATCTTGGCACCATTTTGCAGCAAAAATGGTGTCGTCTTCCCAATCATGTATTCACAAGCATCACAAGGTCCATGCGGAGGGGTTGTGTGGCAGTTGTCAACGCACATGGTGGCCATACAGGCTATTGAACTTGTGTGCCATCAGATTCTCGTGCTTGGGACTTATAATTTCAACTGTTGATGTTATTACCGAATACCGTAGGTGCTTGGAACAAATTATGGTTACCACCGTTAATTAAAATCCTTCTTTGGACATTAATGATTAAAAATTACCTTCTCTGATACATTTGTCCGTTGTATATCATATATGGGATTACTTTTAAAAATGTAAAGTTTTAAATTTGGCTCAGTATATGTTCCAGATGTGTCCAGCCCTGGTGTCCTAAATGCGTCCTGTTCCTTGCAGGTTAAGCTTACACCTCCAGCATCTGCCATAGTGTGAGATATCGCCACAATCAGCACGTCTATGTTGGGGTCCATGGTTCTCCAGATGTGACTCGGGCCAACAACAAACATTATCATGGCGAAGAGGAATTACTCTATGTGGGTCAACATATGTGCTGATTGTCATGCTGGTATAAAAGGCTTCAAATGCCACCTACTTTCATTACCATCTGTTCTCCAAGACATTAAGTCCCACGCCGACCTGAGGTACGTTATATGTCTAGTGTCATTCTTCATCATTGTTTGACAACCAACATCTACAAATCTGTGAGTGAGTGAGAGAAACTGCTTTAACACTGTTGTAATGTTCATGCAATATGACGGCGGTCTGTAAATAATCGAGTCTGGACAATTCAGTGATTGACATCTTGAGCATTGATCTACGCAACTGGGATACGATGGCATGCATCAACCAAGTCAGCGAGCCTGACCACCCGATCCCCTTAATCGCCTCTTACAACAATTATGGGTTGCTGAATTCTAAACCAGATCTTCACGGGGGGGGATGCCCAATTCGTTCGCATCTTCATGCAGCGGGGATGCAGGGGACAGATTCTACCCCGGGTCCCCACGGGAAACACTGATGTGAACAGTGTTGCAGTTATAGCACGTCAGATTGATGTGGGTTGCTGGGGACAGATTCTACCCCGGGTCCCCACGGGGAACATTATTGCAGTTGTAGCACGTCAGATTCATGTGGGATGCTGGGGACAGATTCTACCCCGGGTCCCCACGGGGAACATTATTGCAGTTGTAGCACGTCAGATTGATGAGGGTTGCTGGGGACAGATTCTACCCCGGGTCCTCACGGGGAACAGTATTGCAGTTATAGCACGTCAGATTGATATTGGAGGAAATGCGGGTTTTGGCGTTATGGTGAACTGTGTTACTGTCAATACAGTGTAATCTTATAAAAGTCATTTCGCCGAACTTACCAATCAGCTGTGAGAATTCCTAAAATATGAACAAGTTCCTATTCCGGATCGAACAGCCCTTCAGGGTAATGCTTGACGCTATAGTCCTAACTTGCAGTACATATAATACAGAAACGCTATTTTAAGTGTTTAAACATTATCAATTGTGTTGATATTACGTGTCACAAACAGAATGGTTCATCATGTTTATATCAATCGCATATATCTGCAGTTGACTTTCAGGCCATGATGCTGGTATATTTGACCTTCACCTTGGCGCTGTTGTCGTCTGCTGTGGCGATAAATGGTCCATGTGCCCCAAATGAGAATCTACTGACGTTCCTGAAGGCAATCCACAACATCCCGTCCTACAGCACCATGTCTCCCGACAACAAGGTGCTCCTGACCGAGATGGTGTCGGAGGTGCAGATCTGTCAACTCACAGCCTACGTCAACACCATTGGCTTCAGCAAAGTCCTAGGTTTGCTGGACAGTAAGTAACGACTGGACCGCTGGGATGCCATTCATGTAATGGTGGTACAAACCAAACACAATTCCCCGCATGTCATTCATGTGCAGGTGGTACAAACCAAACACAATTCCCCGCATGTCATTCATGTAATGGTGGTACAAACCAAACACAATTCCCCGCATGTCATTCATGTAATGGTGGTACAAACCAAACACGATTCCCCGCATGTCATTCATGTGCAGGTGGTACAAACCAAACACAATTCCCCGCATGTCATTCATGTAATGGTGGTACAAACCAAACACGATTCCCCGCATGCCATTCATGTAATGGTGGTACAAACCAAACACAATTCCCCGCATGTCATTCATGTAATGGTGGTACAAACCAAACACGATTCCCCGCATGTCATTCATGTGCGGGTGGTACAAACCAAACACAATTCCCCGCATGTCATTCATGTAATGGTGGTACAAACCAAACACGATTCCCCGCATGTCATTCATGTGCAGGTGGTACATACCAAACACAATTCCCCGCATGTCATTCATGTGCGGGTGGTACATACCAAACACAATTCCCCGCATGTCATTCATGTGCAGGTGGTACATACCAAACACAATTCCCCGCATGTCATTCATGTGCGGGTGGTACAAACCAAACACAATTCCCCGCATGTCATTCATGTGCGGGTGGTACAAACCAAACACAATTCCCCGCATGTCATTCATGTGCTGGTGGTACAAACCAAACACGATTCCCCGCATGCCATTCGTGTGCTGGTGGTACATACCAAACACAATTCCCCGCATGTCATTCATGTGCGGGTGGTACAAACCAAACACGATTCCCCGCATGCCATTCGTGTGCTGGTGGTACATACCAAACACGATTCCCCGCATGCCATTCGTGTGCTGGTGGTACAAACCAAACACACTTCCCCGCATGTCATTCATGTGCTGGTGGTACAAACCAAACACAATTCCCCGCATGTCATTCATGTGCGGGTGGTACATACCAAACACAATTCCCCGCATGTCATTCATGTGCAGGTGGTACAAACCAAACACGATTCCCCGCATGCCATTCATGTGCTGGTACGATTGATAGTTTGTCAATCCTGTAACCAGTGCGACAACCTCCATGTCTATCGTGTACTGAACAGTTAGTTATTATCTCGACAACCACCATGTCTATCGTGTACTGAACAGTAAGTTATAATCTCGACAACCACCATGTCTATCGTGTACTGGACAGTAAGTTATAATCTCGACAACCACCATGTCTATCGTGTACTGAACAGTGAGTTATAATCTCGACAACCACCATGTCTATCGTGTACTGAACATGAGTTATAATCTCGACAACCACCATGACTATCGTGTACTGAACAGCAAGTTATAATCTCGACAACCACCATGTCTATCGTGTACTGAACAGTGAGTTATAACCTCGACAACCACCATGTCTATCGTGTACTGAACAGGTAGTTATAATCTCGACAACCACCATGTCTATCGTGTACTGAACAGCAAGTTATAATCTCAACAACCACCATGTCTATCGTGTACTGAACAGGTAGTTATAATCTCGACAACCACCATGTCTATCGTGTACTGAACAGTAAGTTATAACCTCGACAACCACCATGTCTATCGTGTACTGAACAGTGAGTTATAATCTCGACAACCACCATGTCTATCGTGTACTGAACAGGTAGTTATAATCTCGACAACCACCATGTCTATCGTGTATTGAACAGTGAGTTATAACCTCGACAACCACCATGTCTATCGTGTACTGTACAGCAAGTTATAACCTCGACAACCACCATGTCTATCGTGTACTGAACAGCAAGTTATAACCTCGACAACCACCATGTCTATCGTGTACTGAACAGTGAGTTATAACCTCGACAACCACCATGTCTATTGTGTACTGAACAGCAAGTTATAACCTCGACAACCACCATGTCTATCGTGTACTGAACAGTAAGTTATAATCTCGACAACCACCATGTCTATCGTGTACTGAACAGTAAGTTATTATCTCGACAACCACCATGTCTATCGTGTACTGAACAGCAAGTTATAACCTCGACAACCACCATGCCTATCGTGTACTGAACAGTGAGTTATAATCTCGACAACCACCATGTCTATCGTGTACTGAACAGGTAGTTATAATCTCGACAACCACCATGTCTATCGTGTATTGAACAGTGAGTTATAACCTCGACAACCACCATGTCTATCGTGTACTGTACAGCAAGTTATAACCTCGACAACCACCATGTCTATCGTGTACTGAACAGCAAGTTATAATCTCGACAACCACCATGTCTATCGTGTACTGAACAGTGAGTTATAACCTCGACAACCACCATGTCTATTGTGTACTGAACAGCAAGTTATAACCTCGACAACCACCATGTCTATCGTGTACTGAACAGCAAGTTATAACCTCGACAACCACCATGTCTATCGTGTACTGAACAGGTAGTTATAATCTCGACAACCACCATGTCTATCGTGTACTGAACAGTAAGTTATTATCTCGACAACCACCATGTCTATCGTGTACTGAACAGCAAGTTATAATCTCGACAACCACCATGTCTATCGTGTACTGAACAGGTAGTTATAACCTCGACAACCACCATGTCTATCGTGTACTGAACAGTAAGTTATAACCTCGACAACCACCATGTCTATCGTGTACTGAGCAGTGAGTTATAACCTCGACAACCACCAAGTCTATCGTGTACTGAACAGTGAGTTATAACCTCGACAACCACCATGTCTATCGTGTACTGAACAGGTAGTTATAATCTCGACAACCACCATGTCTATCGTGTACTGAACAGCAAGTTATAATCTCGACAACCACCATGTCTATCGTGTACTGAACAGCAAGTTATAATCTCGACAACCACCATGTCTATCGTGTACTGAACAGCAAGTTATAATCTCGACAACCACCATGTCTATCGTGTATTGAACAGCAAGTTATAATCTCGACAACCACCATGTCTATCGTGTACTGAACAGGTAGTTATAATCTCGACAACCACCATGTCTATCGTGTACTGAACAGTGAGTTATAACCTCGACAACCACCAAGTCTATCGTGTACTGAACAGTGAGTTATAACCTCGACAACCACCAAGTCTATCGTGTACTGAACAGGTAGTTATAACCTCGACAACCACCATGTCTATCGTGTACTGAACATTAAGTTATAACCTCGACAACCACCATGTCTATCGTGTACTGAGCAGTGAGTTATAACCTCGACAACCACCAAGTCTATCGTGTACTGAACAGTGAGTTATAACCTCGACAACCACCATGTCTATCGTGTACTGAACAGTGAGTTATAATCTCGACAACCACCATGTCTATCGTGTACTGAACAGCAAGTTATAATCTCGACAACCACCATGTCTATCGTGTACTGAACAGCAAGTTATAATCTCGACAACCACCATGTCTATCGTGTACTGAACAGCAAGTTATAATCTCGACAACCACCATGTCTATCGTGTATTGAACAGCAAGTTATAATCTCGACAACCACCATGTCTATCGTGTACTGAACAGGTAGTTATAATCTCGACAACCACCATGTCTATCGTGTACTGAACAGCAAGTTATAATCTCGACAACCACCATGTCTATCGTGTACTGAACAGGTAGTTATAATCTCGACAACCACCATGTCTATCGTGTACTGAACAGGTAGTTATAATCTCGACAACCACCATGTCTATCGTGTACTGAACAGTGAGTTATAACCTCGACAACCACCATGTCTATCGTGTACTGAACAGCAAGTTATAACCTCGACAACCACCATGTCTATCGTGTACTGAACAGTAAGTTATAACCTCGACAACCACCATGTCTATCGTGTACTGAACAGGTAGTTATAATCTCGACAACCACCATGTCTATCGTGTACTGAACAGTGAGTTATAACCTCGACAACCACCATGTCTATCGTGTACTGAACAGTGAGTTATAACCTCGACAACCACCATGTCTATCGTGTACTGAACAGTAAGTTATAACCTCGACAACCACCATGTCTATCGTGTACTGAACAGTAAGTTATAATCTCGACAACCACCATGTCTATCGTGCACTGAACAGCAAGTTATAATCTCGACAACCACCATGTCTATCGTATACTGAACAGCAAGTTATAATCTCGACAACCACCATGTCTATCGTGTACTGAACAGCAAGTTATAACCTCGACAACCACCATGTCTATCGTGTACTGAACAGTAAGTTATAATCTCGACAACCACCATGTCTATCGTGTACTGAACAGCAAGTTATAACCTCGACAACCACCATGTCTAGCATGATCTTGCATTGGTGAGGAATGATTCGGACAAACCAATTATGGATAAAAAGTTCAGACAGACAGATTTATTTCAGGCCAATTGTAGAATGACATTTTGTTGTGGGTAAATTCGACATGGAGCACCATTTGTATGTTGAATCTGAACAGATTTACACATCTGTGATTTATTAATATTCCATGAATCATGTTTCTTATAAATACCTGATAATGATTATGTACAGTAATTCCCTGTTCGTCGTGTCATGACGTGTCAAACTACTGCCTTTACAGGTCTAACCCCACAGGAAGCCCATCTGTTGAATTCCTACCTCGTGAAGGTGAGTGTTAGCAGGACATGGGCTCTCGTCCATGTGTTCTCTTACAGAAAACGTCATTTCTGTTGATATTTTTTTGTCTTTGTGCTTACGTTGTGTAGGGCGATGTGTATTTAGAAGTAGGGGTTTCGTTAGCTTTACGAACCGCGGCGAGAGGCTGTGTTTTTTTATTCTCACACTGTATTTTGTAACCTATTCTTTATTCCACAGTGCGATTGTACTACCGACGACTTCACATAACGTTATTTAACACACAATAGCTTCTAGTTGTAAGATTGTGCATTGTGACTTGCCGTTCTTTGTGTGTTCATCGCATGTGTTAAGTTTACTATTTGATTTCAGCACCTTAACATTGAGAAGGCTGTTAGCGACAAGCTTCACCATACAACAACTCGTCCGCCCACCCCTCACCACTGATACACGGGGACACGAGTTCCCAGAGAGCTAATGCTACACCTGAAAGAAGAGCATTTGAAGAAATAAATGACAGAAAAAGAACATGTTCTTTCTTTTGTTTTCAGCCCTGGTAATTGGGTAGTATATAGATGGTACCCACCTACTAGTTATAACTGTACACTTTTTTGAAATTCATCGTGATTATAAAGATACCTATCACACTGTTTTCAAGGGACGGTTATTTTTCTGTGTGTTACCTGTCGACATTTGTACGTAAAAGAATTCAGTGTATGTCCTATCTGATTCCCGACCCTAGTATGTCCTATCTGATTCCTGATACCTGACCCTAGTATGTCCTATCTGATTCCCGACCCTAGTATGTCCTATCTGATTCCCGACCCTAGTATGTCCTATCTGATACCTGACCCTAGTATGTCCTATCTGATTCCCGACCCTAGTATGTCCTATCTGATACCTGACCCTAGTATGTCCTATCTGATTCCTGACCCTAGTATGTCCTATCTGATTCCCGACCCTAGTATGTCCTATCTGATTCCTGATACCTGACCCTAGTATGTCCTATCTGATTCCCGACCCTATTATGTCCTATCTGATTCCTGATACCTGACCCTAGTATGTCCTATCTGATTCCCGACCCTAGTATGTCCTATCTGATTCCCGACCCTAGTATGTCCTATCTGATTCCTGATACCCGACCCTAGTATGTCCTATCTGATTCCCGACCCCAGTATGTCCTATCTGATTCCTGATACCTGACCCTAGTATGTCCTATCTGATTCCTGATACCCGACCCTAGTATGTCCTATCTGATTCCTGATACCTGACCCTAGTATGTCCTATCTGATTCCCGACCCTAGTATGTCCTATCTGATTCCCGACCCTAGTATGTCCTATCTGATTCCCGACCCTAGTATGTCCTATCTGATTCCTGATACCTGACCCTAGTATGTCCTATCTGATTCCCGACCCTAGTATGTCCTATCTGATTCCTGATACCTGACCCTAGTATGTCCTATCTGATTCCCGACCCTAGTATGTCCTATCTGATTCCCGACCCTAGTATGTCCTATCTGATTCCCGACCCTAGTATGTCCTATCTGATTCCTGATACCTGACCCTAGTATGTCCTATCTGATTCCCGACCCTAGTATGTCCTATCTGATTCCCGACCCTAGTATGTCCTATCTGATTCCTGATACCCGACCCTAGTATGTCCTATCTGATTCCCGACCCCAGTATGTCCTATCTGATACCTGACCCCAGTATGTCCTATCTGATTCCTGATACCTGACCCTAGTATGTCCTATCTGATTCCCGACCCTAGTATGTCCTATCTGATTCCCGACCCTAGTATGTCCTATCTGATACCTGACCCTAGTATGTCCTATCTGATTCCCGACCCTAGTATGTCCTATCTGATTCCTGATACCTGACCCTAGTATGTCCTATCTGATTCCTGATACCCGACCCTAGTATGTCCTATCTGATTCCCGACCCCAGTATGTCCTATCTGATTCCCGACCCTAGTATGTCCTATCTGATTCCCGACCCTAGTATGTCCTATCTGATTCCCGACCCTAGTATGTCCTATCTGATTCCCGACCCTAGTATGTCCTATCTGATACCTGACCCTAGTATGTCCTATCTGATTCCCGACCCTAGTATGTCCTATCTGATGCCTGACCCTAGTATGTCCTATCTGATTCCCGACCCTAGTATGTCCTATCTGATGCCTGACCCCAGTATGTCCTATCTGATTCCCGACCCTAGTATGTCCTATCTGATTCCCGACCCTAGTATGTCCTATCTGATTCCTGATTCCTGACCCTAGTATGTCCTATCTGATTCCCGACCCTAGTATGTCCTATCTGATTCCTGATACCTGACCCTAGTATGTCCTATCTGATTCCCGACCCTAGTATGTCCTATCTGATTCCCGACCCTAGTATGTCCTATCTGATTCCCGACCCTAGTATGTCCTATCTGATTCCTGATTCCTGACCCTAGTATGTCCTATCTGATTCCCGACCCTAGTATGTCCTATCTGATTCCTGATACCTGACCCTAGTATGTCCTATCTGATTCCCGACCCTAGTATGTCCTATCTGATGCCTGACCCTAGTATGTCCTATCTGATTCCCGACCCTAGTATGTCCTATCTGATGCCTGACCCCAGTATGTCCTATCTGATTCCCGACCCTAGTATGTCCTATCTGATTCCCGACCCTAGTATGTCCTATCTGATTCCCGACCCTAGTATGTCCTATCTGATTCCTGATACCTGACCCTAGTATGTCCTATCTGATTCCCGACCCTAGTATGTCCTATCTGATTCCCGACCCTAGTATGTCCTATCTGATTCCTGATACCTGACCCTAGTATGTCCTATCTGATTCCCGACCCCAGTATGTCCTATCTGATTCCTGATACCTGACCCTAGTATGTCCTATCTGATTCCCGACCCTAGTATGTCCTATCTGATTCCCGACCCTAGTATGTCCTATCTGATACCTGACCCTAGTATGTCCTATCTGATTCCCGACCCTAGTATGTCCTATCTGATTCCTGATACCTGACCCTAGTACGTCCTATCTGATTCCTGATACCTGACCCTAGTATGTCCTATCTGATTCCCGACCCTAGTATGTCCTATCTGATTCCTGACCCTAGTATGTCCTATCTGATTCCCGACCCTAGTATGTCCTATCTGATTCCCGACCCTAGTATGTCGTCGTAGCTGTTGCCTGTCTTAGGCACGTCGTAGCTGTTGCCTGTCTTAGGCACGTCGTAGCTGTTGCATGTCCAAGGAACATCGTAGCTGCTGTCTGTGTTAGGCACGTCGTACCTGCTGCCTGTTAGGCACGTCGTAGCTGCTGCCTGTACTAGGAACGTCGTAGCTGCTGTCTGTCCTAGGCACGTCGTAGCTGCTGCCTATCCTAGGCACGTCGTAGCTGCTGCCTGTCCTAGGCACGTCGTAGCTGCTGCCTGTCCTAGGCACGTCGTAGCTGCTGCCTGTTAGGCACGTCGTAGCTGCTGCCTGTCCTAGGCACGTCGTAGCTGCTGCCTGTACTAGGAACGTCGTAGCTGCTGTCTGTCCTAGGCACGTCGTAGCTGCTGCCTATCCTAGGCACGTCGTAGCTGCTGCCTGACCTAGGCACGTCGTAGCTGCTGCCTGTCCTAGGAACGTCGTAGCTGCTGTCTGTTCTAGGCACGTCGTAGCTGCTGCCTGTCCTAGGCACGTCGTAGCTGCTGCCTGTTAGGCACGTCGTAGCTGCTGCCTGTCCTAGGCACGTCGTAGCTGCTGCCTGTCCTAGGAACGTCGTAGCTGCTGTCTGTCCTAGGCATATCGTAGTCCCATGTTCTCTTTGATCATGGTCATGGCTTGAAATCGAAGTTTGAACTTTCTTTGCAGTAAGGAACCCGCATTACAGTCGTACTGTTTTATATACTGTTATCTCAGTGACACCAATGACATCTTGCCTGTACTGAAGCAGTGCATCGCTACCATCTCCTGCAGTACAGCAACGCCCTATCGTATTGGTGCTGCGGCGTGGTATCTCAGTGAGCTAGCACTATAAATCTGCATCAGTCCGGACTAGTACAAGCAGCCATACAAACACATACACGTACATGCACGTCGCTATATAAGTGCAATAATCTTGGACGCGACGTTAAACCCCATTTCACCTCACCTCACTATCGTATTGGTGCTGCGTATGAACATTGAACTGTTTGGAAGGGGCACTGGTCAGATTGAATTAGAGAAAGGTTTCCAGTATGAAATCGACCACTGAGGATTATGAACTCACTTAGGCAGGAACAGAACACACCTTTCAGTTCCCTTTTACTGCGGGAACATAACCAACACGTTTACACGTCGACTTTATCAGTGTTTTTCCACAAACAAACCAGATAACGGGCAACATTCCAGTCTGTCAGTTCACACACTATCACCACTGATCTACTTCTTTATATTGAACCAACACAGCGGGTCGTATATTCTCAGCCGAATCCAGTACAGGTAAATGAAGTCCACAGCATCTCCTTGAAAAAGACAATGTGTGACAGGGTGTGACAATGTGTGACAATGTGACCATATAACATATCATACATCCATGACACGTGTGGCCTAGTCGTCTAAGGCGCTGCAATTAGCTGTACAGAGTTGCGTCTCTTGGGCACGCCAGAAACCTATGATTGTGGGTTCACCCAATCTATGTTTCTAGGTTTGTTAGAACCATACCCGTACTCGTGGCTTTCACCGAAGTTGTAAACATCTGAGACCTGAATCACTTCGGGCTTTCTTCCCACGCTGTGATATAAATGGAATACTGTTAAAAACGGCGTTAAACCGAACTCACTCACTCACTCTTTTGTCCCTGCAGCGTCACACCTCAGCATCTCTCTTCTATCCACAATGATCCCGTACGTGGTTCTGGCGCTACTGCTGTCAACGGCTGCTGCTTCTGGGCCCTGCGCCCCGAACGAGGACCTCCTCAAACTGCTGAAAGGCATCCATGCAGCCCCATCGTACAACACAATGTCGGCTGCCAACAAGGCGCTTATCCCTGAGCTGATTGGCGCATCTGAATCCTGTCAGCTGACGGCGTATATCTACACCGTGGGCTTCCATAAAGTCCTGGATTTGTTGGACAGTAAGTAATGGTATATTTGACTTCCATACTGTTCCGAATGACGCGGGGGCGGTCGGGTAGCCTCGTGGTTAAAGCGTTCGCTCGTCACGCCGAAGACCCGGGTTCGATTCCCGACATGGGTACAATGTGTGAAGCCCATTTCTGGTGTCCCCCGCCGTGATGTTGCTGGAACATTGCTACAAAACGGCGTAAAACCATACTCACTCACTCACTCCGAATGGTGTGAGTATTTGTTGACATGGCCCTTGTGGTCTGACATCCAGTCCCGGACTCCATTGACGCATGGTTTATATATTTTTGTTCATGGGGAGTCCATTCTTGGCGCTGTTGACTTTGTGTACTGAATGGCGTATGACGAGCGAGCATCTGGAAATGGCTGCCGATCAGAGCTGGATACGTTCGCTATTGGAACATTAATAGATGTGTTTATCACGGCTCTAGCACTTGACAACAACTTATCAAACATTATGAGATCTATTTCAGAGCACATTTAATGAAATTGTTTGTTTGTTATTTAACGCCACCCTCAGGTATACATGACGACGGTCTGTAAATAATCGATCGAGTCTGTAGCAGACAATCCAGTGATTGAAATCATGATCATCGATCCACCGAATTGGGATACGGTGACATGCATCAACCAAGTCAGCGAGCCTGACAACCCGATCTCGTTAGTCGCCTCTTACGACAAGCATAGTAACGGCAAGCCTGGGTTGCTGATGACAAGTATACCACAGTAATACACTACCACTGTGTAACAAAAATGAGCTGAATCGCCCAGTTCCAAATTTAAATGAAATATCTAATCTACAGTTGGATTATCTCAAATTCAAAACACAGGAGGTTTATCTTCTAGCTGACTGTGTGTACTGATAGTGATACCTATCGTTATTAACATGAGATCAGACCAAGTAATAGATTATAATACGGAATGGCGTTTGTTTCGTCTGTGTAATTGTTATTTATTATTGTCATTCACTCCGTAGATATGTTGCCGGAGTAGAAATGTATCTACACCAGTTAAAACCCGATATTTCACCGTGATGCATGCTCGACTGTGACTGTTCCTCTCCGCAGGTGTGACGCCAGGTGAAGCTCACTTCTTGAACAACTACCTGTCAGCGGTAAGTACAGGTGAAACTCACTTCTTGAACACCTACCTGTCAGCGGTAAGTACAGGTGAAGCTCACTTCTTGAACACCTACCTGTCAGCAGTAAGTACAGGTGAAATTCACTTTTTGAGCACCTGCCTGTTAGCGGTAAGTACAGGTGAAACTCACTTCTTGAACACCTACCTGTCAGCGGTAAGTACAGGTGAAACTCACTTCTTGAACACCTACCTGTCAGCAGTAAGTACAGGTGAAACTCACTTCTTGAAATCTACCTGTCAGCGGTAAGTACAGGTGAAACTCACTTCTTGAACACCTACCTGTCAGCGGTAAGTACAGGTGAAACTCACTTCTTGAACACCTTCCTGTCAGCGGTAAGTACAGGTGAAACTCACTTCTTGAACACCTACCTGTCAGCGGTAAGTACAGGTGAAACTCACTTCTTGAACACCTACCTGTCAGCGGTAAGTACAGGTGAAACTCACTTCTTGAGCACCTACCTGTCAGCGGTAAGTACAGGTGAAACTCACTTCTTGAGCACCTACCTGTCAGCGGTAAGTACAGGTGAAACTCACTTCTTGAACACCTACCTGTCAGCGGTAAGTACAGGTGAAACTCACTTCTTGAATACCTACCTGTCAGCGGTAAGTACAGGGGAAACTCACTTCTTGAGCACCTACCTGTCAGCGGCGGTAAGTACAGGGGAAACTCACTTCTTGAGCACCTACCTGTCAGCGGTAAGTACAGGTGAAACTCACTTCTTGAATACCTACCTGTCAGCGGTAAGTACAGGTGAAGCTCACTTCTTTAACACCTACCTGTCAGCGGTAAGTACAGGTGAAACTCACTTCTTGAGCACCTACCTGTCAGCGGTAAGTACAGGTGAAACTCACTTCTTGAGCACCTACCTGTCAGCGGTAAGTACAGGTGAAACTCACTTCTTGAGCACCTACCTGTCAGCGGTAAGTACAGGTGAAACTCACTTCTTGAACACCTACCTGTCAGCGGTAAGTACAGGTGAAAACTCACTTCTTGAATACCTACCTGTCAGCGGTAAGTACAGGTGAAACTCACTTCTTGAGCACCTACATGTCAGCGGTAAGTACAGGTGAAACTCACTTCTTGAGCACCTACCTGTCAGCGGTAAGTACAGGTGAAACTCACTTCTTGAACCCCTACCTGTCAGCGGTAAGTACAGGTGAAGCTCACTTCTTTAACACCTACCTGTCAGCGGTAAGTACAGGTGAAACTCACTTCTTGAGCACCTACCTGTCAGCGGTAAGTACAGGTGAAACTTACTTCTTGAACACCTACCTGTCAGCGGTAAGTACAGGTGAAACTCACTTCTTGAGCACCTACCTGTCAGCAGTAAGTACAGGTGAAACTCACTTCTTGAACACCTACCTGCCAGCGGTAAGTACAGGTGAAGCTCACTTCTTGAACATCTACCTGTCAGCGGTAAGTACAGGTGAAACTCACTTCTTGAACATCTACCCGACAGATGGTACCCAGCTGATTTAAGAAGGCTCATGTTTCTTGCGAAATCTCGATATGTAGTCACGTGATGACATTGTCAGACGCAACGATTCATTAAGTTTGTTGTGTTTGTTCCAGCATCTCAAGTTTGAGCAGTCCCTGGCTGGGTTGTACACAACAGCCAAACCTGCACCTACTCACTCATAGTAAGCATGGGAGATCAACAGTGAACTTTCCTTTGCCGCCATGTTGTTGTTTTTAACAAATATAAACATATTTGCCTCCGCATGTTGTCCGGTGTTAATGAGAAATCAAAGTTCTGAAGCCTGTTATAAGAATGTAACGGAGTTATGCCACGTCATCACTTTCAAATCAGATCGCTGATACTAAACAGCATGAAAGAGTGAGAGAGTGAGTGAGTGAGGTAGTTGGGTTTGACGCTTCGTTGAACATATTGCCGTTTTATCACCATGCATCAGCTTGATGTGGGTGCAGGACTCGAAGTGATACAGGTCATAGTAATTTACCACTTTGGTGAAACCCTAGAACACGGTTATGATGATGAAACACATAATCAAGGTGATCTCGGATTCGAACCCATCACCATTAAAGAACGTCAGTTAATACGTTCGTAGCATTTGACTTCATCCGTGCCTGGTTAGAACTACAGGAAGTCCATGCTGACAACACCGCCATGACTGGTGGCATCTGCCTCCGTCGTAACGCTGTTCGGGGCTTTAGTGGATGTTCGGGGCTGTAGTTGATGTTCAGGGCTGTAGTGGATGTTCGGGGCTGTAGTGGATGTTCGGGGCTGTAGTGGATGTTCGGGGCTGTAGTGGATGTCCGGGGCTGTAGTGGATGTTCGGGGCTGTAGTGGATGTTCGGGGCTGTGGTGGATGTTCGGGGCTGTAGTGGATGTTCGGGGCTGTAGTGGATGTTCGGGGCTGTAGTGGATGTTCGGGGCTGTGGTGGATGTCCGGGGCTGTAGTAGATGTTCGGGGCTGTAGTAGATGTCCGGGGCTGTAGTGGATGTTCGGGGCTGTAGTGGGTGTTCGGGGCTGTAGTGGATGTTCGGGGCTGTAGTGGATGTTCGGGGCTGTAGTGGATGTTCGGGGCTGTAGTTGATGTTCGGGGCTGTAGTGGATGTTTGGGGCTGTAGTGGATGTTCGGGGCTGTGGTTTAATGTTCGGGGCTGTAGTGGATGTTCGGGGCTGTAGTGGATGTTCGGGGCTGTAGTGGATGTTCGGGGCTGTGGTGGATGTTCGGGGCTGTAGTGGATGTTCGGGGCTGTAGTGGATGTTCGGGGCTGTAGTGGATGTTCGGGGCTGTGGTGGATGTCCGGGGCTGTAGTAGATGTTCGGGGCTGTAGTAGATGTCCGGGGCTGTAGTGGATGTTCGGGGCTGTAGTGGATGTCCGGGGCTGTAGTGGATGTTCGGGGCTGTAGTGGATGTTCGGGGCTGTGGTGGATGTTCGGGGCTGTAGTGGATGTTCGGGGCTGTAGTGGATGTTCGGGGCTGTAGTGGATGTTCGGGGCTGTGGTGGATGTCCGGGGCTGTAGTAGATGTTCGGGGCTGTAGTAGATGTCCGGGGCTGTAGTGGATGTTCGGGGCTGTAGTGGGTGTTCGGGGCTGTAGTGGATGTTCGGGGCTGTAGTGGATGTTCGGGGCTGTAGTGGATGTTCGGGGCTGTAGTTGATGTTCGGGGCTGTAGTGGATGTTTGGGGCTGTAGTGGATGTTCGGGGCTGTGGTTTAATGTTCGGGGCTGTAGTGGATGTTCGGGGCTGTAGTGGATGTTCGGGGCTGTAGTGGATGTTCGGGGCTGTGGTGGATGTTCGGGGCTGTAGTGGATGTTCGGGGCTGTAGTGGATGTTCGGGGCTGTGGTGGATGTTCGGGGCTGTAGTGGATGTTCGGGGCTGTAGTGGATGTTCGGGGCTGTAGTGGATGTTCGGGGCTGTGGTGGATGTCCGGGGCTGTAGTAGATGTTCGGGGCTGTAGTAGATGTCCGGGGCTGTAGTGGATGTTCGGGGCTGTAGTGGGTGTTCGGGGCTGTAGTGGATGTTCGGGGCTGTAGTGGATGTTCGGGGCTGTAGTGGATGTTCGGGGCTGTAGTTGATGTTCGGGGCTGTAGTGGATGTTTGGGGCTGTAGTGGATGTTCGGGGCTGTGGTTTAATGTTCGGGGCTGTAGTGGATGTTCGGGGCTGTAGTGGATGTTCGGGGCTGTAGTGGATGTTCGGGGCTGTAGTGGATGTTCGGGGCTGTGGTGGATGTCCGGGGCTGTAGTGGATGTTCGGGGCTGTAGTGGATGTTCGGGGCTGTAGTGGATGTTCGGGGCTGTAGTGGGTGTTCGGGGCTGTAGTGGATGTTCGGGGCTGTAGTTGATGTCCGGGGCTGTAGTGGATGTTTGGGGCTGTAGTGGATGTTCGGGGCTGTAGTGGATGTTCGGGGCTGTAGTGGATGTTCGGGGCTGTAGTGGATGTTCGGGGCTGTGGTGGATGTTCGGGGCTGTAGTGGATGTTCGGGGCTGTAGTGGATGTTCGGGGCTGTAGTGGATGTTCGGGGCTGTGGTGGATGTCCGGGGCTGTAGTAGATGTTCGGGGCTGTAGTAGATGTTTGGGGCTGTAGTGGATGTTCGGGGCTGTAGTGGGTGTTCGGGGCTGTAGTGGATGTTCGGGGCTGTAGTGGATGTTCGGGGCTGTAGTGGATGTTCGGGGCTGTAGTTGATGTTCGGGGCTGTAGTGGATGTTTGGGGCTGTAGTGGATGTTCGGGGCTGTGGTTTAATGTTCGGGGCTGTAGTGGATGTTCGGGGCTGTAGTGGATGTTCGGGGCTGTAGTGGATGTTCGGGGCTGTAGTGGATGTTCGGGGCTGTGGTGGATGTCCGGGGCTGTAGTGGATGTTCGGGGCTGTAGTGGATGTTCGGGGCTGTAGTGGATGTTCGGGGCTGTAGTGGGTGTTCGGGGCTGTAGTGGATGTTCGGGGCTGTAGTTGATGTCCGGGGCTGTAGTGGATGTTTGGGGCTGTAGTGGATGTTCGGGGCTGTGGTTTAATGTTCGGGGCTGTAGTGGATGTTCGGGGCTGTAGTGGATGTTCGGGGCTGTAGTGGATGTTCGGGGCTGTGGTGGATGTCCGGGGCTGTAGTGGATGTTCGGGGCTGTAGTGGATGTTCGGGGCTGTAGTGGATGTTCGGGGCTGTAGTGGGTGTTCGGGGCTGTAGTGGATGTTCGGGGCTGTAGTGGATGTCCGGGGCTGTAGTGGGTGTTCGGGGTCACTGTGGGTGTTCGGGGTCATTGTTGGTGTTCGGGGTTATTGCGGGTGTTCGGCGTTATTGTGGGTGTTCGGGATTAGTGTGGATAATTGGGGACATTGTGGGTGTTCAGGGTTAGTGTGGGTAATCGGGGTTTTTGTGGGTGTTCGGGGTTAGTGTGTGTGTTCGGGGTTAGTGTGGGTGTTCGGGGTTAGTGTGGGTAATCGGGGTTTTTGTGGGTGTTCGGGGTTAGTGTGGGTGTTCGGGGTTAGTGTGGGTGTTCGGGGTTAGTGTGGGTAATCGGGGTCATTGTGGGTGTTCGGGGTTAGTGTGGGTGTTCGGGGTTAGTGTGGATGTTTCGGGGTCATTGTGAGTGTTCGGGGTCATTGTGGATGTTCGCGGTCATTGTGGGTGTTCGCGGTCATTGTGGGTGTTCGGGGTTAGTGTGGATGTTTCGGGGTCATTGTGAGTGTTCGCGGTCATTGTGGGTGTTCGCGGTTATTGTGGGTGTTCGGGGTTATTGTGGGTGTTTGGGCTGCTGTGGGTGTTCGGGGTTATTGTGGGTGTTCGGGCTGTTGTGGATGTTCGGGGCTGCTGTACTGGACAACACATCAATTATAGGTCACGTGTTTAAGGAATGCTTGAAACCAGATCCACGTTGGGCATGAATCCATATTCACGCAGAACCAAAACTCGATTCTGATTAGAGGTTTCAAAGCACAATAACACACCTCTGATCAAAATAGCCGTCGTACTAATGGCTATCGATATTTTTGTAAAGCAACATTAAATTCCTAAAATGTAGGGAAAAAAATAATAATATAAAAGTATAATTTAATTTATTTTAAGAGTAGCATGTGCAACAAACACCACACCCACAGAACGACACCAGTAAGCACAACTACCTTCTTTAACATCATATGGGTATTTGACGTGCACCGAGCTCAAAGTGGCCTCATCAAGCAAAACATTGTTCTTGGTAGCGCAGTATGGTTTGGGTGACTTTTACTGACGCTTCTAGCAATAAAGGAATTCCAAACTTCAACTATTCTCCCCCGGCATTGCTTCCGGCAGGACAGGGCCTGCTTACCCTTTTGGCGAACACCTGGTGTCATCACCGTTATCAGTGATCCATTCTATAATGTTCACCCTATTTTGCTTTTTATACCCACTGGAATCTGTTTCAGATAATCGATACTGGTTATTCTCTGGTTTTGACATTTAATATTTACGAAAAGAATGTTTACAAAACGTCTTAATATCTTTAACCTTGCTTCCATTCTGTTTGTATTTTACATTTAATGTAACGTTATGCGAAGCACTGTATAATTTATTCAAAGATGATTGTACAATTTACTTTAGTGGACAGAACCAAGCAACAAGCCGTGTTTGCGGACAGATAGCAAGGGCGGGTCCAGTATTCTGAAAAGGGAGGGGTCCAAAATATCAATGGATCGTATCTGTAACACTACAGGTCAAGTTATAAATTATTTGAAATTATCATGATTGTGTGTTTGGTTGAATGCCGCTTTGAACAGTGTTTCAGCAATTTCACAGCGTTCCAGCAGGATGTGAAGATCATAATTATGAAGGGCAGGATATCATATTAAAACTGCCAAAATTCAAAAGATACTAAATTACCACTCTAAATGTTATTAAGAATAATCGTATCCATTGTATATTAATTCCAACAATTTAGCCAAATGGCCGCCGCATAGTGGATCGTAGTGTTAAAAATTCGGATATAATGTCCATGTACAAGAATTAATGACACTTGTGATGGGGCAATCTTTAATATTTTTAAAACCTGGTCACTAGATTTATGAGTGTACGTATTTGAATGGTTAACGCAACAGCAATATTTCAACTATATGACGGCGGTCTGTATATAATCCAGCATGGACAAGACAATCCAGTGATTGATGTTATGAGCAACAATCCACGGCGTCGGGGTACGATGACACACGTAGGACCATGTCGCCGAGACTGGCTACTACGTCGCCCCCTCAAGGAGACTGCAATGGTGGCCATGTTAGAAATCGGAATGGAATTTCGTGAGCACGCATACATATTCCTGAGATCATCCATGCAACCTCCGCTCAGGTTGAGGCGAGTAACAACACCTGCAGATGTTCATGAGCACTGCATTCGATAGTTTACATTAGTTGGTTTCCGTTTTAAACAAAACATATAGAGACAACATGATTCTAAATAACAGCGCATGATGAACAAACATGAACACATTACGGGTATGATAGCATGGTAAATATAGGCCTTCCTGATCAATGTCACTTCCAGTGATGATAAAAAACAGCCGTCACCTTGATCTCAACAGTTACAGTTGTCTGGTCATCGATCACCAAATCGGTCGAACTGAAACCCTAGGTTCCTTATTCTCCATTTATGCGTCGTACTTGTTAGTTTGAAGTACATCACAAATGCATATTAGTTTGTGGTGTGCCATTCATAGGTTGCAGTAAAACATGAATACATGTTAAGTTGAAGCAAAACGTGAATACTTGTAGGTTGCAGTAAAATGTGAATACTTGCAAGGTTGCAGTAAAATGTGAATACTTGCAAGGTTGCAGTAAAATGTGAATACTTGCAAGGTTGCAGTAAAATGTGAACACTTGCAAGGTTGCAGTAAAATGTGAATGCTTGTTTGATTGTAGTAAAACAGTAATACTTAAGATTCAGTAAAACATGAATATGTGTTAGGTTGCTGTAAAACATGAATACTTGTTGAATTGAAGTAAAACGTGAATACTTGTAGGTTGCAGTAAAATCTGAATACTTGATAGGTTGAAGTAAAAGGTGAATACCTGCAAGGTTGTAGTAAAATGTGAATACTTGCTAGGTTGTAGTAAAATGCGAATACTTGTTGGGTTGCAGTAAAATGTGAATACTTGTTAAATTGAAGTAAAATGTGAATACTTCCTAGGTTGCAGTAAAACGTGAATATTTGCGAGGTTGCTGTAAAAGATGAATATTTGCGATGTTTTGTAAAAGATGAATAATAACTAGTTGTATTAAAACATGAACATTTGTTAGGTGACAGTAAAAGATGAATACTTGCTAGGTTGCAGTAAAATGTGAATACTTGCGAGATAGCTGTAAAAGATGAATACTTGCTAGGTTGCTGTAAAAGATGAATACTTGCTAGGTTGCTGTAAAAGATGAATACGTGCTAGGTTGCTGTAAAACATGAATACTTGCTAGGTTGCTGTAAAACATGAATACTTGCGAGGTTGCGTTAAAACATGAATAAATGTTTGATTGTAGTAAAACAGTAATACTTGTTTCGTTGTCGTATACGAATACTTGTTTGGTTCCAGTAAAAGATGAATACTTGCTAGGTTGCAGTAAAAGATGAATACTTGCTAGGTTGCTGTAAAGAAAAAACGACTAAACCCTCTCCGTACTCACAAGAAATCTCTGCTAAAAGCAGGGTCGATTGTACGATTCGAAAAGTATCATGAGCATGCGTTTATGAATCAGCGATGATACCGGATGTTCGCAAAAAGGTGACTTCCGTCAAAAACACATGCAAAGGCAAGTCAATTTTTCACCCGAAAAAAACAACACGGGAACATTTGGCACAAGTCAAAATAGTGAACTGCATCGAAAGGTTACATCATTCAAGGCCTAAAGCTTTAAAAAGTATTATGGTTGACGCGTGGGGAACATTTCCAAATTTGACGAACCAGCGACAAAAATAATGTCCGATGCAATTCCCCATTTTGACCATATGTTACCTTGTTACCTCAGGTGAACGTCTGACTTGCCTTTACAAGCGTTTGTGACGGATGCCACTGGTAGGGCAGGAACACCTGATATCATCACTCTTTGACAGTGATTCATAAACACATGATACAGTCGGAATCCTACATGGATTCTTCGTTTAGCAGATATGTCTTATGTTAAGAGTTTTGTCGCTTTTGTTTACCTGTTTTCACATATGATCTGAGATATGGGGATGTCTTTGTGCAGGACCGATTGAAAGGGAGCACACTAAATACCGTATAAGACTTTTGTATTTGCCGAAACCAGCCTCTGACGGCGATGCACTTACTGAAATCCCAAAAAACTCACACTGTATATTACGTTCAAGTGTATCAAGTATACGACAGAGTTGTTGAACCTTAATAATCAAAAACCTGTAAAACAGACCTGTCCAGTGACGTATAGCCTGGATGAAATAGAACGCACCTCATGGGTCACGTATGTGAAGGATATTTTGTTCAAACGTGGGTTTGGTAAGGGCTAGATACCTCTAGAAATTGGAAACCTCTAGACATTGGAAACCAAGACTTCTTTCCAAGGTCTAATTGACTGCAAGCAGGATCAATGGCATCATGTAAAATGCTATTTCTAAACTATAAAGTTACTCTAGATTAAAATCAATATTGGATGAAGAATTGTTTCTGTTCGAATGCTGCTGTTCGCCGAGGACTTCCCGATTCAGACACGGATGAGACAATGAAACGATAGAGCTTTGAAGACACACAAGAACCGACCAGGCAAATTGACAAAAGTTAATACATGGTAGAAATTATGCAGTTGCAGCCCATGATAGGTTTGTAAGTCGCATGTTACCGTGTGCACAAATACTGGTTACCGTTGTTTATCATGCAATGAGAAACGCAATAGAAAAAACAACAACATAATTCTGTGTAATTTAAAAAGCCTCAGAATCCATTTGCTTAAAAAAAATACTTATTCCCCTCAATAACAAGTCTCGGCGGCAATATGGACATGTTCATCATACAGAGTATTTCGTGAGCAAAGCCTTTGACATTGAGACATGAGCATAATAGACAACATGCCTGAAGCACGTATTTATTGATAATCATTTCAACTCTTCCATTTCAAGAGGCCATATGATGCAAATCACTGTGTTGTATCCTTGGACAAGGTAATTGACTCCACTTGCCCCGCTGTGATGTGACTGAAACGGTTGTCGACTGTGGTGTGACACGGTCAGATTTACAACTCTTCGCAAATCTAAAACAACAATAACATTACAGTAAACTACGGTTATAAC